ACCTCGATGAGACAAAACGATGCTGAAGGCAGCAATAGAGCGGACTCTCCGCAGCCCGCCGAGCCGAGCAACGCTGCGAGCTGATCAGAAATACACTCACACGTAGCGATTCACGAGATGACTAGGATTTTACACGAGGAAGGAATCGATCACAGCGACTGCAACACTCACCCGATTTCGATGTAGAGCGGTCGATCGAAGGGTAACATCCTAACCTACAGTGTAGATACAGCAAAGCAAATTCATATCGGTGTTGAAGAGTATTATCGATCAAAGTGTCCAATGCTGGCTCGTTACATAGGGTGGCTCGCGACGCCGGGAGGGACGTTAATTGCTCCGTCTGGTCGACGACCACAACACCACGATGAATGTCACCATCGATGCTTGAGGCCCGAAGTCATCTCCAGAGGTGTCTTATACATCCAGGACGTCTAACACTGCCCTCTCAGGACTTTCCATCATAATTCCGTATGAGCACTTCTCGCCGGTGTGTGAAATATTGCCACTTCCTCATGAAATTTTTATCTATACTATTGGTATAAAATCCGGATCAAGATACGATAGTAAAGCTCATCATTCCACCACTCCTTCACCACATTTGGCAAACCAGCGGAGCAAGCCCAATGGCCGCTGCGATTGCCACCATAATTGGTGACAACACAGTTCCCCGACTCGCAGCGTTTGCCTTTCCCCCATTGTTTCCTGCCGTATTCGTGGTCTCCGGCTGCGGCGCAGGCGGGTATCGTGCGCCGAAAGTATTGTCCGCACCCTCCGGAAACTTCGCCTGCAGAGCAGCGCCATTCACAATCTTTGCAGAAGGGTGGTCACGCGAGCCGTCGACGCAAGCTGCGCTTCCCCACATGGCATCATATGCGGCGGACCATACCACACTCTGATCGGACAGCGAGGCGGCGGTGTAGAACAGGCGACAGTCGGCGGCCTCGTAGACGAAGTGCAGTGGTGTCAGCGAGGTGTCGTTCCGCCGGATGTTGTTGCGTGTATTGACCTTCGCCTGCACGTCGCTGGTGCCCTTGATCCCGGCGCGGCTGAGCGTGTGCTCCAATGCTGCGAGGGACCTGCCGTATGTCGCGTCCAGCTGGTTCGCGACGTCAGGAGTAGCGAACGAGAAGGCTTCGGTGATGAGCGTGCCGATGAAGTTCATAGGCCAGACACTCGCACCCTTGACGTTACCGACACCCTGCATGGGTCCGGTTTGCTTGCGACCGCCGAAGGCGATCGAGCGGACGCCAGCTTGTGCTTTCATCAGCTCGGCGAAATCGGCACACGTCGAACCGCAGAAGCCGTCGTGGATGAGGAGGATGTTTTTCGGGTCGAAGACAGTGATGCCTTTATTGATGTTGACAAGGTCGCCGCCGTGGTTGCTGACGTTCCAGTTGAAAGGGCCGGTCATCTGCGCGGAGTCGGACAAGTTCCAGCGTTCGATGTTCGTAAAGCTGCCGCCGTGAGCTTGATTGGGGCCGTAGAAGTCTTCCCACGAGGCGAAATTCTTGCCGGCTTGGTTCAAACCGACCGCAGCGTTGAGATTGGTATAAATACTTGCATTGCGACTCGCGCCAGATCGTTGTGCTTCTGCCGCGTCGATGCCTGCGAAATGCTCGGTGATGATCTTGCCCATTCGGTTGAACAGGTCGTGTGCACGGAAGTTGTTGCCATTGTAGGCGTACATCTTGGGGAACAGTTGCGAGAAGAAATCGAGGCCGAGAGGCACCCGGCCACCAGTGTTGCCGCGAAGGTCGATGATAAGGCGTGTCTTTCCCAAATCTTTCGCTGTAGCCAACAGCTCGCGGATTGTGTTTTGAAACTCAACCCAATGCTCTGTCTCAAAAGTGGGTACAGCTAGAACTGCGAGCTCCGGCTGTTCAAGGTTCACGAAGCCAGAGATAGCATTGCTCGGGGCAGTCACCAGAGGTTTCGGGTAATGTGCGGGGCCTTTTTGCTTGGTTGAAGTCCAGACAGGTGCGAATGGCGACTCGTTCGGGGAGGCCAATGCCTGTCGCTTCTTTGTGATCGCATGCGTGGCCGATGCCCCAGTGCAGAATTTCTGGAAGAAACTCTTGCCATCAACAACGCCCGTGAAGTTCTTGCTTGTCGCCGCCATCTGTGGTGTCGGAATGACAGTGCCATTGGCAAAAGTAAGCTGGATCGAAGCTCCTGCATTGAAGGGTGCCAGTGCGCCTGCCCAGTAGCCGGGAGATCCTAATGGGACCACGTAGAAGACTGCATTGTAACCGGCGTCGAGATCCTGGAATTGGGTGTTGTTGATGGCGAACTCGTTCAGTGCAGTCTGCACATCTCGATCGTCAATCTTGACAAGGGGAGAAACGCCACTGGAGTTGGCTGCAGATGACGCGAGCGCGTCTTTCCGTCCGTAGTACACTTCTGGTAATGACAATCCATCTTGAGAGAGCGAGTAAAGAGCAGTGCCGAAGCCAAACGAGAATACGTTGACGATGTCTGGGGTGTAGACCAGGTGAAAGTCGTAGGCACTGTTCACGAGTCGGTAAAGATCGAATTGAAAGTCGTACTCATTAGTATACACCGAAGCATTGAGCCGATGTTGAAGAGTGTCCAATCCTCCTATCAGATCAGTCGCCGGACGAACCCATCCACTTGGTGGGTCCTTCGTGAATTCTAGAGTGCTTTGAAACTGAAGTACAGTCTTCAATCCCAGCAGTTGCCTAGTTCCACCTTCCGCATCGAGTGGCACTGATCTGAGACAGCTCAATGCTATATTTGCGGGAATCTGACCAGATCCACGTAAGGAAAGCTGTTGCGCTGCAATGTCACAAGGCTCCGATTGGGCATCTCGTAGTTGAAGTGATTGGTGATTAGGAATTGCCTCTGCCAAACCGAGCAAGCCGGCTGCAGCAAGGATGAAACGCATATTGGATGAAGTACAGAGAACAACGAGGTTGGCAATTAGAAAGCTGGTTGATTGCGGGACTATTCGACAGCGATTCGCGCAAGCTTTATAACCTTTTGCTCGACTCAATCATGTCGGTACAAATCCGCGATGATGCCAAATCCGCAGATCTCCTTTCCCGCCAATTTTACTACATCCTAGCTTGAGGCTGTGCGTTTAAGTCATTACATTCAGCCCTGGCATGAGCTGCGCCTGAGGGATTTGGTCGACCGCTGATTGACCGACAAACCTCCCGCTAGTGGTAGCGATTGGACTTGCCAGCGACGGGACGACGGGAAGTGTCTGTATACTAGCCAGAACAGAACTAGCCATAGGTGCAGGATTCGCCGAGGTGCAGCAGTCGCACGTTCCAAAGCCACCAGATCGCCCTGCACAATCAACTAATCTTAGCGAAAAGCTTCGACCTCGCGACGTTCGAGAGCAATTCCGAGTATGTGGCTTGGCAAGTTCTCCAGGGCTGACATCAACCAAGGTTATTTATATATAGCCTTAGGGCTTTTGATGGGCCCTGAGATTGACCAATGAGCGCTTGAGCGCGTCGGGCCGCTTGTTCACTTTAGCCCTTTTCGGCATTTGTGAGCCGCAGCCGTCTTCAGGGCTGAGACTAGTCTCTTTGATTGATCAACGGACATCACGACTAAACCCAAAAAGAAGGTACAGCTGACAAGGAAGACCAGGGCGTGAAAGTGTCGCAGCATGTCGTCCCTCTGGCCCGGTAGGGCTTGGGACAAGGATCGGTAGATTGATTCGAGCTTTGAGACCTCGAATTATGTCCAGCAGTGTTTCGTTAAATTAACCATAATCTGTGTCAATAATTGGGGGCCTGAGCTGATGGGATCAAAGAGTATATGAGGCAGCCAGATTTCGTCGAGACTGCAACAACATTCACAACCATCTTTCGTTCTTCTTTCCATCAGCTCGTTCCAACGCTCCGACATCACAATCATCGTTGATTTCTCCTTCCATTGCCTCATTTCTCTTTCTCGACTCAATCGCCATGCGTTCGATCTCCATCGCCGTTGGACTGTCCCTGTTGCACACCGTGCTCGCTCAGAGATCAAACTGCTACGGCGGATACTGTTGCTCTGGCTCCATTGTGGGAGGATGTAATGGAAACGACATCTCCAACTTCATTTGCTGCGTCGGCGATACCAATCGTGGCCAGAACGTCTGCGTCGGCGACGGCGTCTTGACGTGCTCGGCCGGCATCGCAACTCCATTGGCTTCCGCGACTGTGACTCTCGCCGTTGCATCATTTCCGCCATCGTCTTCGACGATTACGATGTTGGAAACGACCAGCCCGACGAGTCCGACCGCCGAGATCTCGCAGACCGAGTCTTCCACCCCGTCGTCCGATATGACGACCCCGACCGCAATGTCGAGCCCATCCATGACGAGCCCGTCAGTCATGACCACCTCGAGCTCGAAGTCTGCACCAGCAACGAGCCCCACCCGCAACGCTGCCGTGAATGCTTTCGGCGCCATGCCAGGTCAAATGGCATTCAAGATGGTGGCAGCGGCAATCAATGCTTTTTAAGCCACGATATTATTGTATCATTGGCACTCTCGATTGATCGTCATCAGTATGGGATACTACAAGGAGGGCAACCGGTGATGGTCCGATACAGGCAGCAGATCTAAGCGGTTTCAGGCAGGGTTCTCTTTGGACACACATATTTGTTCGATCATATCAGGAGGTACGACGACTGCATCATACTTGGACAAAGGGGAGAGAACAGAGAAATGGACGACATGGGTTGGGACGTATTATTATGCTTTTTTGATCTATTTCTACGTATCAGATCTACAATGTAAACTTTGGCCCAATTTGAACGTACTCATTCCTTCCAACCTAAATTTGGTGTGATTTTGTAGCAGCTCCTGCGAGTCTCACGGTGATAAGAAATCGTGATGTTGTGCGAGCAGATACCTATTGATCTCACCTATTTGATCACGCTGAACCGATCGGTTTTACGTTGGGACGTTGGATGTGCGCCGAAACGGATGGTTTCTGCCTCGAGGGCCTCACCAGATGACCGTATTAACACGATGAGGCTTCTCATCGTCCGGGAAGGGGGATGAGCTTTCTTGAGGGGTTTTCGGCATTGAAATGATGACCTTGTGGCGACGCGCGGAATGGTGAGGATAGAGATGGGAGATTCGCAGGAAATGGGTGGATTTGGAGGGCTCATTCGGGGGTGTTTCTTTTTCGATCAAATCCTCTTTCGTTGCCTTTCGAGGAAGAGATAGGGGGCGATGCGGCGCTCATGTCTAATTGGATCGATCGATTCTTTCCTTCTGACAGGGTGTGGTTCATCGTGATGTGGGATGTGAAAATAGATAAGAGAAAGAGGGAGTCGTCTGAATTCTCGACGTGTTTCGCAGATATAGAACCTGTTTTCTGAATTGTCGCAGCTGCAGCAGCAATGATCAAAGCAGCAGCGTCCAAGAAGCAGAGTCAAGGAACCAAAATCATTATATATGGAAACACCTCACGACAAATACATTCTCAGTTCATCAGTCTGGATATTCGTCACTCAATCAATCACAACGAGCAACAGCTAAACTTGCAGTGGCGAAAAAGCCAAACAACCCCCAACTCCACCCAATGTGAGCGGCAACAGCGAAATAGCGATAAAGATCAACGGACGCCACGTCCGCAACTCCGAAATCATCCCATGCATCGCACCAGATCAGTTGTGTATCAATGCCTTTCCCCCAAAAATGACCCCCGACTCCGCCATAACACCGCGTCGAAGATGAGACGCACCGCGAACAAAAAGACTGCAAAATCAAAGTAGAGCACACGAAGAATCTCAAGGAGAAAAAGACGAGGAGAGAAAGGCCATGATGCGAAACACAAGGGCGGAGGATGAGGAGGGGATGAAATTCCTCACATCTCCGCATACCACCTCCCGTGCCCCTCCCAATCCACCCTTCTCACAGCAGCAAGGGTATCCACGACGCCCTTGACCTGCTCGGCGAATTCCGCCATTCCGCTCGCCGCGAGCCGCTCGGAAGCGGAAGACGCGGCGCGGACGTGTTCGGCGTCGGTGGTGGCCGACAGCCGAGACGAGATATGTTCGACGAGGCGGTGCATGAGGAGTTTGAGGACGGGGTCGACGAAGTTGATGGGCGAAGTCGATGATGATGGCACTGCGGTGGGGGTGGGGAACGCGGCGGAGGCGGATGCGAAGAAGCGGGAGATCTGGCCCGAGACGGCGACTTTGGTGGCGGGCGGCATGTTGTGGGCGGTCTCGAGGATGGAAAAGGCCTTTTGGGCCGGGGAGGGTCTGTCCGGGGTTTCCGGCTCGTCGAGGGCCGGGGACGTGAGGACGAGTTGCCAGAGGCGGGCGGCTTCGTGCTTCCAGGGCGAGCGGACGTCGCGTTTGAGCAGGTTCTTCGTGGTGAGGAGGACGGCGCCGAGGGTGGCGACGCGGATGGCGGTGGTGCGGAGGTCGCACAGGCGCTCGAAGTCGAGGGTCAGGGTCTCTGGGCAGTTGTCGTGTGTGAGGTCGGCGGAGCGGAATGTCAGGTGGATGAGGGCTTGGGTGTGGATTTTGTGGGGTGAAGGCCGGTCTGCGGGGTTGTTTACGTTGTCGGGATCGCGACGGTTGGCTTCGCTGTTGAGTTGCGAGGAGGCTTGGGACCACCACCGCCGGGTGTTCTCGAGGGAGGTGGCCCCGAATTCGAGGTCGCGAGAGAATTGGCGTTGCTCGTACCCGGCGGCTTCACGGATCAAGGTTGGCGCAGCGTTCATGATGATGAAGTTGGTGTAGTCCAGATTCAACTTGTCAATCATGACCAACAAGTTGAACAATTTCATGACCATGTTCTCGAGGCTGCTGTTGCTGTTGTCCCGCAGCGAGACAGCCAGCTCGCGAACCGCCTGGTCTCGGAAAGGTGCACAGAGCTTCGGCAGAAGATCGGCCATGAATTCGAAGAACCCATCGTAGGAGAAAATGCCCTGGGTGCATTGCCGATGAATGTCCTCCAGGTCTAGGGCCTCCGAGATCGTCATTTGCATGCCCTTGCTGGGTCGGGTCATCTTCAGCAATTTGCCCCTGACATTTTCCGCGATCGACAAAGTCCATTGTCCTCCCTGGCCAGCCTCGAAGCCCTCCTTCATATTGCTGGTGATGCTGGCGTAAAGCTGTGCGCGCGCCTCGACGTGGACATCCTGCAGCTTGAAGTCCTTGTCGATTGCGAGCTCGTGGGTGAGGACCCTGTTATGAGGCATGACGGAGAATAATTTGGCCAGAAGCAGACCAGAGACATCTCTCGCTTGTGCAGGAGCCTGCGATTCGATAATTTCATCCGCAGTTGCCTCAACGGTGGCCGCTGCCGCCTGTGCAACAGCAGGGTCGATGATCCTAGGTCTGACCTCTGCAACGGGACGTCGCCTTGGTCTGCCACGCCGCGATTCACGGATGGCCTTCTTGATCAGAACGTCCGCCCTTTCAGGTCCGGCCAATTTTCGAATCCGGCTCAGTAGAAGCACTTGGTTGTTGCGGATGCCCTCACGGTAGTCATTCGATACCTCGCCGCGAGTGTCGTCTTTCACCGTCTGCCAGATTTTGTCCAGTTCGACAAATGAATCGACCATTCCTTCGATCAGAACACTCGAATCTTGGAGTCTCCAGGCCGCAAACGCAGAGGTATAGGCCGTGTAGGATTGAGAGAGCGTTTCCAGCTGCATCGGGTTGGGAGTGAAGTTGTTCCAGCTGGCGAGACGAGCCACAGCGGCCTCGAACAAGTGTACCAGGTCAGAGGCCTTTGCTATCAAATCCTGTTCCTGTGCGCCGTTCTTGTGTTGCAGAATTTCCGCTGGGTGACCAATGATCATGAAGGCGCTGAGGAAGGTCCGAGTGTTGAGCGGCGCATTTGGATCGTCTCGATCCTGTAAGCCGAAGAATGTGAGGATGCCAGTCACGGCTTGTATGACTTCTGGTTCAGCCACGCGAGTCGTCATGTCCTCGAAGCTGGTCGCCTTTGTCGTATGAGAATCGAGATCCAGCTCCTGGAAGGCCAGCAACGGTTGTATCCGTCGATGTACTCGCCAGCATACCTGTATCCGCCGAGCAGCATCGTCCTCGGTCATCGGCTCAGCTGTGACTTCGTCGTCCGCGATAGCATCCTCGTCCGCGTCTGCATCCTCCTCCACCACGGCCAGCTTCTTTTCGGAACTATCTGCACGTCGCGCCCGACGCTCCTGCAGGTTCCTCTGGTATTCCGCCCGCCTCTTCTCCGCTTCGGCGTGTCTCTCCTCCATCTCCGAGCGCACCCGCGCCTCATCAGCCAACTTTCTCTCCTTGACTTCCTCTGCGATACGCTTGGCACGCGCGACTTCCTCCGCGCATGTCGCCGCTACCTTGGCCAGATATTTCTCCTTCGCCAGTTGTGCCGCCAAAGTCCGCTCTTCCCTGGTATTGCTGTTGCCGCGGGGCGCAGCCTTGGCCAAGGCGGCGCGGAGGCGGACCTGTTCGACATGTGCGGCGCGGTCGGCCAGCCGTGCTTTGCGATCCTCGATGATGGAAGCCCGACGCAAATGTTGTGCGATCGAGGTGCTCTGGGGGCCGGCCGTCGCACGTCGATGCGACGACGCATGCGAATGGGCTGACGAGAGCGAATTCCGACGAGACGACGCTGCTGACGACTTTCGCCGGGCGGCCAATTTGTTACTATAGAAGCGAGCGGCGATGTGCGCAGGAGGAGCGTAGATTTTTTCCTCTTCGTCACCGTCTTCGTTGTCGTCGGGTGTTATTATTGTGGGTGTCGCGACTTGGGCCGGGTTGTCAATCTGCTGAGGTTGCTCATTCGATTGCGACTGGGCTCCGCCGCGCGCGGGAGAGGCGACGTTACTCGAGTCCATGATTGTGATAAAGAATGACTTCGCGATCGGCAAGACCGTGACTGCAGGATCGCAGAGTGTAGGAACTATACAGAGAGGTCGTCGTCGTCGCCCATGAGGCTTCGCATCAGAGGTGCGATATGACGAATCACGCTTGCGAATCAGTGGAAGGCGCTAGACGTGGGAAGATTCGTTCATTTGCGGCGTGTGATCCGAGAAGCCGCAGATTAATAAGACGGAATCGTGTAGGAAGTGGATAGATGGAGGCCCGTCGCCGGATGACAAGCGAGGCCCAGAGAGGATCAAAGGAATGTGGTGGAGGAGTATGTGGTGATCTCTCGTGAGGTGGTGGTGGTGGTGGTGGTTGATGTTGGTGGTGAGTCTGCGCCACACAGTATTACATATAATAGTAAGCGGTGTTGGAGGAAGTGTTGGCAGGCACAAGGCAGGAGGGCGTCGGGTGATGCCCCGGGATTGGCGTTGGTCAGCGAGCGTCAGCCGGATTCAAGATGATGACGATTGCCCAAAGGTGAGGCGTGATGGATGATGAAAGGAGGCTCGACTCGCACGCGACACTGGATATACGAAGTGGAACACACACACACACACACACACACACACATTGCCCGACTGTACGTTTGCATGATAAATATCTCAAAGATATCCTTGCAGTGATGCCCTCATACACTCCTTCCCAAGGTGCCCATGGACACAGTCCCTACAGTGTGTTAACTGAAGCATCATCGTGCAGGACAAAACCGAGCAAAGTGGGAATAGTGGGAAGGAATCCGCAGGACAAACAGCCGGTCGATCACGCCTTTGACACTGTACATTTCTACCGTACATCCGATCCCTTACCTAAGCAGACCAGATGTACATTCACATACCCATACCCACAGGCGATGCCGCCGTAGATCGACCCGAATCTACAGTCCTGACCACTACCTACCTACCTACCTAGGCACCTATCTAGTAATTAACCTGCAGTAGCTGGATATGTATGACATCCATCCATCCATCAATCTATGCAGGTGGCCATACTGGGCCAAAAAGCGACAAGTGAGGGGAAGGACAGGCAGGGCGGGAAAGAGGGCAAAGAGGGCGGAAAGAGAGAGAGGGAGAGCGAGGGAGAAGCCGCCCATCAAAATCCGCCCTGATCATGGCTGGCTGGCGGGTGGGCAACATGCCGCTCGATTACAGCATATGCTTGATTACATAATAATCCCACCCCGAAAAGAAGATCAGACGGAAAGAGGACCGCGCCGTTTTCACCGCCATCCGGATTCTGGGCAGTGTGGAACGGCCGCCGTCGGCAGGAAAAGAACGAAAACCGTCCCGAGATGCCCACGTGGGAGCTATTCTCAGATCTCAGATTCAGACCCTCATCGTCGAATTATTATGCCGCTCCTGGCTCGGAAAGAATCCACCATGGAAACTATTACTATTTCCTTCACCTCCATCATTTCGTAATCTCAGTTCATTACATCTTAGATAATATTGCCATCTCGTTGATTCGTTACCGCGGTCGCTGCTACTAACCGCGAACCTTGTAGGTTAGTATAATATTACTTGCAAGTAGTAGGAACACAGCACATGGACCATATCCACGAAAGTCAGTCCTCTATGACGAGCACCGTAGTCCACAATGATGGTAAAATCAACGAGACGGGCTACAGAAACCGCTCTACAGCCACAGTTGCTTGTAAGCTCATCAGACAGAAATTATGCAGAATGGCGAGGAAAAAAGACATTGATTTATCGATGAATTGGGGCTTGCACGTGAAGGCAAGCCGACCTTGTGTATCCGAAGCAAATGGAATCCGTTTAATGAGAGAAAGAAAAAGAAGAACGTCTCCGAGACGGTGCAGAAAAATCGGGATCGATACTTCCCTCTGCGTATGAGATCTCGGGGAGAACAAAGAAAAAAACAACAACGACAACGACAAAGCCAGAATGACAGCGAACATCTACAATGATCAGCGGAAACCCCGTCAAACCAAAAGAAAACACAGATGGAGATATCCCGCCTCCCGATCTCCGTCAAACCGGCAACGCCTCCAGGATAAACTGCCTATACTCCTTCCACGCGCGATCATGCTTCTCACCCAGATAGATGTCAAAATGACCCATATCATCGAAATACCTGATGACCCCTTTCGGCGCCTTCTTGGCGTAGGCGAGGGTGGTCTTGGGCGGGGCGACGGTGTCCTTGCCGCAGATGGCGAAGAGCACGGGGACTTTGATCTTCGCGGCGTGGGCGCCCGGGGCCAGGAGCGGGAAGGAGGCGATGAGGCGCGCCGGCACGGTCATGTTCTTGAAGTAGTACTCGTGTTTGTCGAGGGGCAGCAAGGGGTAGAAACCGTCGGTGACGTCGGGCGCGTTCATGAGGGCGACTATGAAGGAGGAGGAGGATTGTCAGTCTGGTTTGTTTTTTTGCTTCTTTTTTGTCTTTGTACTTTGGTGTCGGAAAGGGAAGAGGAGAGAGAGGAGTAAGAAGGTTTTGGGGGAACAAGAAAGACTCACTTTCGCCGGGTTTCCCGACGACGTGGATGCGCACGGGGTTCTCATCCGTCCCGAAGAGGACATCCAGGATCCCCAGCCAGTACATGCGAGGCAACTGGGCCAGGCCACAGCACAGCGCGCTCTTCCACCCGTTGGTGAAGGGACACTGGGAGATGACGGCCTTCACGCGAGGGTCGGCCGCGCCGACCTGGATGACGTGGCCGCCGCCGAAGGACGTCCCGAAGAGGCCGATGCGCTCGGGGTCGACGTTCTCCGCGTTCGCCCGCAGCCAGGCCAGCGCGGTGTGCCAGTCCTCCTGTTGCATGTTCCAGTCGATGAGGCCGTGCGGTAAGCCCGTGGAACCGCCGTTGCAGCGGTAGTCGAAGACCAGGGCGGTGTAGCCGAGCTCGTTGAATTTGGAGGCGTAGACGTCGAGTTTGAGCTCCTTTGTTGCGCCTAGGCCGTGGGCGAGGACGATGGCCGGACCGGGGTTCGAGGCGGTGTATTTGCGGGAGCTGTAGAGCCAGCCGGCCATGCGGTCCTTTCCGGCTGGGATCTCGACGTCGATGCGTCGGTCGATGCCGGCGTCGGCGGACTGACTGACCATGGTGTTCGAAACTGATGTGAGAATTGAGGAAACTGTGATGTTGGAAGCCCTCCTCGATGTGGTTCGGGGAGATATTTCAACTGCAGTGATCGGGATCGAAAGGGATTGGCGAGCGATAGTGGATGATCAGGTGAGCGGGTATCAAATTGTTGCAGTTGATATGGCGGAGGTTCAAATCATTCGATTGGAAGTTTATATCCAGTCATTTGCAGACTGGCTTGGAATCACAACCGAGGAAAAGATGCATGAAGGCGTGACTGGGAAATTGTCTTCACTTGGTTGGAAAGACGGTCCCGTTGTGGGCCTCATCGCTCGATCTCGACGGCTTGAACTGGGTGCTAGATCAACCGGCCAAGGGTCGGACGTTGCCTAAACACTTCGGCCGAGTGAGAACCTACGACAGTCTAGGAAGAGCCTTCCTTGCCGGGTTCCACCTAGGACCGAAACGAGCCCGAGAAGCGCTTTCGGCAATCGCCCAATCCTATACTGTAGTCTAATGGTGATGAAGGGTCTCAGGATGTCGGCAACTTGCCGGGATTAGATTGTCCTCGCATCCACTGTCCATCGGGAACTACTGTACATATTATATGTATGAGGAGGAGGAGGAGGAGCATCTAATGTGCCACCCAGGCGAGGTGGGGAGCAAGACGGTCATGGTCAGGCCTTTGGTGAGGCGGTGCAAATTAGAGCCACATGAAATGATCTCTCCTTTAGACGCGTGATGATCTGCGATGGGGTTTAAGTCGAGGGCGGCAAATAGACACTCCAGCTCCAAGCCTAGCTTAGAGCCATGGAATGGGCTCAAAGCACCTAGGGAGACGTCGACCCGGGAGTTGCGGGACGATTGCGGAGGGTGGATACGGGTGAGTGAGTGGAAAGCGATGATGATGATGGTGTATCATAAAACAAGTTGTCCATCGGACATAAATGACCTATCACGAACGACCTCATTCCACTTCTCCAACGACCCAAAGACCCAAAGACCGACTCGATGGTGAGATCTCGCCCGTAATGAGTGAGGGAATAGAATAGCACATACCTATGACTACCTACCTAACTAACTAAAACACCTACCTAGGTAACTACATAGGCAAGTAATAACTACCTACCTACCTAGTAATATATATAACAAGTGCTGCAGTTGTAGATATCTGATGAGACGACGGACAAGTCAAGTCAAAGCCTCTCCCGTTTCAAGATGGAACTCCGAAACAAGCGTCTTTCTCTCGGCTGCAGCTGGCTCGCACTCGTTCCTGAGCACGAGCCAGGCGTTCAAAATGCTTCAAAATGCCTTTCCCATTTTCAACGCTGCAGGGGTTTTATTATTGTCATTCCAATACAGGGAATGGCATACAGTATATTATCACTATGGATCACTGTGATTATATAATACAGGGAGAGTATACAGTATGGTTTTATTACTATTGTTATTATTACAATATACCTAGGTAGGGAATGGCATGCAGTATACAATACAGCATATGATCATCACCATCATCGTCAGGTATCGTTGATGAACCCTACTTCGGCCTATGTAAATCTGTGATCTAGAGGCGATTCGGACCAAGTCGACGGCAACCCGTGGACCCCGCCAATTCTTAACGCCGCCTCCTCTCCGCCCGCCTCTCTCCCGTCTATCCCTCTCTCGGCCGTGCATGTGAAGATCACCGCGGCTCACGAGAGGCGATCGGCTCGGCTGCTGGATTTGACCATCACTCAACGACTCGCGAACAAATCTTTTCGATATTTGTATTGATACATGCCCAAAACTTGCGCGATCAATACCGAAAATCCAACGCTCGTGTCATCGGTGGAATATTTCCAACAGCATAGCACAGTCATGGCGCCACAAACCAATGCGTCTTCGGTGGAGGACTTGGACGTGGTCATCATAGGGGCTGGCATTTCCGGAATCAACCTTGGCTATCGCTTGCAGGAGCGAAACCCCGACCTCAAATGGACCATCCTCGAGGGCCGTCACGAGATTGGCGGAACGTGGAGTTTATTCAAGTATCCAGGTGAGGATGGAGAATTCCTACCCGACACAATGAAATCGAAGCGCTGAGATGTAAAAATCAAAAAACACAGGCATCCGGTCGGATTCGGACCTCTACACCTTCGGCTTCCCGTGGCGACCGTGGAATGAAAAGGGCGCCATCGCGCAGGCGGACCGCATCAAGAACTATGTGAACGAATCCGCGCGGATCTACGGCATCGACAAGAAGATCCGCTTCAAACACAAGGTCGACGCCGCGAAATACAGCTCGGCACAGAAGCAATGGACCTGCGACGTGACCATCGACGGGAAGCAATCCGCGACGATCAAAAGCCGTTTCATCGTCCTGTGCACCGGCTACTACGACTACCACAACCCGTTGAAGGTCTCCATCCCGGGCATCGACAACTTCAAGGGTCCCGTCATCCACCCGCAGTTCTGGCCCGAAGATCTGGACTACTCCGGGAAGAACGTCGTCGTGATCGGATCCGGGGCCACGGCCGTCACCCTGCTGCCGGCGATGGCGGAGAAGGCATCCCACGTCACCATGTTGCAGCGGTCGCCGGGATACGTCATCTCGATGCCCCAGGAGGACGGCATCGAGAAGGTCATCCGCAGCTGTTTCTCCTGGGCGCCCGCGTTCCAACACTCGCTCTTCCGGGCCAAGTGGATCGCCGCCTCGATGCTCATCACCACGCTGTCGAAATATCTCCCGTCCGTCACCCGGCGCATCGTATACTCCTGGATGGACCGGGACCTCCCCGCCTCGACCCCGCGAGACCCGCACTTCGCGCCGTCCTACAACCCGTGGGAGCAACGCATGTGCCTGTGCCCGGACGGGGACTTCTTCAGCAGCCTGCAGTCCGGCCGGTCCAGCGTGATCACCGACACGATCCAGACCGTCACGCCCGACGGCATCCGACTGACGTCGGGGAAAGAGCTGCACCCCGACATCATCGTCACGGCGACCGGCCTCCAGCTGCAGTTCGCCGGCGGCATCGCCCTCTCCGTCGACGGGAAACCCTTCGCCATCGGCGAGAAGTTCATCTGGAAGGGGATGATGATCGAGGACCTGCCGAACGCGTCCTTCTCGATCGGCTACGTCGACGCGTCGTGGACGCTGGGCGCCGACGCCAGCGCCCAGCTCTTCTGCCGGCTGCTGGCGGAGATGCAGGCCGAGGGGAGCCGGGAGGTGACGCCGCGCATGGACGACAAGGAGAAGTCCTCCATGCACGTCTACCCCATGCTGCGGCTGTCGAGCACGTACGTGAAGAAATCCGCCCACCTGATGCCCAAGTCGGGCGACCGCGGGCAGTGGGTGCCGCGGTCGTATTACCTGCGGGACATCTGGAACGCGTGGTACGGGGACATCCGCACGAGTCTGCAGTGGTCTTGAGGGCCGGGGGACATCCAAAAGCTTGCCTTGGATATGAGGGATCCATATTAGAGATCTCTTCTCTCTGCTCTTGATGATCTTTTAGGGGATAGATCATATCATCTCATGCCCTTTTTACACTCCATTCTTCCTTTGGGCTTCATTGATTGGAATTCCCTTTTCATGCAATCTAGAAGAAACAAAAGTCTGCTACATGAAAAGGGAGAGGGTAAATTTAAATCACACATGCATGCTCAGAAGTCGGCAAAGGAAGAGAACGTGCCGCCGAGAGAGGGAGGGAGGGAGAGAAAAAAGAAGGAAGACATGTAGTCAAATGTCCCACCGGAAAATAGAAGAAGAAGTAGTAGAAGAAGAAGAAGGATTTCAACCCGTGCCATTAGATTCCCATCTCCAATCTCATCCTCATCCTCATTCTCGTTCCTATCTTCATCGCGAGAAAGAAATTAAAAAGGGGAGTTCTTATTTTACAACACAACACGAAAATCCACCCTTCCTCGCACCAGAAGTGAAAAAAAAAGATGGAGAGGAGGTTTCCCCCCGCCATGACCTCCTCTTCGGATCGATGCCCCCCACTCCTCAGGATCCCGCAGCGGGAGATGACTTCCCTGGGACAACGGTCTTCCTCCTAGGGATCTGGCCTTTGCTCGCGCTCGTCATCCACTCCGGCGACGACGGCGCCGGGAGGAGGAGGTGGTGGTGGTGGTGAGGAGGATCTGTCTTCTGTTGGTGCGGGGACGCAACACGGAGAGAAGGAGAGGGGATTCGGGATGGAGGTGGAGATCGAGATCGAGCGGTTCGGCCGCTGTCGTCACTGCTGCTGTTGTCGGCTTCGATTCTCCAGGTCGGAGTCTCTCCCACGGTGGTTGTTGTTGTTGTCGTTGTGGATATTTCAGCCTCAGCCGCCGCCGCCGCCATCGGGAGAGAAATAGCCTCGAATACAGCGCCACCGCGCTTTCCCTCGACATCACACTACGATGTCCCCTCGACCGTGGGCGAGACGACCTCCTTGGCCTCGACGAAGACCGGCTCTGGGCTGTTCTCGCGCGTGATGTCGTCGGCGCCGCCGTGCGTCTGCAGTTGCGGAAGCTGAGGGACCTCCAATCCGCCATGACCATTGATCCCCTCGTCCGCCGCAGAGGCGGCAGCACCCTCTGCAACAACGGGAGGGGGAGGTCCCGCGGCGGCGGCCGCCGCAGCCGCAGCCTCCTTCTCCGCCTGCGCGGCCAGGCGGGCCTGGGTGCGGTCCCAGACCTCCTTGCGGGTTTTCTCCTCGCGGAGTTTGCGGATCCGCTCGACCTCCTCGACGCCGCCGGATTTCTTGAGGCGGCCCTCCTCGACGAAGTGGCCGAGTTCGCGTTTGAATTCGCCGCCGGAGCGGCTCTCGAGTTCCCGCTGGCGGGCCTTTTCCGCGCGTTCGATCGCCTCGAGCCGGGACTCGTGGTTGACGCTCAGCGCGCGGACTTCGCCGAGGACGGAGTCCTTGGCTTGGCGGGGGTCGGCGCCGCCGAGCGGGTTGAGCGTGCGCGAGGCGATGCGGTTGGTGGTGGGGAGGAGGGCGCCGCCGGGCCCCGTGGCGGCGGCGTCGGTGGCGCCGGTGGTGTTGAGGTTCTGTTGCTTGGTGGCTTGCTCGACGAGGGCGAAGGTCGCGGCAGCTTTTTCCAGGTCGTCTTCGAGGTCGGCCGCGAGCTCCTCTTGCATGGTGAGGAGGTCGCGGTCGTCGCAGACCACCTGGAGCTCCTTCTCCCAGATCTTGGTCCAGGTGGGTTTCTCGCGCTTGAGGAATTCCTGGAGCTTTTTGAGCTCCATGGTGGCGGTGCTGATGTCCTTGCTGACGGTCTCAAGCTGGCGAGGCAGTGGTCGGACTCCGCGGGTGACGACGTCTTTCCGGAGATCTTCCACCAGGTCCTGCAGGTCGTCGACGCAATTGACGATCCGTTCGCTATCGGCATGCAGTGTCTTCTTGCCGGCATCGACATAAGCCCGGCCGGTGTTTGAGTCCATATCGGGGACCTTGGCATCCGCGACGGCTTTCTTGATCGTGGCAGCCTTGGATTTGATGGACACCATCGATGCGGTGATATCAGCAGCAAAGGAAGTGTACGTCTGCCGAACGACCGCAAGGTCCCGCCGTAGCGATTGGACTTCTTTGACTTGAGCAAGAGCGCCACGCGAAGACACTGGTGAGCCTGACACTGCTACAGCGGGCGCTGGTGGAGGTGCGGCTGCTATGCTGGCAAGTCCTTTGGCCGTCTCTTGTTGTCGTTCCGAAACCAGTTGCAAAGAGGATTGCTGTTCAGAGACGCTTGTACGGATGCCTTCCACGATCCTCCGGATGCTTCCCATGCCTTCGTCGAAATGCCGCTTGACCTCATCTAGGGCTTCCACATTCAGGACTAACACTGATCGCTCCTTGATATCACTCAGATCTTCCAGCTCATGCCGTACGCCCGACATAGGATCCTGTATGTAGATCTCTGGAAGATCGACACCATTATTGTGCGTATTCCAAGCGAACTTCTCAATGAATGCCAGTTGAAGTCTTGGAATTGTAATGTCACCGCCATCGGGAAGAACGAACTTTTTGATCTTGCTCTTGTACTGCAAGAATAGCGTGAGCTCCTTTCCTGCTCGAGGAGGACTTTCCGAAATAAATTGTGAAGCGCGGGGGGAGTATTCCTTGGCATGTCGGTTGATCCGGTTTCGAGGTAGATTGACAGCAGAAGCTGGCTCCGAATCCGTCTCCACCGCGGTTGGCGTGATCGGAACGTAGATCGATTCCATAGGGCCATTGAGTGTCGCACTGAACGTATTGCGAGCTGGCGCAGACACATAGGAAGTTCCTTCCTTATCCTCGGGTGTCCTCGCGGTCGGGCTGTCGAAAGGTTCTTCGGGCTGCGGAGGCTTGAACTCCGGTTGTTCGCGGTCGTGAAGACTGGGCTCTTCAGATATCCTCCGTACATCGGGTTCGCGGCTGTGAGATGCCTCATTGGCCGTTCTGTTCGTCCGCGATCGCGTGCGTGTAGGGAGGGCGACGCCCCGCGACCGAACAGCGTGCATGGACTCGCGAACATCCCGACCCCTATTCGGAATGGGCGAGTTTTGTGCTGGCGGCAGATTGGGGATGCCATTCATGGAACCTCCGATGGCCTTGTGTATCTGATACGCCGAGAAACGGCGAGACGCTCGTCTTTCCAATTCACCACCTCGCTGGAGGGCTGTCAGGGCGTCGTTGGCTCTCCCGGACGGCTGTGGTGGCGGCGGCTCGTGAATCGGCAGTGGAGGCGGTGTCTCGAGTTGACCGGTCGGCATGGTCTCTTCATCAGGGTATGGTGCGATCACTGGCATATTTTGCATCGCATCGCTCGAGAAGGAGGCGGCCGAATCCGACGCGGGCAGCTCTTGGATCTCCGGTCTCTCTGGCGCAACTTGCTGCGGGCTCATGGTGCCTCGATGAGGCGACGACCGTCTTGGTGCACTTGTGGTCCTCGGCGGGACGTAATCCGGCGCCGAACCCATCTCACCACTGTTTTGCCTTTGTGGAAGCGACCTCCCGCTCGACTGGCGCGCAGGAAGATCGTCCAGAGATTGCATCGGGTCCGCCGCAATGCTCACAGTGCTGGCGGTCGAAGCATGTCGCGGCGGCCGGGCCGGCTCTGTAGTTGTTGCGTCTCTTCCACTCCGTTGCCGCAGCCGTTGCTGTTTCTTCTTCAATCCATGCAACAAATTGATGATGATATCCCTTATCTTTGGCAGATACCTCTCCAAGCTCTGTTGTGTGGCATCCTGGCTCAACGTCTCTTCCAAGATTGTCCGAAGCATGTCGGGGACAGGCCCCAGATCGGTGGTGTCGACATCGATCGTGTTGAAAGCGCGACAAGCAATGTTGAACTCATACCCGAGGCGCACATAGACATCGGAAACCTCGCCCTCGGTCGCACGTCCTGTTGACCAGGCGGTAAGTGTTTCGAGGAGTTGTTTGGTGGCGACGAGGAGGTGCGTGACGGACTTCTCGATGGTAGAGAGCTGCTGCTGCGGCTGCTGTGATTGTCAGTTCTGTTTCGTCGGCGCATGAGCACGATGTGAGAACGCACAGTTGTCCTGGACCGGGTTCCTGTTGATCGACCGGAGCCGGCGCTGGTCCTCTGCATCGAGGACGACTCCTCGGGCATGGTTGCCATGTTGTCCGTCGGACCACTCGGGCCGTTCGGATTGTCTCGCGATGTGCGAGTTCCGCGTGCGATGGTCGCAATCGCGGCCGCGTGTGATCGGAAAGGCTGGTGGTCAAGTCGAAATGGTGCGGCCGATTATCGCAGTGTCTCCCAAGAAAGTGACTTTGGAACGCGGTGTTGAAGCGTAGACGACGTGAGCAATGTAGGTTTTCGGGCAGCAACGCGAACGTGTGGTCAGTCTGCGGAGCACGTCCCTGGGACACCGCGGCAGTTTCCCAACAGGATAAAGTTGATCCACTTGCGCCCAACTTTTTCACGAACGAGTGGTTTCGAGCATTATATTATGAAGATATGAAGGTATGAAGGTATGAAGGAAAAGCAGCCGGAATGAACAGGGAGGTGGTGTCTAAGCGGAGTGACGATGGCTGACCGGAACACGCATACAGGAGGTCGTGTTCAAGGGTGTCCATGTGTGGAGCGACGTCGAGCTACATTCGCTAATAATACTAGGTTATGGACAAGGCCGACGATTTGTTAGTCCCTCTCTGGACTCCGGCGAGAGAGAGAGAGAGATCACCCGCAGAGAGAAGGGAGGGCACGGAGGAAAGTGTGCCCTGAAACGACCGCAGGTAGGTGTACCTAGGTACTACTATACGACAGCTATGGCTACGATCGTTTTGCGATTATTACAGGTATTCACGAGGAAGGCTACCTAAGATGTGTATATATGTAAGTATGTATATATGTTTGTATGTAGGTAGGTAGGTACATCGATTCGCATGTACATCTGTATGTAAATATAAATATATATGTATATGTATACCTACCTAGGTATCTATGCTTATATGTATAGACTTTCCTGTAGCTGCACACTAGCCCACGTCGCCCATGTCATCGGAGCGCGCACGTGATCATCTTTGCGATACTCCATCAGAACGATAAGCTCTCTCGACACAGGTGATACACGAAGGGCGACCCGAGCAACGTGATAGGAAGAAGCAGGACGACGTTCCAATTCGACTCGGGCAGGCTGTTGCCGAAACACTACATGGGCGAGTCGTGGAAGATTCTTGTTCTGTGGTCTGCTTGGTTCTCCTGCCAGTCGTAAGTCGTTGCACGCTTGATATTCGCGGAGTCCATGCTACTCGCGGAGTCCATGCTACTGAAGATACGAGATTTAATTATAGAGACATGCCCCAGGCGAAATTGTTTATTGGAGATCTCCATCGAACACGCAGACAACAGCCTGAACACACACAGTTCTCTACCTCAGTGATAAGCAATGATGGGTCCGATCATCAGCAATTTGCGTAATTTGTTTGAACGACTTTGGGAAGGATAGATGCCCAGGTGATTTATTATCATGCTGTTATCCAGCCAGCCCTGGACGGTGAGGCTGCAATGGATGAATTTATTCTTGTCCTGCCCAGGTGGGCACAGTTTACTGTCATCAGTCGAGTCCAAGGTACTAGGTAGGTATCTACCTAGGTAGGTAGGTACTGTATGGTATGGTATACATAGACAATCCGTCGCCAGCCTGGCATTTCGGCCCCTACGAAAACCATGCGCTGCTGCTCCACATAGATCCATGGATTATTTCTTGTTATAACAATACTAATAATAATGATGTTCACGCCGCATGTCCAAAGCAGTGGTGCATCCTCGCTCAGCATCCGCCGCCGTCCTGTACGGTACAATCCGCAAGTGATTGGGGAGAGAACTGGTCGAATCGTGCAGTGTCGCTATTCAACGTTGCACAGTCGTTCTACTAACCTTACCGCACATAGGCATGCCGTAATAATCCTCGTCAGGTCTATGCATTCATACCCGCCTACCTAGGTATGTATGATTATAGTAACAGTTATACCTAGGTAATAATAATATCCAGTCGTCTGTCTCCCTCCCTCTCTCATCTTACTTACTCACTCACTCACTCGCTCGCTCATCATTATTCGTGTACCCTTCAAGCCCGCCCGTCTGCCCGCGCCCGCTCGCGCGCCAAGAGCTTCCCTATTGCCCTGCCCTACCCTACCTCCTACTGTACTGTGCTGCACCGTACCGTACCGTACTTACGTTACCACCTCCCTCCTCTTGTCATTACAGGACCTGTCCATACTTCGGGGATACGAGAGTGGAACTCTCACCCGACCTTTAACATCACATCCTCGCCGCTCGGCATCAACGTCTTGTGCACCGCACATCGACGCTTGCTGGCGTATCAGCTTGTCCATCCGTGATTGAAGGGTATCCTTCCCACATTCAGCATGTCGACCACCACGGTCAATGGCGGCGACCCTGCAAAGTCCATCCATCAAAATGGTCCCAAGGCAGCGTTCAAGGGCAACGTGGTGACCGGAAAGACCCTGGACAACTCTCGCAAGCAAGCAAGCCCACAACCGGACACCCAGAACAGGTACGTGGAAAAGATAAGGGGAGCGAGGAACTACAAAGGAGACACGTCAAATATCCGCTGGGAACGCCGGCCACATTTGCACATCACAACTGAATACAAGCACCTTTCTCCGTCCAAATTTCATACTGATCAGTGTTGGACCATTCATAGAAAACCCTGGCAAGGTCCTCACCCTTTTGCGCAGCGGAATACAAATGGCAACGCGAGCAACGATAGGGCTGCTGCAAAACCCGTACAACCCTCGTCAAATACAAAAGCCTCAACCGAATCACAACCAAACAAGCATGCACACGATCGCTCGATCTTTCTCTTCGCCAACCTAGTCGTATGTACTTTCCACACATGGTCCCTGTTGATGTCTCGCAACCTCGTGCTGCTCAGGTCCTCGCACGTATAGTCGTGTGGAGGATCTTCCAACGCACTTACTGACACAATTTCACAGGGACGAGATGTCAAACTCGCCTACAAGTCCGGCGAAGTCTTCTCGGGAGTCTTCAGCGGATTCGCTCAGGATGCTTCCAACACGGCTCAATACCGGTTGAAGATGGTCAGACGAGAACGCACTGCCACCCAGCAGTCTACCCCTCAGTCAGAGTACATCGGCGATGGCGAGGAGCATTCCATGGCATTTGATGTGCAGGACACCTTGTCATTGTCCGCTCAGGACGTCCCGCTCGGAACCAGCACGTCACAACAAAATGGTAGGCCTCCATATGATCTTCTACGAAAGTGCTTGTGGCTGATCATTTCCATTAGGAGCACGCGGCGGCTCATTCCTTACCGACACCCAAATATCCGGCCGGGAAGGAGCTAGATCAGGGGAGCGAGAACTGCAACGATGGGAGCCAGGTCCAGAATCACTTGCAGACATGTCATTAGGTGATTCCGGTGAGACGGGCTGGGATCAATTCGCGGCGAATGAGAAGAGCTTTGGTGTCAGATCAGATTATGACGAATCCATTTACACCACCGCTATCAACCGCAACAACCCAGACTACCGACGACGCCAAGCAGAGGCCGATCGCATTGCGAGAGAAATTGAAGGCTCGGCACCTGCCAATGCCCATGTGGCAGAAGAGAGGAGAGCCGAGGCCCGGCAGGACGATGCAGGTGATGAAGAGGACAAATACTCTGGTGTCCGACGCGAATCGGTTCCATTGCCTAAACGCGCGGCTGGAGCTTACGTTCCTCCCTCCCAGCGCGCCATCTCCAACATGCCGACGGTGGCCGGTGCTCCTTTCGATCCGGCGATCATATCTAGTCACATTTCGAAGCCGAAGCCTCAGCCTGCAACGCTCCCGCGGGAAGCACCGGTGCCAATCCCAGAGAAAGCCGTCGCTGCTGCGAATGAGCCGCAAGCAGCTCCAAGCCAGCCATCACAGCACACCACAGCTGCGGGCGCGGCCGAATTCAAGAATGGTGAGCCGCTTGCGTCTTCCGGCACCGAATCGGTCGCCAAAGAGCGACAGCCTACGGCTACCGGAAACTTGGCTCGTGACACAGCCGATGCGTTCAAACAGTTTGCAAACGAGGAGAAGCTGCGCATGCGACAACAAACCGAAGCGAAGAAAATGCAGGGCCGTGCCGAGAAGAATGTCAAGCTCAACGATCTCAAAAAATTCGCCGCAAACTTCAAATTGAAGTCGCGCGTGCCCGACGACCTTGTGCCAATTCTCGCCAAAGACCGCGAAAAGCAGTTGGAGATACAGAGCAAGGCCGAGGAGGCCGCGAAGGAAGAAGAGTTGCGTGCGAAGGAGAAGGGAAGCGAGAAGGCATCTCCCTCTCCTGCAGCTACAAGCATCCCAGCTGGAGCAGGAGCCAAGGGTCCCATCGTCGACCCTCGTTCGTTCGGTCAACATCCGCGCGCACGTGCCTCGCAACAAGGTCGCGGTGGCGCCATGATCACAGGACAAGGTCAATCACCACGTGCGCCGCTCAGCACACGCATCCAAGGCAACAATCAGTATTACCAACAGCAGCAGCAGCAGCAGCAATCCTCACAGCGACAGCCAGGAGACATGCGCATGCCTAGCGTGTCCTCAGCTACGGGTGATTCATTGAACCCAAATGCAAACCAACGGCTCAACGTCAATGCCAAGGCGTTCGAATTCCGACCCGGCGCATCCGCCTTTGCGCCTTCGGGGACATCTCCGAGCCCTCAGCGGATTTCCCGTCAGACCACACCACACATCCCATTCTTCGATGAGGAGGCCAAGAAGACTCCGTGCAAGACGGCCAGCTTTGATACTATTGAACGCTTGAGCAAAGCGGATTATGCTGACCACCAAAAGAAGCAATTCGCCTCGAATGGTGGGTTCCCGCAATCGTACACCACGCCACCTACGTGGGCCACGATCAAGGCCAACGACGGTGTCTCATACCTTGCCGCGTTTCAGAAGTCACAAGCCTCTGGCCCGGGAGGCAACATGCACGCCTCTCACGGCCAAGGCCAAATGCCACCAAACGGACCGCAAGCTCTTCCTATGCATATGGGAGGGCCGGGTGGACGGCAGATGTACCCGCAACAAATGGGCCATCCCGGCCAGTACAACCATTTCCAGCAGCAGTTCGGCCCACACGGGCCCGTACAGAATTCTCCACGTCAACAGCCTATTGCGGTCGCTCCCTTCAACGGGCAAATGGCCCAAATGCCATTTCCACAGCAGCCGATGCCCGGATATGGTATGAGTCCATCTATGCCATATCGACAATTGCAGCCCACGCCGATGATGATGATGCCAGGTCAGCAACAAGGTCAAAGTGAGTCCAAACAATGAACGTGGTGAAACTTCGTGTGCAGTGCTAACGATTGGCAGTGAATGGACCTATGCGTCCCGGCTACCCACCAGTGCAGCAATATTCAGGCGGACCTCAGATGGGCGGTCACATGATGGTGCAACAGCCGTCTTCGGGCGGCTACTCGTCTAACGGACCTCCATCAGGCTTCTCTCCGATGCCCCCGCACGCTCAACCTCACATGTCAAACCATCATCTCGGCCAACACCAGAATGGCTTCTCCGGCAGCCCCCGTCCGCCCATGATGCAACACCAAGGTTCGCACCAGGGCTTCTCGGTCATGCCTCCACAGCAGCAACAGATGCCCTATGGCTCCCAAGGCCCGCCGCCGCCGCAGGGAATGCATGGGTATCATATGGGCCATCGCACCATGTCGAACAATGGCTACCCTCCACAAGGGCAGCACCAAGGTCCACCCATGGGAACCCCTCGATCGCATAACGCCATGCCTTATCACCAGAGCCCAGCCGCTCCATCGGTTGGCATGCCGAACAACGTTCCTGCGCCACAAGGAGAGGACGGAAAATGAACGATAGCTATGACGGTCTCCTCATCTTGACATGAAGCCGGTCCTCAAAGAGCGCGTCGGCTCAGGCCAGTGGGATCTCGTACGATTCGTCCATTCGTCCAGGATCAAGCTAGACGCGCCAAAGCCGGCGACAATAGGTCCGCGGAGCCGAACAAGCTCACGCCTGAATCCGATGCGATCAGTTTCACGGGGCCCATGCTCACGGCTCCGTGGACATGGCCCGAAGCCGCCTCTCATTGACGTATATGGGAGCAAATCAGATCTCGGTCTCTGCATCAAATCCTGCTCAGACCTCACCCGCTCGATCTACGTCCTCAAATGGTCCAGTTTGGAACCGCACGAAGCCCACACACTGCAAGAGCAGCACCGAGCCACCATGCATGAAACCAGCCGTGCCCTGTCATTGCTGAGGTCTACTGAAACGGCAATCTTTGAGTCGCCACGGTCTCATCATCCGATCTGCAGGAGATCTATATTGGAATCAGTGCAAGTGAGAAATTCCCACGACATCCGCAAGGTCTCTCCGCGCGAGGATCCCAGTCGAGCCCTGCTTGGAGTCCCAGCCAAGGTATTCTCACCCTTTGACCTCCCTGCCGAGAGATGTCGACGCGTGGGCGCATATCCGCTTGGATTTCACGAAGGGGGGAAGATATGTAGGAAGAGACTCTCTGCAGATGGTGAATGTGCAGCATGGGAGGAAGTTGGCGAGTTGCTCTACTACTTGTACTGCAGATGGCTCGACATGTCGATGCTTCACCCCCATCACCTCCCCTCTCCTCTCTACTCGCTGTGTGCGGAACTGCTGTGGGCAGCCCTTTCTAGCTCCTCTCGATTCTTTCGATCGAGCAGGAACCAACAAATGTAAAGGCGCCATTTCTTGGAAATCATTCCCTTTTGTTGTCTTGTTACACTGCTCCCGTAGTGGCGACGTGCCTTTCATTTGCGATAATTCTCCGTCCCGTGTTGAATTGTCAGATTTTGTGGCTCGTCTTCGAGGCGACAGGCACAATATCTGTACGCCAAGTCGTGTCCGGAGTAACACGTAAGAGCAACCTCATAGTGCACCGTTGGCCCGCATACCATTCCATATCGCAAAGAAAAGGTGTCAACTCAGCCCTCATCCTTTGCGACGACTTCTCCGCCGTGGCGCTCGGGACGAGACGACGCCCTCTATTTTCCAGTGTACAACCTCGCCCTGAGGCATAGCCTCCGGCCTCTGAGATGTAACGGGTTATTGTATTACGATCCTTCGCAATACTCGTTTCCAACACCCATGGATATTGATGGGGATCGTTGTTCAATTATTATCAGGCACGATCCCGCGGCTCCGATGTTCTGTCTTCCGACTAGGGTTTGGGTTAAGTCTTTAACAGCACTAGCGGATTCGAATGGTCGACCCTAACGCTCAATAAATTACAAGCTCGTCGCCGTTCTGATTTCGCAAGCGGGCAGGACACCTGAGGCACAATATGCGGGAGACGGTCGTACTACCTGGGTCAGTAGCGTCTGGTCTGGCCCCGGCTACAGCTGCTTCCGAATGACGACTGCGAGGTTCGGCAAGTACAATGTGAATATACTGTAAAATAATATTACCTAGTAACGATGATGATTCCGCGGAGTGCAGCGGGCAATACAGCAGTATCGATCACGACCGGAAATTGGAGCGCATGGGTGTGTGCTGTCGAAGACCTGACAATATTGAGAATTCGATGCAACTGATATAGATAAACTCTGAAGAGATATCCCTTTGGTATTATTAATCACACGTGCTTTGGGAGTGGAGATGTGGACCCGTCGTTCACATTGGCTATGGAGATCGTACTCCCTGTGGCAGCATAGGGAGTTGGATAGGGGTCGTCGTGCCTGGCGTTCGCGGGTTCATAGATGCGCCGAGGATAGGACGCGGAGAAGTCGAATTGTTGACACACAGGGGAGAAGGCAGTGAAAGGTTATTGAAATGAGGCATGCAAGCTAGGGAGAATTTGAATTGATGAGGAGGACTGAGGCACAGGGATAAGAAGCGTGGTCGTGGCGGGCCTGTACAGATGTATGTATGAGTTTCAAGCACGATGTACAGCATTCGTACCAGGCAAGGTGAACCTGTGTCACCGATGCTTGTGCAGGATGTCTACCCACGTCTCAATGAGAGACCGAAGGTGTGTTCGAATCCTGATCCTGAACGATGCGAGGCACTCCTTTATATGGTCAGCTTGCAACGTGGATCGCAGGACAACAGATCGATGCATGCGATGGGTCTACGAGCCACCCTCCCGTTCAGCCCGTGAGGTAGAAAACGATCGCAACAACCTGCTCTTCACAGTATGTATTTCGCTCTGAGTATTTTAAAATTGCATTCTTGCCCCTGCTGAAGGTTAGCTTGCGCTTTTGGAGCTGTAGAAAGTAGCATGAACCTTAAGACTTTACTTCCCCAGTAAGGCTGCGAGGTATACAGTACATGCGAGAATGAGACGAGGAGGAGTAGAGTCCAACCGGCCGGAACTTGCTCAGGCAGATATTCAGCGATGTCGCCGAAACGCTCGCATTGGCAATCGAATGTCCATAGCGTGATTTCATGTGGGGGATTTGGAAGAATTATCTCCTGGACTACGGCTATTCGCCTGATCGGACTCGAGAGCTAGGAAACGGTCGTTTCAAACGTGGATGCGGATGATGCACGTGAATGCTGCGAGACACGAAACGCGAACAACGGGCGACGATGAAGAAAAGAAGTGTCCGACGGAAACGGTCTAGCCAGGTGCATCAACCTTGAACGGCTGTCCCAAAGCGATCATCGATGAAGTGCGGTTTATGGCAACCAGAAAACATACTCATTCCGCCTACACGGCTCGAATAGAATTACTGCTCAATGGTCATCCTCATCATCATCTCCAAAGCCTGAGATTGACCTCTCATTGGGGTGAGGGCACTAACAAACCATAAACATGCCGTTACCTCTTGCCTCACGAAATGTTCAGGAGCCCGCGACATCGCAGCAGAGCGAATTTAATGCGTCATCGTGTGTTACTGGCAGTCGAACGATGTGCATCTGACGAGTGAGGTGTGTAATACCCCTTCCTCCGCAGCTCGCATCTTCTCAGCCAACACGGTAGAAAGTGTTTCCGAATTTGCTACTCTACCTGGGAAATGCCGAGAAACGAGTATTTGTAAGAGGCTGACGTTGAGGGCGAAATTGCGGATGACAGTCAAGCCGGAAGGAACGTCGCTGGAATGATGACCAGCATGCTAATGTACTGGGGAAGACAACACCTGCACGGCGGCTTGGCTGATTGCCTCCCTGGCCCTGGAGTGAATGGTCTTGTTCTTGCGGCAGCGAAACACGCCGCCTGTTGGGATGAGATTGCGGCTTGGGAGATGAGAGGGAGGCAAACAACCCGGCAGCGTCTCTCTCCGGGCATCGGTTTCTGCTGCGCAGGCGCGGCTGGCCGTCGAGACAGCATGACAAAGATGATCCAAGGAGAATAACAGGCTCCGCGCGCTATTCTCCTCTGGTACGAGAAGGATGAGTCTAGCGGCTGGACCATCTAGACCTGCACCCTGCAGTCATCGTACGGCAACGAATGTACCGCTCCAGGGCCAAAATCTCACCAGCAAAGTTCGGAAATGTTCACGTCCGGGGATGCCCTTCCTACTGGAAGTGGTCTCGGCCCGCTCCCGCAGGTTCACTCTGCAACTTCGGTTCACCTGGGCAAGCTGCATTTTGGTGATGATCGTACGAACTTCCCTCCGGCAAAGGCGCAACCCGCCCATGTGCGATGATAATTACACACGATCAAGATCCACTAGCGCACATGCGAAGAAGAGAGGCAATGTCGAAAATCAGATCATTATGATCCGTCCACGTCGAACACGGTAGAGCGCCTTCCAACGGCCACGAGTCTTCCGGCCAATCGTATGGGTTCCGGCGCACACAATGCACACCTCTCTCTCTCTCTCTCCAGGTTCATTCGACGCGATCGCAAGACTACTGTAAGGCGGCTATCGTCCTCTCCTTTGTTTCTGATCAAAGTCATCGTCACCAGCCCAGCCAATGTCAGCGTTGCGGCGTTGCTGCGGCTCGCCTTGCTCCATCGGATCTCGAAATTACCGAGCTTGCTGCACACCAAATCTCCAGATGCGGCCATCATCACTTCCGGACGACAGGCAGTTCCACACGGATTAAGATTCGTCATGAACATAGAGACCAGACCGTTACGCCCCTTGTTCTTACCCTCGAGGTTGATATAAAGATGGTGCCCGTGGACGTCTTCAGTAACATTTCTCAGAACATCAGCTCGACATCAATACAATAGCATTTCATTCTTTCAACATTATACCTGCAAATTTCAGCTTACTGTCGTTAATACTCAACATGCGTTCCGCTGTCGTCGCCTCCGCCCTTGTGGCCGCCGCCGTCGCCGCTCCCCTCGAGTCGCGCCAATCCGCCATCAACGATGGTGTTATCCTCAACTACGCCTTGACCCTCGAGCACCTCGAGAACACCTTCTACCACGAGGCTCTCGAGAAGTTCACCGAGGCTGACTTCCGCAAGGCCGGTGTCTCCTCCGAGTTCTACTGCAACCTCAAGGAGATCGCCTCCGACGAGGCCACCCACGTCTCCTTCTTGAGCGGTGCCCTCTCCAAGGCCGGTGTCACCCCTACCTCCGTGTGCACCTACGACTTCGGCCCTTCCACCGTCGAGAACTACCTCGCCGTTGCCAACATCCTCGAAGGTGTCGGTGTCAGCGCCTACCTCGGTGCCGCCCAGTACATCTCCAACAAGGCCTACCTCACCGCCGCCGGCTCCATCTTGACCGTCGAGGCCCGCCACTCCGCCTACCTCCGCGACAACCAGCTCAAGCGCCAGAGCCCCTTCCCATCGCCTTTCGACGTCCCGCTCGACTTCGACGAGGTCTACTCCCTCGCCGCCCTCTTCATCAAGTCCTGCCCCGAGAGCAACCCGGCCCTCCCCGTCAAGGCCTTCCCCGCCGTCTCTGCCGCCCCGGCCAACCCCGCCAAGGTCGGTGACAAGCTCACCCTGACCGTCGCCAAGTCCGTCGAGGCCAAGGCTGCCTACTTCATCACCATCCTCGGCCCCGTCGCCGCCGAGCTCTCCGGCTCCGGCACCTCATACACCATCACCGTCCCCAAGGACGTCCAGTCCGGCCAGGAGTACCTTGTCCTGACCTCCGGCACTGAGGCCCCCACCGACGACAACATCGTTGCCGGTCCCGCCGTCATCGAGATCGTCGACAACGTCACCAACTCCACCGCCACCAACGACGGCCGCTACAAGGGCTGGAAGTGGAACTCCCGCCACTGGTAGATTATTCCTCTCATCTCTTGAGGGATCTTCACACACCAGTCGAGCGTGCCTGTAACACTCGATGTTTAAATACACATACCCCACAACGCTTTTTCGAGCATTTACTTTTATAATCTTTTTTATGATGATTTGTTTCCCACCGGGAAACAGGAAAAAAAGTCATTTTGGACACATGAATAATACAGACTAGCTTTTTGGTCGTACATAATTTCTCGTAACGCAAAAATCAAAATTTGCAGACAACTGAACGTTCCTTCTCTTCTATTCTCTGGTGCGATTGTCTTCAATCGTCACGGCTGTAGCTTTCCTATCCATCCACAACTTCATCGTCGGCAACGAAACTTGGTCCGTGATTGCTTCAGTCATCGTGCGGAAGGTCCATAATGGTGCTCCGTTTCAAGAGTGGCTGACGGAGTGTTTCCCCATTGATCCACCTCACTCCTTGCATCATGACAAAACGTGCCTGCACAATACTCAAGTGCAATCATCGCGCCAACGTCGGTGTTTGCCCATTTCGTCAACGCAGCTTTTTCACGCATCCAGGCCCGAGGCACACCTCCCGATACCCTAATCCTCCGTGCTGCAGGTGCGCTCATGCCGCGTACCGCGCGCGCCGAATCCACCTTTTATCACATACGAACAGTCCTCGAGGCCAATCTCGTCGTCGGCATGATGGGCTCTCGCTGATAAAGGCGAGTCTCGTTGATTCGGGCAATGGGATTCTCACTTCATCGGACCGAGGAGGCCAGTCCGCCATCACCGGCAACGGTACTCGGAGTGAGAAGAACGGAACCGGGAATTGCGATGGCTCCTTTCGCGTGTCGCGCGTCTTTTCGTGATTCGAGACTCTTGACTTGTCCAGCGTCGAGCTGTATTGCGATGCCTGCCGCGCAGCTCGATATCGGAAATATCACTTCATCTCACGACGACGACGACGACGAAGCCGCCTTTTCAACATGTTCGCTCGACGACGCGCGACCATGTTGAGAACCTTGGGAGACGCGATGACCCTGTTTCGTTGCTGCTGCTGCGGCGATAATTGTCGGTCTTCCCTTCGCAGGTGACTCGCCGCGGGTTTGTCATCGTGCATGCGGGCGAAGCCCCACGATTGCGTTGCGAATTTCCTCCCTACCCACGCCCCACCATCACCACCACCGCCGCCACCACGCCGCCACGGCTCGCCCTGGGTGCTTGTTAACCTCGGAAGGAGGCTTGCATATGAACACCACGCGACAAGGCGAGGAGAGCAAGCAAGACGTGGGCGGGAAGATTACTCATTCCGCATGACTTTTGGGAAGGTTTGCATAAGTTATCTTCCTCTTTTTTCTTGAAAGGCAAGGACATCTTGAATGAATTTTGAATTACATTGCCGAAGAACCAAACTATAGGACGAGATCTGCGTGGAAGCCTGCAAATTGAGAGGGGAATCAGGCAACATCGCCGCATCAACTTTTACTTATTGCACCTTGTCTAGAAGACTCGAACGACGACGCATTGAGTCCGAGATCACGAACCGCGAGCCATCTCGTCGACTGCCGCATAACCCACCCCGCAACAGCAGCACGTACGATCACGTCGTTCATCATGGCCGACTACTCCCAATACAACGGCATATCTCCCGCCATGGAGAAGCTCCTTCCCCACATCCCGGAGCCGCCGCCAGGAATGACCATCCAGACCCTCAAGCAATACCAGAACAGCAGCCGCGAGGAAGCAGTACGCGAGGACATGAAATCGCTGGCCGACAAAGTCGTGATCAAGGACCATTCCATCCCGTCCCGCGACGGCACCACCCAGATCGAAGCCCGCAGCTACCGACCAGCCGACAAACCCGCCGACGCGAAACTTCCCATCTTCCTCTTCTTCCACGGCGGCGGGTTCCTGCTCGGCACCCTCGGCACGGAGGACTCCACCTGCTCGCGCGTCGTCATCGCGCTCGGCGACGTCGTCGTCCTGCACGTCAACTACCGACACACGCCGGAATTCGTGTGGCCGACGCAGTGGGATGATTCCGAGGACGGACTGGAGTGGGCGTATGCGAACGCCGAGGCTTTCGGCGGCGACGCGTCACGGATCGTGGTGGGAGGGATCTCCGCCGGGGCGCAATTGACGGCCGCGCTGGTGCAGACGAAGAAGCGCGAGGGCGCGGCTTCGTTTGGGAGTCTCCTGGGCCAAGTCTTGATGATCCCGTGCCTGACGGATGAGCCTGCGAGGGAGGCCCTCTTCGCGGCCAAATTGAAGGACCCGAAAGTCTCCTCCTGGGTCGACAATGCGGATGCTCCGATCTTGCCGGTCAGTCGGGTGAGGCTCTTTTCGCAGCTGCTCCTGCCTCAGGATAAGGTGGTAGACACTGTGGATCCGAGGGTGAGCCCGGGCATCGCGACCGATGAGGAGGTCAAGGGTCTGCCGCCGGCGGTGTTTGGTATCGCAGGTTTGGACCCGCTCCGGGACGAGGGACTGTTGTATGCGGAGCAATTGGCTGCGAACGGGTGAGTCTTCTGCGTATTTCCGCTCGACCTCTTTTGTGCATTTTATCTGGTGTGGCTACGGCTGACTGTGAGATCTCCAGCGTACCGACAAAGACACACCTGTTCAAGGGTGTGCCTCATGGTCACCGACGGTTCGGTGACCTGCTCGCGAGTGCATCCAAGGCCTGGGACGAGGTCTTGGAGGATGGTGTTCGCTGGGCGTTATCTCGGCCCAAGCTCGAGGCGAACTCGCCGGTCATTGTTCATGAATAATGGGAGACTTTCCGAGACGAAGAAATATGCTCGAGAGTAGAAGTCTAATTGAATTGGACTATGCCAAAACTTGCACCGTTGCCGCATCAGATCCGGACGACGATCATTTCACGATACTGCGAGTCAGAGTGACGAGAAAGTATATACTGCACGCCGAGCGCTGATCGTCTATCTGCTCAGATTGATGACGGCGGATGCCTTTCCAGTGATACCGCCGGTAAATATTGCCATCGATAGATACCTAGGTAGATAGCCCTTGATGTCATGACGTCCGCCATATTCCTCCGCCTCCACGAGCGCCCAAGACAGCCACGCCTCAATGATTGTTAGTAGGACGCTTGCAGTGAGATGTCTCACACGATCCTCCGATCGTTTGCACATTCAGGATAAAGCGAGACATTCGTTGGGATCGGAGAATCTTTGGCGAACGAAAAACGCCGATCGAACTGTGGACAAGATCGGTGGCCGGAGAAGAGCCATGGGTCTGGTACTCCAACATGGAAAAGGCCAAAAACCTCGTCACTGTTTCAGGTCGCGGGTTTCCTTCATATTTCGTCAGAGTGATGGGGACCTGCGCTGTCGACCGTATAGCTGGGAAAATTACGGAGACTACTGTACTGGAAATCATCGTGCAGCTGTGGACACGCGCATTCCCAGGACCTAGGGTGTGCGGCGGATGGGAGGGACTGTCATAATCCCAGCGCACCGAACACATCGACGGGGACATCGGCAGCTGCTGCAAGGTCGTAATTCAACATGGCGCATCGGGCATGTTGCATGCATAGACGAGGCGAAGAAGAACCGTGGGTATGCATGTAGCTAAAAACGGGACGACGTGCCTAGATGAAGCCCTCGTGTGGCTCCGTTCCCAGTGTCTCCTTCCTTCCAATGGTCAGTCTCTTGGGAGGGCAAATCCAGCCCTCAACCGCGCGGCCTATTGGGCTGGGCAAACCCGGCTTCCATGAGAGCATCTCGACAACGCGCTCTCGCTCGCGATGCGATAGTCCCGGCATGGTGTTCCGAACACGATACCCAGTTGAGGTCATCAAACAATAGTGATCTTACATTATCGATTGGACTATTGGGTGATGATTGACGGAAGTGACTAGACCACAAAGAAAGTTTAGCATCCCTGGCGGGAAACAGAAGCCGCAGTCCGGACGACGTCACTTTTCGCCCTGAACTGGCCACGAACGTTGGTCGGAAATGCACCAAAACACATGGAGACCACGCATTCGGTTAGATCGGTCTAGCACTCCATAGATATCTACCTAGGTGGTCACCTTCTAGTGTGCAGACTTCACAGTGCTGGGCTGGAGGATGATGGTGGTGGTGTGGCAAGCGCCGACGTCGACAACAACCACACTTCAGGAAACAGCGATCCAATCGTTCATGACACTGTTCTGATCTCTACCGTGATCACTACCATATGCTACCATGTACTAACATCACCGGTCATGTCCCATCTCTGCTCCTCAATGGGCTTGGGACCATGCGCAAGCCCGCCTCTGGGTGTCCCACGGCATTGTCAGACACAAGCCCGGTGAGACGGTGATGCCAAACATGGCAGAGCTGATCATCACCATGGATGAACATCCCGGTCCGATTGACAGGTGATTAATATAAAATAGATGCCCTACCCACCACCACCACCACTCTATTGTGGAGAGGTATATTGCAGGCCAATCATGTCATTCTCTGGATGACCACAGGCCCAAATTCAATACAGTCAAGTAGATGACCAGACGTCTCGAATGGGATACACATGGTATTGCGCTATCTCCGTCTGTCAGCACCCAAAGTAACCTGAAGCGTTGCGGAACGCGCTTCTCCGCTCGTTCTTGCCGGGCAAACATCCCGAGTGGGTTCTGGTGTAGTTCCAGGGCTGCTTTCCATTCTCGTCGTTACACACCCGCACCTGCTCTCCATGCACTTGCCTTGTCATGTACAAGCCCATGGCTCTCGCTCGGCGTTTTGTCCGGAGTTCAGCCCACGGTACGAGATCATGAAAGCATCGCCCTGCATCCGTCCCGTCCATTCGCATGAAGCCACCCGGCTGCAGGTCATGATGATCAACTGGAAGTCTGGTCCAGATGATTTCGACCCGCAGACTGCGCCAACCGCGACTTCCTGAAGGAGCTGGCGCCATGCGGCCTGCTCGTCATAGTCTGCATAGGTCAGAGACACGGGAATTTACGAAGCTCGAGCGAGACATTGTGTTGGACCAGGCTGGTAGTCGCAATCATTTTCGCGCAACAAGACGTGTTCATCAAATCGGTTCGCTAGTGCTTCAATTCGGCGTTGCGTCCATCTGCACTCGTACCGGACCGATGATCTAGATCTGACTTCGATTGCATCCCTCCTCCTACCTAGCAGACGTTGGCGTCTTTTACGAGCATAGAGGACTATTGTTCAGTGCCCTGCCGGCGATGCCGGTTCAGCTATCCGTCCTGTTCGACAAGACCACATTTTCTCTCTCTTCACCTTTGCATCTGCTCAGCACCCAACCTTCTGCAAATCACACCCTCATCACTACTGCCGTCATCATCTCTTGACAGACGCACACAGCCGAAGCTTGTTATCATTCCCATCACCCTTCTCTACCAGCGAGTCAGCTTCATATTCAAGAGTACCATGTCTTGTAATGTCCTTCTTTCATCCTAAAAAGTCGCCTTACGCGGACCTCCGCCCTCAACCATGCCTGCCTCCAGTCCTCTCACCGACGCGCGCTCCGGTGCCTCAGAGCAGTAGCTTTCACGTCGCTCGACATCAGAAACCCAGGCCTAGTGGGATGTATTCTCGAGACTTCGTTGAAGACACCAAAAGCGACACCGCGAGCAATACAAGCGCCACGGACTCGGGCTTAGTATGGCAGATTGATGGGCGACGCTCGCCTCGTGTTGCCATCTCGCCGACCACAACTTCCAGCGCTGGCACGCACCCACAAGCGTTCCAACAACCCAACCTCTCCGCGCTGCAAACCGAAGGGCCTGACAATGGCGACGCTCATCTTGTCGAACCACTGCTCGAGGATGATCCGAGATCGTTCGACCTCGTACCTGCAACGACCGGAGGGCCACAACGGGGCTACAACATCGAGGAACGCGCTGCTCTCCTGACCAGTGGGCGTCACTTACAGACCATCTTCGACGACCCACGGCTGTATAAGAACTTCGTCAGCTGGATACAGACATATCGACCTGGTAGCATCCCGAGGTTGACCAACTATCGTCAGGCCAAGAAAGCAATCCAGGCGATCAAGTATTCGAATGCGATCACCAACAACATGATGGCTGTGGAGGGCCGAAGCTTCACTCAGGAGCGACCCGAGATCACCGTCTATCCTCACTTGGAGAAGCTAGCCAAAGGGACGTTTGATGAATTGGTCGCAGAGGACTTTCCAGCCTACATCTGTTCGATATGGATTCCCATCATCGCGGCGACCGTACACCAGCGCATTAACGGTGCGCTTCCGGACAGCCTCAAACAAGCCAGTGAGGGCCTCGCCGAAGTCTTTTGCCTGACCGATCCTCGACAAAAGGATGATCCCATCGTTCTGGCCTCGAAGGAATTCACGACGACCACTCAATACGGAATGAATTTTATCTGCGGCCAGAATTGTCGTTTCTTGCAGGGCAGTGGCACTGATCCGCTAGCCGTCAAGCGTGTACGTGAAGCTTTGAAAGCGAAACGCGAACATTCGGAGTTGTTCCTCAATTACCGTCGTGATGGGAGCCCATTCATGAATCTTTGCCTATTGGTGCCGTTGACCGATTTCGACGGCAACCTCAAATACTTCCTGGGTGCACAGGTCGACGTCTCAGGTCTCCTTCGAAGCTGCGCTGGCTTCGAGAGCTTCGCGCGTACTGTACGAGATAGCCAGGACGACGTTGACAACGACTTTGAAAGCAGCCGTCGCGGCTCCGTCCTCACCACAACCGCTGCAATGAATGCCGCAGGCGAAGATTTCCGCGACCTGGCGGAAATGCTCGACGGTGACGAACTCCAAACAGTGCGGCGGCATGGCGGCGCCATACATCGCGGTGGCGATTCTGCCGACTACGATAGCGATGACCGAACGCCCCGCCGCCGGCATTACAGTGACGCTGCGAGCATGTCATCTGTGGTGTCAAACCGTCCGCGCATGCTTCTTGTGGATCGCAATGAAGCGGCATGGTCAACGAGGAACGTGCGTCCGCATCGGATAGGAGGTGGTGCGTACGGAGAAAGCTCGCCGAATCGTGCCGCGCAGACATCGACGGAGGACTTACAGTTGAGGATGAATCGACAGTTGGACACCATGTACAAGGATGTGAGTATTCATTTCGCTCCCATTTGATCATCGATCGTCGCATACGCTGCTACTTCAGCGATTGGACTGGAAACCTCTCCTCTCATATGCTGTGATGATTTGCTGACCAATCTGAGTTTACAGTTCCTCCTCGTTCGTCCAGCTCCCAGCTTCAACATCACATTTACCTCCGCCACCATGCGCGACGAGGATGTCATGCAGACCGAATTTTTCCAGCATATCGGCGGCAGTGTGCGGGTCCGTGACGGACTGAAAGATGCCTTGAGTCAGGGACACAAGGTCACCGCAAAAGTCCGCTGGAGTTCCCGATATCGTCGGAAAGGCGCCGAGTCGAAGATGCCGACGACGTCCACCAGACCGTTCGCCGGAAGCAGCTACAACGGCTCCTATGGAAGAGGAGGAGGAGGCGATGAAGGCTTCTGGATCGACAACCCGAGAGATGGTCCACCGCCTCCATCAAGAAGTTCCCGGAAAGATGACATCGACGGGGAGTTGAGGTGGATCCACTGCACGCCGTTGGTTGACTCGACCGGACGGATCGGTGTTTGGGTCATCATGTTGATTGACGAATGAATACCTCCTTTCAAGATCGGTGATTAAACATGCATTCGGTCACCCGCGCGTCTCAGCACTCTCGCGACGCTGCCACGGAGTCTGAAAATCTGGAAAGGAAACCGCGAGTCGCATGAATGTCAAATATGTGCCTCTCACCTCAGCAACATTCACGAGATGGTAACCACATCTATTTTTACCCACCACCTACCAAACTTCCTCGATACCGACAAATCCCGCACCCCTTTTGTCCGATCGCTGGGAAGCAAGCAAATCCTCCCTCATCTCATCTTTTTTCACGAACCTTGCAACTTTATCTATGATACTACGATTCTTCTTTTCTTTCTCTGGGGGTCCCCGTCGCAGAAGCGGCAGTGCGCTGCGGTTGGAATGGGACTTGGTGTGCGACGAATGCGATGATTTCTTTTCGGAGGCCAACGCAGAAGAAACATTGTACTGTAATAACATGATTGTCATTGAAAATGGACATGAGCAAACAATTCTCCAGGCAATGCAATGTCCAGCCCTCCTACAGACAGCCTCAATATAATTGAGAGATGCTTGGTCTCCGCCGGGAGAAAGTCGTGGCGGAGAAAGGCTCAGTGCATGGCATGTACCACGCCTCGTAGGGGCCGGGGTGGGTGAGGAAGGGGGGAGATCGGAGCATAGATTCCGCCCGTTAAAAACCCACCCAAGACTTATCCCAACCTTCAACCTTTGGTAGAAACTGTCGTTTAAGTCGGCTGGTAAAATTGCTTCCTCCAAAAGGAGAGAAAAGAAACATGTCCTCCTCTCCAGCACGAATCTATCCAGTCCCCAGCCCCGCACTTGGAGACAACTTCTTATCCGTGAGCCCCCCACACGGCCCATTTCCAGCCCAGTACTTCTCGGGCCAATCGTCCAAGTGCAGGTAATCGATCGTGAAGTTATTCGCGGAGGGGACGCAGCTGCTCTCCGCATCGATCAGTTTCACGTAACACTCGCTGTAGTAGGAGACCCAGTAGGCCGCTCCCGGGAGCGCCTGCGCCGCCGCGCAGCAGCCTTCCTTCCCGTACGGGTAGGCCAGTCGCGCGAACTCGAGGCCCCGCACGGGCTTGGAGATGGTGATTTGCACGTAGTCCTGCGGCCCCGGGCCGTCCGTGATCCGGTCGGCGAAGTTGGCGGGGTCGCGGCAGGCGTCGTAGATGTATTTGTCGGTGTACAGGGTCTGCGTGGACTGGATCACGGTGGTCTGGGTTGTGGTTGCCTCAGCGAGGAATGAGGTCAATGTGGATGGCGTTGTGGCGGTGATCGTCGTGGGATGAGCGAGGGCGCTGAAGATCTTGGAGAGATCGTGCGCGTCTAGGCAGGTGACCGGCGTCTCGAAGGAGTATAGGTTCCCCGTGGGCGTCCTTGGGGGTGTGATGGTCGTGGCGGGCAGAGTTGAGATCGAGAAGACGGTGCTTGTCACAATTTCGCAGGTGGAGACTTGACGTTTCAAATTGTTGGGATCGAAGGTCTCCGTTGTTGTCGTAGTCATTTCACCGGGAGCTGGGCGGGTCGCGTTCGGGAGGCTACCCTGGATGGGGACCCAGCCAGATGGGGTAGGGACTGTAATGGTAGCAGTCTCAATCACTTCCGTAGCGAGATATGAAGTCGTTGTGTCGGTCACAGTGGTCATTGCGGCCGCGGTCACCGTCGTTGTGTACGGATACACCGTCGACCGAGCGACTTGATAATTATAAGCAACCTCAAATCCGACAGAGGAGCCATCGCTTGCTACATTGATTGAATATGCAATTGAGTGGACCGGGGTGACAGTCTTCGACTTGGTGACGGTGACCGTCGTTTGACATTGTGCGGGAGATGTGGTTCGCTTGGCGGATGGGGAATAAAGCGTCGGCGATGTCGTGGTACGACTTGATCGACCATATCCTGGCCCATTGGCAACGGCATGTCCGCCGGCATGCGTGAGTGCGATGTTGCTGACCAATGTCAGGAGCGAAAGGTGTCGGAGTACCATCTTTGAGCTAGTCGTCTTGCACAACCGCAGGATGGAAAGCGATGTTCAGCTGTCTCAAGAATTGAGGATGAGAGCGCCATTCCGTACGACAGGAGACCCGAGTACTTCTTGTTCCCGGAATTATGTGTCGGATGATTTTTCCCGACGCTTGATGCTTGATGCTTGAGGCGTTCGTGGCCGGGGCGAGAACGCCTGTGTTGCGGGTGAAGTCTGCGGGGAACCTGGCAATGTCATCGCTCCAACATCGCACGAAGGACATGCGCCTCGAAGCCACGGCGGTCGTACATCTCGGCTTCAATGATGAGCCTACCTGTTATGGCGAGTCGTGCCTGATTTCTTCAATTGGCGAGATGATCGACTCTCCAAATCTGGGGTCCGAAGTATGCAGATCTGACGATCACTTTGCAGAGGCTGAACATAAATGGACAATTCAGGACTTTGCGTATTACATAAGCATTAGTGACTGGCTGAGCGTACGATCAACACATGGCTTCTTCGAACGATTCTGGACATGCCTCATCTTGAGTTTTGATGAAATAAACCTGCATCTGACTCTCGATCCAAATGGCTTTCGTTGTGTGGTAATATATATTATGCGTCCTATTCTCATGCATCAATAAGCCAATAGATAAATACAACGCCGAGGCATTGCTCACGAGCTGCAGCCACCGCGACGCCACAAGCCCTCCTGTTCGACGAACTTCACATCGTGGCAACAGAAGAGGAAATTTCCCAATGCCTTTCTCAGAGCGGCATCAGCACGACCTTCGCAGGCACGAAATTCCACTGCTGCGGCCGTTGCTGCTGGCTTCGTCTCGTCGTGTGTCTATTCGACATGTCCGCGTCGCCAAATTCCCCGTTGCCTTCCTCCCCGATCACCTCATCCTCGTCGTCCACCGAGTAAGCCGGCATGATCCAGCGCAAGCCCGGCATGACGCCGACCGCGACCTCCTCGGACGTTTCGCCCTGGACGGCGCGCAGGGCTCCATCATCAACCGGCAACATCCGCGCCGCGTCCATTTCCATCTCGGACTCGACCCACACCCATTCGAATTTCTCCGTGCAGATTTGCACGCTGGCGCGGAGGACCAGTGCTGCAAGACAGATCTCTTTACAGAATTGGGGGATGTCGGGATGGTGGGCTAGTGGGCGGAGCGTGTTGGAGAGATTATCGTCACTGTCTTGGAGTGTGGTTTGCTGGGAGTACTTCTCTGCGGACGCGTAGAAGGCGGCCGTGGCGGCGCTGTTCTCAGAGGGGCGTCGAGTAGTGTCGTGTAAATGTAGAATCCCGTGGAGCTCGAACGCTTTGTCCCAGGCCGTGGGACGCAGGAATGATTTCATAAAACGGCGGTCTTCGTGAAGTTGGGTAAGGGCAACTTTCCGGAAGAAGTCACGCATGAGAGGCCAGGCGGCGGAGTCGGCTCGTTGCGGCGGTAGAGGTCCTGTCTCTTCGTACTCTCCAGCTTGTCCTGCCGCGGCTGCGTTGACTCCGCTCTGGTAGTATCCCTTCGCCCAGCGATGTGTTAGGTTACGCTCATCCAGCAGCGACCAGAGCGGTGCTCGATGGAAGCCTGTCGTATCCGTGTCGAGAAAATTCTTGCGTAGAAATGCCCAAATCAGGGCGATGAGGAAAGTACGCGCAGAAAGTGCGCGATGTTCTAGCAAGGGACCAGCGACACGATGCCAGTCTTTCGATTCGCTGCCAAAGATACTATAGTAGAGATCGGCCAGGGCCGGTGGCGGGCTGGCATGCAGCAGTGGAGCAGAGGGTAGGTTCGGATTGCTCGATTGAGGATAGAAAAAGGAGGCCAGTTGAGTGACTTTGTGGTGAATCTCTGTCAGGCGATCGCTTAGGGAAAGGTCTTGTCGCGTCGTGTTTTGTGACGGTGCTTCCACAATTCGGAATTGTCCGCCCTTAGACCAGGCGTCAACTGCGACATTTGGTGTGCCGTTAGTGTGCCATGGATTCGGTGACGGTTCTCGTGGATGATTTCGTCCGTTGCCATTCTGTTGCGTGTGTTGCCCGAATTTGAGATGGTTATCAGCCCTTCCATTGCGGCTCGAATAGATTGGTCTTTGGGGACTGGCCTTCCTCTCCGGCCGAGTTCTATCGGGATCGTACTGCATTGCGTCTTCGTATTCACTGCTTCCTTCGCCGTTATCTGACTCATCCGCATACTGCTGTGGCGGTGATCTAAGCTCGCGACGATTACCTCCAGCCTCCACTGATGAAGCTTTGCGACCAGTAGTATATCGACGTGTGCGCGGCAAATCTTCCTGCAAAGACATGCGACGAGCTTCAGAATGTTTCACACCGTTTGACGAACGCGTGCTGCGCTCGTTGTCTTCAGCGCTCGTTCTCGGTCTTTTCTGCACAGGATATGACTCAGAATCGCCTCGGTCCTCTGAAGTCCCGTGTCGACGCCGTCCGGCATTCGATGAGCGGCGGTACTCCCGACCCGCCTCGGTCTCGACGCGTTTCCGCTTGCCGTCAGCGCCAGACCTGTCCGACCGACGAGAGTACCCATACGCACGCAGTCTCTCTGTACTGAGGATATCACTCCCAAAGCGGAAGAGAGCATGCACACGATCATGCAACTTGTCATCGCCAGTTAGATCGCGAAATTCGGGGCGGCGATCTTGCGCAAGACGATTGAGCACGCGTCGTAGAGTCTCATGGCTGTCGCCCCATTTCCCTTTACCTTCCCAGTTGAAATCGTATTTGGTCACAAGTGAATCGAGGAAGTCGTTCTGAGACTCTACGGTAGTATATTTCCCGAGATTCGAATCAATAGCCCCAAGCAGGATAAGGACGTTGTTTGCATTTTGAGGTGTCCTGACCGGAGTTGCCATCTCGACCGATGTGCTGCGCCGTGCGAGAACTTGTTGACGGAGCGATGATAATTTTCACGGAACCCCTGCTGGCTTGTGCCTTGGAATACTCGTACTCGTGATCTTGGAATGATGCGCGTGTCCGATGAAAGAATGACTAGGGAGTGCGATTGATGGCAGAAATGTTGCAATGTTATCGACAGACTCGCGTGCAGCAAGGGAGAGCGCCGTGGAACCTATCTTGGATGTTTGGTCGCACCCGCTCTGTCTTCTTACATTCCTGCTCGAGTCGTGTCTTTGGACCGGGGGAACGCGTTGTCCCTAGCTGGATTGCTCGCGGTCGGGAGAAAGCGCGCTTATGCTATCCGTGAACTGACGGCAAACCACATTTGCTCGTTCACTCAGCATTAAATGTTTCTACCACGTACCCATGAACGAGCAGCAACTGATGATGATAGATATAATTAATAAGAAGTCATGAATAGCTCCCCGAAACCGTGAGAGACATTGCTCACTTGCGATATGGTTCCAGGACAAGGCTGAAGCGTAATAGCGCCTTTGCTTCAACGGCAATAGCCGCATCTCCATCCATTCAGATGTGTTTGACTTAGGGTTAGCGTGTATTCCCAAACGGGCAACATCAACCTCGGGAATGATGATGTATTTTGTCCAGGTGAAGTCGCATGTTTACTATTGTTTCAGGGACGAGATCGGTAACCGCACGTGCTTGAGAGGACAAGTGTGACGGCATGGGACATATATCTACAATGCAGGATCGCCTAATTCCCCGCGAGTACTGCATCTTCGATTGACACAGCCAATATGATGAACACCACATGGTTCGAGAAAATGCTGCCGTCTGGTGATTCTCGATCTAGATCGAATAGATGCATAACTATGACATCTGGTGGTGAGCTGCGGCGAAACGTAGTCATGACAAGCATCGTTCTAAACGACGCAGTAAGCACCTTGTTGCAGTTTATTAGGCGATGAATGATGTCGGTGGAGCCTGCCTGAGGCTTCTGAAACACATGCGCTTGGATTACGAGGACAAAGAATATTCTCATGACCACCTGGGCGTGCAGATTCGGCCGATTTGTTCGTCTCACGGGCTGTAAGCAACTCTCTCGCTCGTGATCCTTCTCGAAGCTCTCCTCGCAGACGGATTCTAGTATCCGAAAACAGCCAGGAGCTGAAATCGGCACAAACGGCATGATGGAAGAGGATACGAATCTGTGGCGCTACCAAGGTCACAGTGGGTAGGATTCGATTTGCTAGACCAGAAAGTGCAGGTGCAGATAAGCCCTCGATCACACGGCCATCTCACAGTGAGAACAATAAGGCCGGCCTCCTATCATCCTTTGATCCTACGAAGCACGTATCGCATTCCCATCTTAGTGACTCATGCTCCGTCTTCCATGTTCGCCGATCCCTTGATTGCGTGAAGACCGAGCTGCAGGTCTGCGTTTCTGTGCCACTGGGATGCATGCTGATCTGCATCCATCCCTGTCTTTGTCCCATCTTCGCTTCGTATGCTGCGTACGCTCCGAACGTATTCGCACTCTGCTGCATGACATTGGATGCATTTCGCAGCTGCGACAAATCACACTATCGAAGACGACGGCGTTCACGTGGCGCGGCTGATGCTGGCTAAACATTCATTCCTCTTGGGTCTCCTTCGACGCGCGTCAAATGTGCCGTTCCGGATGCCGTCTCCTCCACTCGTCCGCCATCACAACCCTGGGCGAGTGACTATGTGCCGCCGTCATTACTTGATGATTTTACCAGAAGGCGCACGTCAAGCATTATCAAGCTCGCGCGACCGTAGATAAGCTTTCGTTCAGAATCTAGCTAGAAGCAGCTCGTTCTCCGCTGTTATGGACGGGACGAAAGAGAGGATCGACATTCACCCGGCGAATCACATACATCACACCGCATGTCGGCCTGACAAACAGCTCGGGGCGCTGCACCGATACTTCGATGAACGTCGCTTGCTTCGGCAAACCACGACGTCGCATCGCCTGTGCCGCTTGCGTGACCTGGTGTTGTCCCGTCACTGTCTTGCTCCCGACCCCGCGCGATCCCCTGTTTAGGTTGGACCTCAATGCAACATCCATGATACTGCGTCCATGCGCCTTATCGCGTGTCGTCCAGAAATGAATGTACGCCGAACTGTGGCCGGGAAATGGAGTGCGCGATATGCAACATGATGATCTCTCGGATAAATGAACATCGACTCGATGATACTATAACATCTCTGCTGCGCCTGCGACTCACTCTCCTTTCGTGATGTCCCTCACCCTTAGCCTCGCTGTTTTGTGAGGTCCTGCCCGCCGGGTTTTATCTCATCGATCATGGCGTCGCGACCAGGATTCAACCGTCATGATACCGACAACCATGCCAGCATTGAGCCCTCTTTACATGGCGCAGCGGCCTCCGATAAGAAATCGTACGAACTGAATGACCTCAGTGGGAAGGACGCTGGCATTTATGATGTCAAAGAGGACGTGTCCGACCATCTGCCCGACTATGACCAACGGAGTGACGAGTTTGCCAACGTCAAGCAAGCCGAGACAGCAAAAGATCTCGTCACTCAGGTCATTCACGTCGACGACGACCCGACTCAGAGCCCGTACACGTTCCGACTTTTCTTCCTGGGTGAGCCTCGCTTTCTTTGGAAGCCTATGTTGATATCGGTCATGAGATCCTGCCTCAAGTGTATCCCTTACTGACACGACTATTTAGGCACGGGTCTCTCCATCTTCGGCGCCGTGCTGCAGGAGATCTTCTACTTCAAGCCTCAAACCATCTATGTCTCGGTGGTCTTCTTGACCGTCATCGGTTATGTTCTCGGCGAATTCATGGCCTTTGCCATTCCTCGCAGAGGTTTCCTCAAATATCTCAACCCGGGGCCGTTCAACGGAAAGGAGCACGCGGCCATTACGATCATGGCTTCGGCTGCTGCACAAGCCGCTGCCTCCACCGAAGTTCTAGCCGCGCAGCAGCTTTTCTACGGTGGATATCCCAGTCGAGTGGCGGGAATCTTCATCACAATGTCGTCACAGATGTTTGGCTTCGGCATCGCTGGTATGCTGCGAGATGTCCTCGTATATCCTACCAAGATGATTTGGCCGATCAATCTGCCCGTGGCAACACTCCTCGAGACTTTGCATCGAGACAAGGGCGAGACCAAGAAGCGGCTGAAAATATTCTATATTGTCTTCGCGGCGATTTTCGTCTGGGAGGTCTTCCCGGAGTACATTTTTGTCGTCATGACGGGTGTCTCGGTGTTTTGTCTCGCCGATCAGAACAATTTAACCTTCACCTATCTTTTCGGTGGTGCTTCTGGAAATGAAGGGTTGGGTTTTTTGAACATCTGTTTCGATTGGAACTTCATCGCCGGTCTCTGGTCGCCACTTTGGTACCCGCTGCAGACCACGTTCAACCAAATGCTTGGAATCATCGGGTGCTACATCCTTTTCATGGGTAAGACGCACTAGAACCCCATCCTCTGATGGAACGATGAGCTTACAGTCCCTCCACAGGTGCATTCTATGGCAACCTCTACGAAGCACAGAAGTTCCCATTCATGTCTCAACTTCTTTTCAACGGCAGCTCCAACGGAACCAGCTACGTCCTTTACGACCAAACTCGCATCCTGAATGACGACTTTGAGATTGATGAATCGAAGCTGGCCGCGGAAAGCTTGCCTTACCTAACCGTCACCTACCTCATGTACCTGATCACCTCCAACGCCGGAATCACCGCCGCCCTGGTTCACATGTACCTGTGGAACTACGACGACCTCAAGAGCGGCTGGGCTTTCATCTCACTGGAGAACATCAAATCCCTCGGTCGAGCCGACACTTGGAAGTTCTGGAAGCGTGATGAAAGTGCACGCATGGCGCGCAAGTTGGACGACCCTGACATTGACCCTCATTACAAGCTCATGCTGAAAAACGGTTACGAAGAATGTCCCAATTGGTGGTGGGGCCTTGTCTTCATCATCGCTTTTGCAGTCGGTCTGGGCTGTCTGTACGCTATGAAAGTAAGTTTTGTGTCGATTCGAAATACTCGGCGCGGAGAGGGATTACGCGACTGACCGTGTCTCCTTCCGATAGTCGACCCTTCCTTGGTGGGGTTTCATCATCGCCACCCTCATCACCACCGTCTTCACCCTCTTCCTCGGCGCCCAGATGGGTCTGACGGGTTTCCAATTCAACACGCAACCCATCTGCCAGATGCTGGCGGGGTTCATGTTCCCCGGGAGACCGCTCGCCAACTTCTACTTCACCTGCTACACCTACAACACGCTCCAACAGGCGCAACTCCTCGGCAAGGACATGAAGCTCGCCCAATACGCCCATCTGCCCCCGAAATGCACCTTCCTCGTGCAAGTCGCCGGTTGCCTGATCGGAGCGATCTTCAATTGGGTCATGATGATCGAAATCGTCGCCAACCAAGCGCCCCTCCTCACCGCCATCCAAGGCAGCAACATCTGGTCCGGCCAGAACGTGCAAAGCTTCAACTCCCTCGCCATCTCCTTCTCCCTGGCCCACGACCTCTACGCCGTCGGCGGACGGTACCAATGGGTGACGCTCTCCTTCCTGCTGGGATTCCTCTGCCCTTTACCGTTCTACTTCGGGCACAAGATGACCAACTGGGGCGGGTTCGCTTACATCAACACCTCGATCATCCTGTGGTTCATGGGCAATCTGTTCGTGGGGATCAATTCCAGCCTGACGTCGTTCTTCATCGTAGCGTATTTCTCGCAGTTCTACCTCCGGAAGTACCACCCGCAGGCGTTTGTCAAGTGGAACTACCTCGTCTCCGCGGCGCTGGATGGGGGCACGCAGGTGTTGGTCTTCATCTTGACGTTTGCGGTGTTCGGCGGCTCCGGCAAGGCCGTGCCGTTTCCCACCTGGGCGGGGACGCCGGATGCGGGTTTGCATAACAACGACTACTGTATGATCAACGCGGCGAACGCGTTGGCGGATTATGCCAGTTGAAAGGGTAGCCGTGGCACTTGTCCCCGAGAGACGAAGAGGGATGTGGTATGATCAGACGGAGAGGTTCGAATTTCATCACAGTGAATGTCACGAAACCCCTTTCCACAGCATGGTTTCTTCTTCCTTCTTTTGTGAACGACTTGAATTGCAATTTTCATTGGCCGTTCCCCCTTTGCTGCCGTCACCGTCCCACTGATGACTACGAGAGGAATCGAAATCTGTCCGCCCGATCATGACATGACACCTCTCTTTGCAAACGGGGCAAATTCCCCACTTTCGAACAGAAACACCCTCTGTGTTCATTCCCAAAGGCTACCAGCGCCGCCGAGACGAAGATATAAGGAGACAAGGGAATAGCAAAAACGTTCTCTCCCTCTTCTCTCTCCTCATTCTCCCTCTCGCATCTTGTTCTGCCTCAAACGAAACACGAACGTGAAAAGAAAAGACAAGACAAGGAAAAAAAGGAAATGCAAAAACAACGCAAAACATGATTTCATTTCCAGTGTCCCATTCCCAACTCCAGCATTCTCCCCATTGCTCTCTTCTTCCGCCTTCGGAAAAATTTCCGGATGTTTCTTTTTCTTTCTCTTCATATTTCTCTTCTTTTCGGCTGTTGCCCCTGAATTCCCACGTCGTCATCGGGGAACTTCCGAGGAAGAAAGGCGAAGAGGGGGATGGGAGGGCGATCCGCGGCTTCTCGGGACGTTTTTTTGCCCATCGGAGAAGAACAAGGGAGAGACAACATATGTGTGTGTTTTGCTTCCTTTCAAGGGTGAAGCTCTCTTCTGATTTTTTTTCTTTCTCTCCCAAAACCAACCGATCGAAGTTCTTCTCTCCTTCTTTCCTTCTCTCTACCTCACGGCAGCAGTTCTCTGCCTTTGGCGCAAAAGGCAGCCGTCGTGTCTCCTCGCATCCCAGGGGCGTGAGCAGTCTTCTCACAGGGAGCGATGCATGAATGAATGAATGGATGGATGAACGAATGAATGAGAGGTAGATGCCAGATGCATTGCATTGCATTTCGATTCAATTCCGCAATGCTCTTCTTTCGATCTTCCCAAACCCAGACGGGGGAAAGCGACAGAAACGAAAAACGAAAAACGAAGATGAAAATCACCACCGCCCCTGTCCCACGCCCAGCCCGTGCCCATACGTCCCCGAAAAGAGCTGCTGCCGGATGCTCGCGCGTTCGTCCCCGACGCTTGCGTCCGCCGACGACGAAGACGACGTGTTCATACCCTGTCCCGCGGCCATATGATGGTGGAGGCCTTGCGCGAGTTTGAGCTCCTGCGCGGCGGCCTCCATCTTGCCGGCGGAGGAGCGGCTGTGGTCGAGGAGTTTCTGGTCCCAGCCGCCGAAGGACAGGTGGAAGCCGCCCGCGCGCTTGGCGGCGGCGCGGAGGACGCTGGCCCAGGCCTGAGCGATCTCGTCGTAGGCTTCGTTCTTGTGGCGGCGGTGTTGGAAGGTGTCCCAGTCCGGCAGCCGGTGGATCATGTGGGTGACGGCGTCGAGGTAGGCGAGGGAGAGGCTGTCTTGGGTCTCGTGGGGCGGGAGGAAGTGCGGGGTGAATTCGCGGACGGCGTCGATCAGCGCGAGGAGGTGGGTGCGCACGCGGTTGTAGGCGTAGTCGGAGGTGTGGCGGTTGCCGAGCGGGAAGGCTTCCCGGAAGGACTGCTCGTAGCGCGAGAGGACGGTGAGGGCGGAGTCGACGGACGGTCGCGGGGCCATGGAGGCGATTTCGGATTGGAGGGAGGGGTGGCGGTCGCAGATGTTTTGGAGGAGCTCCCGCATGCTGTCGGCGGAGAGGGTCTCGAGGAGGCGTGGTAAGGCGAGCGGGGTGCCGACGGCGCCGGTGCCGGTGCGGGTGCGTTTGATGTTGCGGTGGAGCGGATGTGGGAGGAGACGACCGGATATGGACGGCGAGACGGAAGGGGATGTGGACATGCGTTCGTTATCGGAGGGCTCCTCGGAAGCTTTGCGCTTGCGATTTGAGGCAGCCATGCTGTGTGTTGTGTAGTTGGTGTCTATAGCAGTCAATCGTGTCAGTCTTTTCCTATTCCTTGCTGCAAGATGCACCCATCGGTCCAGCGGAGAAGAAGCCGAGCAATAGGTAGCTGTCCCGACTGTTCTTTCCACCACCACCACCAAGGTGTTTTCTTTGTTTCATTCCAAGCGCTTACCGGCACGAGAGGGTGAGAAGATGCCCTCCGCCAACAGATGAGGAGCCGACAGTGGTTGTTGTGAGATGATCGTGTTCATGGCGAACCGCGGCGGAAAGCACAGGCTGTCGGTGGTCGGAGCGGAGGACGAGAGCTCAGCGTTTGGTGTGAGAGCAAGAGCACACGCCGAGCAGCGGCAGAGAGCAGACGGTGTGCTCTAGATCGTCGGGTCCACCACGAGCACAGCAGCAGCTCTGTGGTGGAATGCTGAAGCGATCCCTGCAGCCAGGTGTTGTCGTTGTTGTCTTCTCTGTGTATATGTGGCGGCACGAGATGGAGCGGCGGCGGCGGCAAGGTCGGAGGATGAAGCCGTCGGGTTGCGTATATATGGTCGTTGAGTGCGCAAGTATATGAGGTGAGGTTGGTGAGTCGGCGAGGGTTACAGTTGTGAGAGGATATGAGAGAGAGAGAGAGAGTGTGTGTGTGTGTGTGTGTGTGTTGGTAGGACTGGATAGTGTGTGTCCAGGTGGAGCGTGATGTGTGAAGTTCTCTGCTTTGTGGACCGACGACGAGCTAACTCCGAATGAGGGCAAAGGTGGTGGTGGTGGTGGTGGTGTTTGGTAGTATGGACGACAACCGACGATGCTCTCGTTGATATTCCCTCAGGCACCCACATACAGTACGTTACTGTATGTATATACACGGTACTGGGAGAAAGATCACATGTTCATATCATCCATGGCTACTCTACTATCGCCCAGTGTCCTATTCGTGATTCCCTATTACTCCTCTGCTGTCTCACCATCTCATCCACATTTGCCGCCCATCGCCGCCACCGCCGCCGCCGCCGCCCACGATTCATCCGCGCTCGGGGCAGGTGTGGCGACCTCAGTTCAGAATGACAAACCTCGGGCTCGGAAGCTTCCACGGGGCGTGTACGTAAGCATCAAGCGACGGACTTGGCAAGCCCGAACTTCAGCCATGCGGCATCACGTGTTGGACGGCAGCAGTCGGGCTCGGATGGTTCTCGCCCGTCTGCCGAGACACTCGTGGCCCTGGGTGGGAATCTCGTGACTGTCGGACGGTACCTTTGTGGATACAAGGACATAATGTTCGTATGTGGGCTTCGTAGGTGGAGGGAGACTCCCGTGGACTTACACATAAAGTCGGCGATAGCTTGGTGGATGAGAAGTTGGAATTTTATTTGTTGTATACCTAGGTATATATACAGTATTATGTGTTCTTATAATCGGAGCAGTGGTAAACTCATTCCGATGCATTTCTCGAAGAAAGAAAGGGAATCAATATACCTGTGTTGCTCATACGAATTATCTCAGCGTAGGTAGTCAGAGATGATCCGAGGACACGAGAGAGATTGCATCACAGTCAAAACACAGAAAGAGAAATACAACATGAAATACACATCGATTCACAAAGAAGAAAGACACAGTTTATCATTTTTGGCATCGCTCGCTAGAAACGCTAGACAATAAGAGAGAAATAAAAAAGACGGTATTGGACACGCTCTGACCCCTCCCTTTCCAGATTCGCCTGCAATTTTTTTCAATACGAGAGGAGGGGAGCCGGGAATGTCCTTGCCTAGGATGTGGATTCCCGATACACTCTCATCCATGAGAGAAACGGACAGACGGGCAGTGCAGAGGGAAGAGCGTTCATGGAAACCATGAACGACGGTAGAGGCCCAATGAGGCGAGAGTAAGCCACTCACGGCCTCGTCCGTTGCCTCAACAGGACATCTTCATCCTCCTCCTCTTCCCTCCTCCGTTGCTGCTGCTGGTGGTGTTGCTCATGCACCCGCTTCTTCTCCTCCAACTCCAAATCCGCCTCATCGAGATCGTCATGGACCCAGCGGCCCTTCGCCCTACCGGCGCCCCTCTTCCGGCCGGTGCGGACATCCCGTCTCGAGGCGCAACAGCAGCAGCCGGAGAAGAGGATGATCCAGGCGAGGGTGGCGGCGATGGCGCCGATCCACATGCAGGCGAACATGCCGACGCCGACCTTGGCGCGGATGTTCAGCTGCGTGACGGAGGTGATGGCCACCTGCATGATGACGAACAGCGCGGTGGAGATGCCCGCGGACACGACCAGGCTGGCGGCGGCGAGGAAGCCGACGATCACGAGCGGCAGGCTCGCCCAGCGGGTGTAGAGGCTGAGCGGGGAGAGGAAGATCAGGAGGCCGCTGAGGATGGCGCCGAGGAGGTAGAGGGCGAAGGCCCATTGGGAGGCGATGCGGATGAGCGAGAGGATGGTGTCGACCTGGGAGGGCAGGGCGATGGTGGCGCCCGCGAGGAGTTGGCTCCGGAGGATCTCGACGGGGTTGAACCAGTAGAGGGTTTGCGGGGCGGAGCATTCGGTCACGCCCTGGCCGAAGTAGCCTTCGCAGAAGCCCCAGAGTCCGACGGAGTAGAAGTCGTGCAGGCCGAGGCTCTGCGCGATGCTGTTGAGGAGCCTGGCGTCGGGCACGGCGACGGGGACGATATCCGAGACGTCGAGGAAGATGAAGTAGAGGCCGTTGAGGAATCCCACGCGGTTGTTGGCGAGTTCGACGAGGATGATGGCGCCGGAGGCGATGAGGAAGAGGAGGCTGGTTATGAGGGACCAGATTAGGCGGGGACGGGTGGCACGGCGGAGGGTGGCTTTGCTTAGGGTGGAGCGGAAGGTTGTGGATCTGTCGTGAGTAGGTTGGGAGTGAGGAGAGGAGGAGTCCTCTTTTTCTTGAGCGTTCATGATGATGGAGGATGAGACGTTTGGCTCACGGAAAGCCCGAGCGTCGAGTTGTGGTCGTCGATTGTGGAGTTTTTGTCGTTTTGAAGATTCCTTGGTCTGAATGTCTTAACTCGGAAGGAGAAAGTACTTTTTTCTCGAGAACAAGGTAGAAAACGCTCGCAATGGGCTTCGTCTCAGCCGATCATGAGGTCGTTGATGTGCGTTTGAGTTTTCTTCGAGAAAGGGAAATGGTCGTCCAGTAAAAATAAGACAAATGAAAAAATTCCCAGCGATTGTATGTACACGAGTCCGACGATGGCTTGATTGCAACTACGGTTGGAATAGAACCCAGTGCTGGCAGGAAGTGAGGTTGGCTCGGCGGAATCTTGACCGCGCGTCGCTTGGACGATCGCGCACTGCTTCTGCTGCTGCTGACGATTGATGATATCGATGGTGCCCAGATAAATCGGAGATTTGCGGCCTCTGGCTTGTCAGGCTTGAATCACAAGCAGAGATGTGAGACTTCTTCTGACCGCGCCTGCACACACGCCGTTGAGTGAGGATGAGGATGATGAGGCGGGAACGATAGCAGCAGCGGTGCAATTCAGGCCAGTGGAATCCGACGGTCTACAACAGTAATAAATTTGAGGTTGGCCTAATGAGAGTGTGTGAGGGAGCAAAGAAGGGTCGTGGATGGAGATGTGTGTGAGGGAGAAGGTTCACTCCTACTCCCGCAGCGTGTGTATTGGTGGGAAAAGTAAGTGTAGCCCTACACCCAAAATATCCGGACTCTGAGGAGAACGATGATGGAGGTGGTGGTGATGATGATCTAGGCGCATGCGAATTCCAACTACTGGGCTGACGACATCTCGAACCAGACTCCACTTTTTGAGCCGCAGCAGTTCATGTATAATTGCAAGGAGATTTTGATATTTTGCCCTCACATTTTCTAATACGATAGGGCCACTCCAATGCATGGGAATAATTATAAATGATGAGATGGATGGACTAGAAAGGACATGGGCCGTCACTACGCCGCGTGCACCAATCCACGTCATGGCTAGAGAAAACGACACTTAGAAGTATTTTCTCGACGGGAGAATACGAGCGGTTTTGAAGCCTGCTCTGTGAACAACAAGACCACGATGATGCTTATATGTATCTGTATCTCACCATCCTACTCGATCCTTCTTTGGTATGATCCAACTCACGTCCCGGGCTGTGTCTTTTGTTTCTTGAACAATTTACTCAAAGGCGACGGCGACGACGGCGACGACGACCATATCAAACATTAAGTAACGAGACGCTCTCATCGGAACCGAATGCAGGTGCATGCGGCAGGCGTCACTGTACATGCACCCACCGGCTGCACACTAGGGGAGAAGGGGCGCGATTGATTTGATTTGTGATGATGAGATGGAGCCAAACCTTCCGCAACGTGCCCGCCGATCCGCTACTGTCCGGCAACTTGGTTTCGGATCTAGCAATTTCTTTTCACACACGATCTTCATCTCTTTCCCGCATTTTCACTAGATCGCAGTAGGAGTTGTTCGGTGATTTGGCGGAGATGCGCTCGTGGTTGATACGTGCCGGTGTTTCAAATGCTGGAGTATGTGTGTGTGTGTATGTATAAATAAATTCGCACAGCGGTTATTATAACAATAAAGGATCGGGGTTGACATGCTGAGAATGATTTGAATGGATGAGGGATGACGATAGTGTTACAACGGGGAGGCGTACGTCATCATGGCTGACATGGGTGAGACGCCCACTCTTGGCCAAAAAATCCTCCTCCTCTCCTCTTCTCCTCCAAGCAAGCCGAACGTGCCGGAAGACATGACGATGGATTCCAAGGTTTGCGTCCATCCTTCGTCTTATCGTGAACAGTCGAGAGAGGTAGATACTGTAAACAGACGGCCCTTCACGAAAAAATAAATAACCCGTCAATTGAAAGGGGGAAAGTGTACACGTCTCTCTATTTCTCTCTCTCTCTCTTTCTCTCTCGATCATCATGAATTGATGGATGAGCTCCGACGGACCTTGTCTATCATCATTTCACGCAGCGAGCTAAGAATCTCCAAGCGCCGGCAGACCAGGAGGAAGGTTCGGCGGCTTCGAGGGCAGGGTTCAGCCCGCCTGCGCCGTGGCGGTGGCCTGTTATTAGGCCGGGCTGGATTGGACTGCCCGATTCACCCTTAGCTGTACTTGTAGTGAGCGGAGGACCACCACCAATGGACTCGTACCGCAGCAGCTATGGATGAAGAGGAATCACTTGCAAGCCGTGGTTTGTATGTATGTGTGTGTGTGTGTGTGTGTGTGTGTGTGTGTGTGTGTGTGTGTGTGTGTGTGTGTGTGTGTGTGTGTGTGTGTGTGTGTGTGTGTGTGATTGTATGGAATATGATGTACGTGATTGTATATGTGTCAATGTGTATGAGAGAAGTGATCTACCTAGGTAGCCATTGCAGCATGTAGAACAGTATCATCGAGGACTACTACCTAGGTAGACAGTGCAGTAGCCCAAGTTCCGCAGTTGCCGTATGTGGGTGAGCGAACGAGTCGATTCCTCCCATATATGCAATAAATAATAAGCATTGTGTGTGGCGCTGGGCGGTAGCCGCAAAGCATGCACGCCCGGGCAGACGGCAGACGGGCGCATTCCCATCAAATTCAGTGACGTGACGTCCAATTTTTGGGTCCCCACAGCACAACTCTTGTCATCGATATCACTCGACACTCAACATTCAACACCCAGACACCCATACAATCATTACAGTGTAATCATCGTCAGCAGGCACGACATGTCCAGGTGAAGGCGACGATATCCCGACGGACAGAGATCAATCACCTCGTCGTGACCGTTCTGGAGGCTGTGGACCGTCATCGTCGCCGTCGTCGTCTCCCTCGCGAAGAATAGTCGAGACAAGCCACATATTGGCACATCGCGACGCCGTGGACCTGGCCTCATTTATTGCATTCTGAACAGCATCACCACATTCGCTATCCTCTCGTTCACATCAAATATGGCTTCCTCACGGGCGTCACCGCTATCTCCTCGTCACCTACTCACCTATGCCCTCTTCGCCGTCAACGTCCATGCTCAATTCGGCACCTTTTCTTTCACCAATTCATTCCTCACCCTGAACAACACCGTCTCCACATCCGCCTTCACCGGATCACAGTATACCTACCTCACCGTCACAGGCCAGAGCACCGTCACCGCCACAGGCTTCCTCGCCGCGAATGCCACTGCTACGGGTATCCGAAACGGCACCACCAACGGAACCGCTTCTCAAATCACTGCCACGACGACTTCCAATTCCATAACAGTGATTGGGGGTCTCCCGCCCTCGTCCACCGCGAACGGCACCGCCTCGGCCACATCTTCTACCGTCCAACCGACCAACACTGTGCCTTGCAATGGCTTCCCTGAATTCTGCAATCGAAAATACAGCAACATTTCCAACGTGTGCACGCACAACTCGGCATACGTCGTCAAGAACAATGCCGCCAGCAACCAGCAACTTCCTGTCATAGATCAGCTGTATGACGGCGTCCGAATGAGTGAGTTGACCTCATATTTCCCGATCCCGAGGTTCCGCACTGACACTCGCATCACAGTCCAAGGAGGAACGCACTACGTCAACGACACCATCTACAACTGCCACACCAGCTGCGACCTCCTCAACGCCGGGACCTTCCAATCCACCCTCGAAACCCTCGCGAACTGGCTCTCCCAGAACCGCAACGAAGTCCTGACCCTCCTCATCGCCAACAGCGACTTCGTGCCCGTGGAGAAATACATCCCGGCGCTCGAAGCCTCCGGCCTGATGCCGTACGTCTACACGCCCGAGTTCGTGCCGCAGTTCCGCGAGCAGTGGCCCACGCTCGGCAGCATGATCGTGCGTAACACGCGCCTGGTCATCTTCATGGACTACATGGCCGACCAGAAGAAGTACCCCTTCATCCTCGACCAATACAGCCACATCTGGGAGACGCCCTTCTCCCCGCAGGACCCGGCCTTCCCCTGCACGCCCGACCGCCCGCCGAACCTCAACACCACCTTCGCGCGCGAGAACCTGATGTACCTCGCGAACCACAACCTCAACACGGCCATCGACGTCGCCGCCATCCTGGGCGGCGGCAACCAGGAGCCCATCCTGATCCCCAACACGGCCCAGATCGCCAACACCAACTCCAACGGCACGGGCTTCGGCCAGAGCGGCCGCATGATCCAGAACTGCACCAACATCTGGGGCCGGCCCCCGACCTTCTTCGTCGTCGACTATTACAACATCGGATCGCCGGAGCCCGGCAGCGTCCTGCGGGCCGTGGCGAAAGCCAACGGGGTGGAGTACCAGAGGGGGTGCTGCGGCAGGGGGGGTGCGCGGAGCCAGGCGGAGAGGAGGCTCTCCTTGCCCTGGGATGTCCTGTCGTCGTCGTCGAGGTCGCTGGTGTGGACGGTCGGGCTGGGTGCTGCGGGAGGCCTGGTCCTGGGAGGTTTGGGGTTGTTGTGAAACGACGAAGTTTCCCCTCTCCCCTTTTTTCTCCCCCTTGTATTTCTTTTCCCCTTTCGCAGGCGCATTGTCCTAACTACCTACCTGCCTCCCTCTTTTATGTGTGTCGATTGTTCAAAAAGCAGTTTTTATTGTTATTTTCCGAAAAGCGAAGTCTAGATCTCGTTGCAGCAAAATAGCCTCACACAGGTACTTTACAATACTGTGGTCCTTTCCCTCACCTTTTCCTCACGACATGATTTTCCACCTGGGTGTGGCGTGTACACTTCCCACCCTCGTGCAATCCCCTCGCCAGGTGAACTTCTCCCGCTCGGGTGAATTCAAGGTGAAGGTGGATAGAGGAGAGGCGAAGTCTTTTCTCACGCGTGATGTGAGGTGATGTGGTGTGGTGTGATGTTTGTCCACCTTCTCACCTCTTTGAATTCTCACATGCCCTTGGGAACAGCGTAAGGGTTGGGGTAGCATGAGGCTTAGGGTTGGGGTAAGGAAATCACACGCAATCGCGCGACGAGAGGTGGAGGATAAATGGATACAGATACATCAAAGAAGGAACCGTATCTATTATAACGTCGATTGTATTTGATGTGAGATCGACTCTCGTATGTCGAGGAAGATAAGGTAAGGAGGGGCTTGTAATTTCTTATATTTGTGAAAGGATATGTAATATCATATGATACGGTCGACAGAAAACTGTACACAGCGGAAAAGATCCACAAACCACTTCCCTCGCAGCCAACAACACTGGAACGACCCCCTCCCCAAAACAATGGAAACACGGCATCACGAATGATCTCAATCATCAAACGGCCATGACTCTCGCCACACGGCTTTCTCCTCGTCAGTGCGCGCAATCCTTTCGATGAACTGTTCCTTGCATTGGCGAAGGGCGGCCTTCGCGAGCTCATACTGCTCCGACCTCACGAGCCCACGCTCAGGGAACAGGTCTTCCAAGCTGTCTCGAACATCTTGCATGGCATACATCCCGCGCAATGCACCCTCCGAATCCGCCATGACCGCGTCCTTCTCGGACGATGAATAGGACTTGAGTGTTCGGATATCGTCGCTGTTGTTGGCCGCCAGCCCGACCGCCGCCGCCGCGGGAGGAGGACCGGTGGATGAGGAAGATTCGAGAAGCTCGAGGATGGTGGCCGTGTACGTCGCCTCGCCGTCGACGAGGAGACTCCGCGCGAGCGACAGGAGGTCAAACGAAGAAGGCGAGGCGGCCTCCTGGAATTGCCAACACTTCCAGACCTCCGGCGCGGTGCCCGCCATCAGCGTCCGATAGAGTGCGCGGAGAGCCTGTCGCGAGTAGAGGGTGTTGGCGCGGACTGTTCCCTCATCGGGGAACTGCTCGTAATCGCTCGGGAGCTCGGGACGTTCTACCCCGGGCAGCTGGACACCCTCGTAATCGAGGAAATACGGTTGCCGGGCTTGGACGAACAAGGGGGCGATCTCGGTGGATTGCCAGTCGATGATGCTCGTCACCTCGGTCGGGTGGAGGGGGTCGACGAAGATGTTCTCCGTGTGGAGATCGCTGTGCCAGAGGCATGCTCGACGGAGGGCTTCGTCGGTGGGAGCGATGTGGTCGATCAAGTCCAGGTAATAGCGGATGGCTTGGGTTTTCTTCGCTCGGGTGGGCTGATATGTTCCGGGCCCGCAGAGAGTCACGGGGGATTTGGGTAGTTTCGAGAGTTGTCGGACACACGCGAGCTCTCTCTCGCCGATGGCTCTGAGGTACTGTACGACTTGATTCCCTTGTGATGAAAGCGACAGGTCAGCCGAAGGATGGTCGTTCTGGAGCATTCAAGAGCCGACTGACATGGGCCTCTATCAAAAGCGATGGACAATCTATCGTTATCGCTCCAATCCCTCCCCGTCGTCGGTCCCATAGAGAACCTCGCATCCTCCCTGGAAACCCCATCTCGATCGGTGAATCTCAGAGGAGTACCACCATCCGGGCAATCGCCGACGTGGTAGATGCTCCCGAACTTCTCGAACACCGTCGATGCCCAAGTCCTCTGATATTCACCGATCGTCCTGGTCAGCGCCCAGCGGTCCTCTATCGACATGGAGGGAAACACAGTCTCAAGAGGAACACCCTCGACCTTTTCCATGAGGATGTATTCGGCGCCGACGCGCGTCTCCCGGGAATCATTGCACCACGCGTAGACCTCCGGTGTTGGAATTCTCAAAGTCTCGCGCATCTAGACATTTTTTGGTTAGGAACGACCAGCGGATCGGGGGTTCCATCCGAAATACAGTTTCATTTGCGTGATCCCACGAAAGGAGAGAGAGAGAGACACTTACGAAGTCCATCGTGGCGACTTCACTCGCCACCGTCAATCCCGCCGGCCCAGCGTTGGGATTCGGAATCTTCGCCACCACCTCCCGTCCATCGCTCATCGTCAAAAGCAAAGCCTTGTTGAACAATCCATCCGGCAATTTCTCCAGCTTCACACAACTTGAGCACGAGGACGTGGAGGAGGAGGAGGAGGAGGAGGAGGAGGAGGCAGACGAACAGGAGCTCCCGCCGACGGCATCTGCCGCAATTTTGCCTAATTCGTGGACGTCGAAGATTATATGTCGCTGGGCCATTTCGGTTTTCTCGTCGCAAACGAAGCGCCCTCGGGTGTAATTGTACAGGTCGGAGAGAGGAGGGTGGACCATCAGGGCGGCGGCGGCGGTATGTCTTCGACGGCGCAGGAAAGGGTGCGTGTCGCTGCCGATTGCTCGGAATCGTCTGTGGACTTCGTGCCATGCTCGATGGGAACGCATGCTCTCCTGATCGGCATCTGATTCAGAAAAATCGGGAATGAGACGGGGGAAATCTTTGTAGAAATGGCATGCATCCTCAGGCGGAGATCATTGAAGGAGAGGTTCTTGTGTACAAAAATCCGCACATTGGCCGGTGGCTACACCGGCCAATGCATCGTCCGTGTCATCGTCGTTGTTCTTGTCAGGTATAGCCGAGACCGTGAGAGGACATTCGGAAGCATTACACACCATTGGTATCATTATCGCAAGATCACCTTGCGGACTGACGCGGATCACAGAGCCATTCTGGCTAGCAACACTGTTATTGTGTTCACGAACGATCGACAGGATTGTCCGTATGAGGGACTTTCCCGAGACGTGACCGGCGGGAGAACGGACAGGAGGATCACTGCATTCCACATCTGCGACTCACTTCTTCTCAACAAAAGCGTTGTCATCGCAAAGGATCGTCGAGGATTGTCCACCGCGCCTCCTGTACATACCTAGATACATAGGCATTCTCGTACGTGGATGTCACCATTGCGGATTTCCTTTGTTGACTATTATCTCAACTCGAAAAGGCTGTAATCCGGAGGTCTGCACATAACGATGAGGGCGGAGATTCCTACACTGTGACATTGATGGATTCCGGTGTGGAGAATCGTGTGCGTGTAGGGTGGAGTCATTTTTCCATCATTATTTTTTCATCAGCCTTGTAGTCGTGATTTGTTATCCTATCCATTCACCAGCCGCTCCCGTCGTCACAGTTTCGGTGGTTTTCGGCGGAAATGTGGGGTATGGTGGGCGCAACTACAGTACAGTCCAGCATGAAAGAGCACGTTACCAGCACGTGTGGTGGTGGTGCTGTTTTCCCTCTCACACTCAGCACGATGTCATTCCATTCCATCCCAGACTACCCGTCATCTCTTTTGTCCTTATTTTCCGAGATCAGCTCGATCTACCTTTGGCCGAAAAAGCCGGGAAAGAGGGAACTGCTGTATACTGCTGTATAGAATAATAACCATAATAAGTTTCGGTCGGCTCTCGCTCGTGCAGCATCGTTCGCATAGGTCCAACCGCTGATCGGCGGGGTGCGAGACGATCGATGATAATCCGGAGAAAGAAGAAAGCGTGCGCGCGTGTGTGTGTGGGAGATAGACACGTTTGCCTGTGCACGTATCCCTGTGCCGCAAGACTGGATCTCTCCCGGCTGTCGTATCGTTGATAGTATTGGGCGAGCGGTTCGCTCTCACGCCAAACGAGAACGAGAGTGGCCCAGATGAATTATAGCAGAATAGCAGCAGCAGGAGCCGCAGTCATCAGTCCCTCGAGATTCCATCTCCTCCAGGGCGGGCGCGCTCATCGATGGGCCGGCGAAGAAGCTGGTCTCCCCCGCCCATTCCGATCGATTGTTTTCCTTGGCTGTGCGAAAAAAACGTCATACATAATAGCACCCGAAGAAAAACTCCCCTGCACATCACTATGTATGTGCAAAACAATCCACGGTGGAAATCTCTGCCCGCTCGGCCGGAAAGAAGAAGTGGAAAGGGATGGTATAGTATATAACTGTACCTAGGTATGTACCGTGTCCTAGATGGAGTACTGGAGGATGATGCAGTCGCTTGTGCTTGTCGCCGTTAAGCGATGGGGAGAACTGTACTATCATGCAGGTGGTTGCACATCTCCCGAGGAAGGAAGGGAGGGAGGGAGGAAGGCGTGTCGTCGGCATTTACGTCGTGTATGTGTGTGTCTGTGTGTGTGCTGTGACGATGGCCGTGAATGATGATCGATGATGACACACTCAACCTTGGAAGCTAGGTAGGTATTCCTTCTACGCGTGGAGTGCGTGCCGGACTACAAGGTGCTCGTTCTGCTATACGAGATCGACATCGCGATCCCTTATTTCTTCCGTTATTGTTATCATTATTGTTATTACATGCCTAGATGTGTCAAGGACGGAGAGATACCAGTGTTCGTTTCCGAGTCATCTGGGAGAAAGAATAGAGAAAGAGAGGTAGAGATCTGGGTCTATCCCAACAACGATGACGCCGATCTGTTTCGCGGAGGACGCGCATCCGACCGTTGATCCAGTACACATACATAATAAGCTTTTCCTTCTCATCGTTGTCTTTCCAATACGATGCAATGCCGAGAGACAACAATAACGACTGCAGAGAGGACGATCTTTGCCCTGCCTGGGCCTGCCTTGAGAGAGAGAGAGAGCCGGTGTTTTTCCTGGTTCAGCTTCTATCGTCTTTTTGTCTCTGGCTATTTGCTTCTGTGCAGTACAGTATACATGACGGGAGTGTAGGAGGGAGGTTTCAGGAATTGGGGGATTTGTCAATGGACAAGACATTGATGAAATCCGATCTGATATGTTCCTGCGTTGTAGGGGAAGCGAACCTCCCCAGAGGAAAGGCGCTCGCCCGGGAGGGGACCTGCATGGGATCGGTCGTTGTTGGTGGTTGTCTTGCCGGAATGTTCTGTTGGCCTCGATTGTATGCTTGCTTGCGGTTCGATCGCGTGTGCGTGTGTGTGCGGTGCCTGATGGACACGGAAGACCTTGCATGCGACCGGTCCATCGGGGAACCTTTTTACTCCATTTCACTACCAGAGAACGATGGTAACGACAACGGCACGGATATCTACGGCTTGATGTTGTACATACTGAACCGATTTCTGCGGTGCGCCGCGTTTGCTCGTGGTGGTGTTTGTTCGGCCGGGGACCGCATGCATGCAGGTGCATGATGATGCTCTCTCTGCAAGGTGGGTGTCCCGAACTGCCTAGGCAACTGGATGCCGACGGGGATCGCTCTGCATGTGAAATGCAGAGCGGACCTTTTTCGCGATGGATTTTTTTTCTTTTCTCTCCCGACGTTTCCTGCTCTTTCATTTGCGTGGATTCCTATTGGTCGCCTTGGAGAGGGAAAGTGCGCGAGGTGGGTGCCGCGGCCGGCCGGTCGGCTGCGATGCATCGCATCATCGTGAGCTGCTTCCAGGCCAGACGGACCCTGTTCCACACTTCTCTTCACGTCTCTCCACGATCAATGATGCAGGTCCGATGACAGAGAGATCGAGAGAGATGACTCCACATTATTGCTAGGCCTGCTATGTCGCGGTTGTTTTTGTGAGAGAGGCACGAACGACGTGTGCGCCGAGTATGGACCGGTGCTCACGCGTGAAAATGTAGTAGCATACCCACTTCGTCTCTTGTTCCAGTACTCACACCGAGAGACACGGCATTATGGAGTAATCTAGCAGCCTTGGAATGGAGGGACATGTATTGCTACGGAGGGTCGCTGATAAGCCGAAGGAAAGTCAGAAGAGGATCCCGAAAGGAATGTAACACATCTTCTCTCGTCACTCGGTGGAACGACGGGTGAGTGTTGAGCGGGGGAACGGCGGCGAAGAGTAGGGAAGAGAGAGACATCAGGTGAATCTGTGCTCATCGGAACCTCAGGTCGGGAATCCAATATAGTCATACAGCGATACAGCAGTGTGATGAAGGAGATGGTCCTTTCAGATTGTCGCGGATGGTCAAGCCATCGTCGTCGTCGTCGTCGTGGGCGTCGTGGGCGTCACCGTTGGAGAGAGCACACTTCTCGTGCGTGTTGCGGCCACAACTACGCACTCTTGCACATCCAGTACACACATACAGGACACACCAGCATCTGGATACATGCAAGTTCTCTCTCTTCGGTCTGGCGCATTCACGACGATCATATGTCAACAATCCCACTGAATACCGAGAACTGTATTCGCCCGTAGTGACAACGAGGAAGTGGATAAACTGAGGTTCTTCTTGTATCGCCCGGCCTTGTACAATTGAGTGACCAGTCGGAATGGATACGGCCACCAGCATTCCTTCCATACCCACCAGCACCAGCATTGTCCTCACGATCCCCACCATCCGTTATTCGGTCCCAACAACATCATCAGTACCACACCTGTTTTTTTCCTAGACAAACAAGTGAGAACAAAGTCCCTGCTCCTCAGACTTTTTGGGGGCGTATGTGCCTTTGTCCGCTGCTGCCGCCGCTGCTGCTACCCTCCCTCTATCCTTTGTCTGATGTCTCCCATTGACGACATCGTCGACCCCGGCGCGATAGTCTATCTTCGTCTGTTTGACATGTGTGCGTTTGTGTGTGTGGTCTCCATAGTCGTAGTTATACATATCCTCCAGACTCACCTCATCGCGTGGTTTCATTCCCTCTCTCACCCTGACGACCTCTTTTGCGCATTGCTCTCTTCTGTTGCTACGACCTTTAACGACATCCCGCCCATCTTCCTCGACAGTAGAGTTCCGCGCCATTGGGAGAATCAATCCTCCATCCCACTCTCGAGATCGACGCACGCACGAAACGACACGCCCTATCGACGGACAGAAACCAACGTGCCACGCTACGCCACGCAAACATCGCTCTCCGTTCCACGCTTGGAGATCCTTCTTCGCACGCCGCTCCAGGTTCGGATCAACAGTGCATCTCGTGGGGACAGAGGACGGCTTGGACAGGAGTGATCGACTATAATAACACAGCACACGGTTCTCTCATCGATCCCACGTCAACACACACACACACATACACATACACCTGCCGGATCGACCCATTGCGCATCTGCCACGACTCTTTCGCGTTTGTGCGCGCGTGTATGTCACCGTCCATATCTGGCGTTGGCCGAATTGGTTCTTATTCGGATCCTATTTGTCCGCTGCTGGAATATATTACTCCAGCGTTCTGACAGCGCATTGGGCCCACACGAAGAGCAGCGAGCCTCAGCACCATCCATCAGTCAGTCAGGCACCGACACACCAACACACCTCACACCGCTTGACCTTCCCTCCCCGCTACGTCCGATATAGCATCCAATCGTCGAGCGAGCGAGCAGTAGGACCAGACCATTGTTCCCTTCGCGCTCGATTTGGGCGCATGCGCAGGACACACGGCAGCTTGGCTTTTTCTTCCCACTGAGAACTGACTGTGTGAGAAAGAAAGCTGGGTGCGGGCGTCGATTGATTTCCTCCCAGGGAATATCCGGCGTTTTTTTCCTGTTCCCGATTTGGTGGCTGCTGTTTGCTGGAAATACACGTGGATTTCCTCTCGGCCTTACTTTTTCCACACACGGCAAGGCGGCGCATTCGACGGGACAGGGCCCGCTCACCACACACACGCACACATATATTATATACACACACGCACACACACACCACGGATAGCGCCATCACGGTCAGCACCCAAACGCAGGCACACCCACACAGAACACACATTTCCCACACAATCCACCACCACGACCACCACGACCACCGCCTGCATCACCATCAATCATCACCACGTACATACTTTGCACCATCATCAGCGCGTCACGTCACGATTTGTTGGGTTGGAACCCATCAAGCCCCGCGGCAATTCTCCCGTTGAATCCGCCCGTGGCCCGCTGTTCCGTCCGCCTCTTTCCCGCCGGCGGTCTTTCCCTCGCGCACACACACACCCACGACACACACCACGACACACACACCACACCCAGATCCTCCTGGACCTCTGCCGTAAACAGCTGCGCTTGCTTGTTTCCTTGCTTGGGCCCCGGCTTTTGCTCTTCTGCATCTGCTCTGCCCTGCCTGACGCACTCACACTGCCGCCAGACCGTTGGCCGACCGTCATCCTCTTTTAGCTGCACGTTTGTGCCCGACCAACGACCACGACCACGACCACGGTCTCGTCGTCCATTCGTTCATCGTCCTATCAATCTTCAACATCAGAGCCGGAGACACCCACATACCTGGAATCCTGTATAGCTACTAAACCCACATCCTTGGAATACTGTATAACCACTGGAACGCATGCGCACGACCTCTGCCACGTTGGTATCAATCTTGGATCACATCGCCGAATCTCACCAATCTACAGCTACTATGTTCATGACCGCTTTGTTATAACCTCCACCCTCTGCAACGCAGATCCTCCACATCATCTCCAAACCGAAAAAAATGCGCTCCCTATCTTTCAGCAAGCTGAAAACATCCGCTTCATATGACAACATGGCCTACGCTATGGATCCTTCTCACATCATGTCTCCGGCGGCGCATTCGCGGAATTCTTCAGCGGCCTCTGCGCCTGTGTCGCCCATCACCTCGACCGCGTCTGCGCGGAGTCACAGCCACAGTCGATTCCCGAGCACAGCATCATCACTCACCACGGTTCCGGATTCACCAACCCTGACTGCATCGAAAATGACCTTGCATGACCTCGTTGAGGAACCTCTAGAACAAGAGGAATCCGTCTCATCGAAACATGCGCCCAGTGCTATGGAGGAACCCTTATGCATTTGTATGTACCATCGAGCGGCTCGTCGTGAAGCAGCACGTCGTATGCTTTGTCATGCTAATCTAAAATTGGACAGGCGACGAGTCCTTTTGTGAACACCAGCGTCCATCTCGTGGGCTCAGCATGACACAGAATTTCCCCGAATGGTTTCCCGACGACGATTACTTTGCCGACTCTCGACGGTCACGAGAATCCTCAGTCCATCGTCGTCCGTCCGTAGAGGCATCGCTCAACAACCTGACGGCGCGTTGGTCGCGTCATGTCCCATCAATGCCAAAAAGGCGATGGCCTGGTCGCAAATCATCCACATCACTTTCAGAGACGACGATCCGCAGTGCACCCTTATCACGTGCATCGTCAATGAAGCAATCCCCGACGCGACGTTCGACCATGACCCACACATCAACAGAGGCCCTCGGGAATGCTGTGTCCGCTTGGACTTCCGCAGAGGTCAATGAACGGCTACGGCGTGGCTCGACAAGGACCGTGCAGCCTCCGATGGAGATTGAGATGCCCACGGGCGAGTTCGACCCTTCTCAACGACCCGAGCCAGTCTCGACGCCGCTTCTACCTCCTATGATCGCCCCTCGCTCGACAACTGCTTCGACTGAGAACCTCGGACTTTCACTACACCCTCCGGCCATGTCGCGAATGGAAAGCGATCCGCTACCTTCATTCTCCCGCCGCGTCGCATCCGAGAGACCTACTCCTTCCCTCTCGAGTAAAGTCTCTCATGCGTCTATTCGCAACCAGCGCGACTCGGGAAATTTCCGACAGCCTTCCTTTGCTGATGGCGTTCCTCAATGCCCACCGACCCGTTCCAGCGCGGCCGATTCATCGTATCAAATTCCTCTCACCGACGATGATGATGACAGCATCTGGTCCGCACGCCTCGGCCACGCCAACTTCCACATCCTACCTGCGCCCTATTATCCCGCCATCATTAACCGCCAGACTTGTCAACGACTCCTCGATGACTGGGAGTCCGCTCGTGGGCAGTACATGCGTCTTGCTGCAGATCTCGCTTGCCATCATGGCCCCACATCCGCCGTCTTCGCCATGGCCAACGAGAAATGGGCCGGGATCGACGCGCAATGGCGCGAAGCCCACCGCGAAGCCTTCCAAGCCGTCGCATCCGCCGCCCTGGACGAAGCCGCCCATCACGGCCACGACGACACCCTCCCCGCCGCAGCATCGTCCACGCACCAAATCCACCCCGACGATCCGCTCACCCTCGCCCCGAAACCCTTCGTCTTCCAATCCCTCGCCGAAACCCCTTCCTGCTCCCTCCCCGCCCCGGAAGACGCCTACGCCGAGTTCATTCTGCCCAGCGACGAGGACCAAACCAACGGCCTCCGCAACCGCAGTCGCACCACCGCCACCGCCAAATTCCCCGCCGTCGCCGCCAGCGAAATGGTCGGGCCCATGGTCCAATACGCCGCCAAAATCCCCAACAACAGCGCCGCCGCCGCCGGAGGTGGGATCCGGAGACTCCCCGGCGGCACCAGCCTCGACGAGGAGCGTGACTCCTCGTCCTCATATCTCTTCAACGAGAAACGTGGCCGCGAGAAACGCTCCCGCGGCTGCATCCCCCTCCCGGCCTTTTCGGGCGCGAGGGAGGTCCTTGCGGGCGCGTTCCGCTGGAAGACGGCGTCGGCGGCGTCATCATCGAATCCTCCTCCTCCTTCCCTGACGTCGTCGCCGTCTCCGAGGAAGACACAGTTCAGCGAGAAGATGCCTTGGTAGACAGGCAGGCAGGCTATGGCTTTCCCCTCCTTTTCTCCCTTTTTTCTGGATGGTGATGGGGGTCTTTACGACGATTCTTTGACCCACCCCCCCTTTTGTTTTCCAACCTCGAGATTCTTAATGTATGATACAACGAATTTTCTATTCACGACGAATTTTCCCACGACCATCCGGGAATGACACACATAACGCCCACAGAGGCCCCCTCTCACGAGAAAGAAGAAAAAAAAGCCGTTTCAGATCTTCCCAGATCTATGTCGTCCATGTAAATTCCTCCTTCTCTTTTCTTTTTTCCATCCAACGAAAACAGTACTCCATGCATCGGCGCGGACCGAGCGGCAGGGAGAGCTCGGAGATTCGGGACCGTGAGAACATCGGCGTCGGGATTCCTTTCTTTCTCTTCTTTTCTTATTCCTCTTATCATCTTCTTTCTCCCCTTTCGACGGAGATGGGGATATCGGACATAATGAAATGCGGAAAATGAGAGAGGGGTCGGGGAAGTTCATGCGGGAGAAGAGGGAATAGGATATGGGGAAAGGAGTATACGGTTCTTTTATCATGGGTGGATGGAGTATAGGAATGCATGAATGGATGAATCAATGAATGATTGGATGCTTGGATGGAAAAAGAGACAAGAGGGAATGGGGATCGCGCTGGAGTCGGTAGGTAGATAGCTAATCGGGAAAATGGAAAGGGAAGCGAGAAGGAAGGAAAGAAAGAAAGAAAGAAGGAGGGAGGGAAAGAAGCAGGGAGAGAGGGAGGGAAAAGGCTGCGCTTAGCTATTTAGACGAATATGGAAGCATGTTGACGAACCCTTTCTATATTATTGCTATTGTTACTAAGTGGGTTCTGGTTCTTTTTTTGGTACTAATGATGAGAATAAGAAGAATATCTCTATTGTGCTCCGTGGAAATGATCTCCAAGATCGATGATCGATGGCTTTTGGGATACGTGCTGATCGCGATGACAACTTTGACACACATATATAGGGGTCGTGTCGTTTCGGGGAGGGCACTCCGACGACGGCTTGAAATACGCAGGCTGATGTGTCGCTTTGTCCTCTCTCTCGAATTTGTCTGTACCATCTCACATACGTAGTACATGTATCATCGAAGTAATAGATAATGTATTGTTTTATGCCGGATGCTAGGGGCTGACGGATTCTGAGCCGATCCCGCATACTTCTCGGCAGGTCATAAATCCATGTCTGGTGCGATCGCAAATATTCTACTCTGCAAAGCATCGCTTGGCGCCGACGAATCTGCCATCTCCTCCACCAGCTTTCCGACCGTCCAACGCGCGCGGCACCCTGCAACCGTAGTGTGTTTCGCGTTTCGGGATTCGTCATGGATTGCAGCACGAGCAGCTGAACTATTCTTCGGCTCGTTTCATCAACGGCGCGAGTTGAATCCCTAAATTCTGGGCGGCGACGAACGAAGGTAGCTTTTGAACGGGAATGTGTCATCATGGTGCTGGGCCACATTTCAAAAAGCTGTGTCGGGCCGACAGTAGTGATAACGAATGGATTTTGCGGCGGTGGGTGTTCAACATATTGCAAACGCTCAGCTCAGGTGACAGGGACTTGTGGCACAGTAGAATCACAACTTGCCATACGACAAACAAGCTAATTCACAAACACCAAGCACCCGTGTTGTGATCATTCCTACGGACAAGAAAATAAACAACTCCCAGCAAAACTTGCAGACTGGATCCCCTCCCGTCAAGATGAAGCTCCTCGACCTTCCGGCGGAACTGATCGACGAGATCATCGCGCATCTTGTGATCTCCGTCGGCATCAGGAAAGCGGTTCTTTATAGATCCGTATGTCGATCATTCAACTCGGCTCTACTACATGCTATTTGTATTGCTCAAGTTGTCGATGTTTATCATCCATTCACTCCGGGACTGTCTGCGAAGATGCATTCTGGTCTCCTGAGTAAGATTCTCGCGCGAAAGGCGATGACACCTGAGAGACATCGAAGATCATTTCTCGCTGCTATTGCAAATATAGTCGCTGAACTCCGAAGTCTTGCCATCGGACTAGCTATTGATATAACAGATGACCGCTGGTTCGAACACGTGGCTGAGGTAGTCGCAAATGAGGGAAATAGCCAGCCATTCCCCGACGCTTGGAGCAATCCTGACGCTTGGAGCGATGAATCACGATTAAAAAATCTGCTCTCCGGTGTCGCCATTCTAAGAATCGAGGAACTGTTCATGAAGCTATCCGACAAGTTCGAGGGCCTCAGCTTAATCGTGAACAATGGTTCACACTTCTTCCGTGAACCTTTGACGATTGCAGCTGCTCGGGGGCATGTTGGCATCGTTCGACGTCTTCTCGCTCTGGGGGCTAGCCTCGAGTTGGATGCCTGTGAGGTTGATGAAGTGCGTTCCTCCCAATTCTGGCGCTCTCGTGGGCACGATGACGCACAGGCGGAATTTGGCCTCCAAGATGGTAGCATGCAGAGCATAGCGATCGGCAGCAGATCGGCACGGACTGCTCTAGAATCTGCAGCCCGTGGTGGGCATCGAGAGATGTTGGAGTTATTATTAGACCCCGCCTACCGAATACCCATCACCAGCATTGAGTACTACCGCGCCATCGTGGCAGCTGCTGAAATCGGTAGACCAGATCTAATGGACATTCTGTTCTCTACAATCGGGAAATCTTTGGGAGTTTCCACGGCCTTGGACTCATACATCATATGTGCCGCAGTTCGAGGAGGCCATCTCCTCCTCGTAGAATCGCTCATCGAAGCTGGCGTCGACATCAACGGAGTCGACCACGTGGATGGGTGGGATAATGGACGTCCATCAGGCACAGTCTCGCAAGCCGCAGCCAAGGGAAACATCCCCATGTTAAGATTTCTCTTGGAGAGAGGAGCACTCGCAAAATACGACGAAAATTACGGAGAAGAACCGCAGCCCCTGAGTCTGGCTGCCGAACACGGCCAGATGGAAGCCATTCACGTCCTCCTTGATTTCGGAGTGGACCCGAGACGGGCAATGTGTAAATGCATGCAGAGTAGGCGTCCCTCTCTAGTCAAAGGGTTGATGGAACGATACCCTGGCATGATCCAGAAGGAAGATTGGTGGTTCGGCCGATCCGCGCTCGTTCATGCCATTGACGGATCCACAAAGCTGGATTATATCGACTTCCTGTTGGCAGCAGGGGTACCATTGAATGCCGGATATGACAATCCTTCCTGTATACCGATGAACTTGGCCAAAGATACCCCTTCTGTTCTCTTGTCTACCATAGATTATCTCATTGCGCGTGGCGCTGAGCCGACCGAGGGAGAAATGAGACCGCGAGAGACTTCTCTGGATAGATATGGGGTCCTCATCTCGGAGGAGTCTCGTCAGTGGACACAGCTTTGCTGAAAGGAATCACGGACAATGTATTGTTCGGAAGTCTCGCGAGGGGACTTGATCTTTGAAATTCCCTGGACAGCTTGGACTCTCTGCAGCGATGCATTTCAAGAGACCTCTCCAACGAGATGCGCTTTCAGAACCATGGTACAATCAAATCACGTCGAAAACCCTTTATTGATGAAAAATCCCACCATGCAGTACCGTACATGCTATTGCATGACATATGCGAAGATGTGCATGTCCAAAGACTTGGAAAGGCTATTATCCAGACCAATCGCTCCACGTTCTTCGGGCTGTTGAACTCCATGTGCCAATGGAGCTAGAGTAACTTGAGATGCTGTGCTTGATGATCAACACATAAAAACATGCAGCCCGTCAGCGCTAGCTCTCTTCCATCGAAATATGCTCGATGAGGTAAAATTCTCCGTTGCAGTGTACCTCCACTCTTGGCGATCTCCAACATCAAGGTTCCCCGCAGCAGAGCGACATTGGTGCTTCTCGGGTTGACGTGCAGCGCCCACCATTTTTCGATATGGACGATGCATTCTCGACGACTAGGAAAGGGTACAGAGAGACATGTCTACTGTGATATATATGTATAGTAAGATGTCATGAATCGTCTGCACTTGCTGCGATGCTAGCTCCATTTCGATTCCCAAGGGAAGATTCTTCGACAGAGACGCAAATCATCAGGTTCAATATTCGGACAACAGGTAGTATCATCACCAGGAGGGAATACAAGACTTGGTAAGCCAAGATGGGTGTCAAGATTCTCTCCCTCTTGGCCCTTGTCGGTCATTTAGTCACAGTACATGCTGGATTCCACGCTGTCGTTGGCGGTGGATATGGCCGGCCTAGTAGAACGACGACAACGACTTCAAGTCCGACATCAAATTCCGCGAAGCAGTGTTCAACCACCGTCATCGTCACTCAAATTGCAACCGTCACGGCTCCAGTCAGCACAATCACTTACGAGATATCGTCATACACTGCGGAGGTCGATGGCAGCATCCTTGGTTTCGTTCCGGCGGTCCTCAGGCGGTCGACGAAATATCCCGGGACCACGAAGGTAACGGCGTCAATTTCCACTCTCACCCGAATCACAGTCCCGACCTCGACGATCGGAGTGTCCTCCACTATCACCGTCCCTGCACCATCCGGATTCCTCCCCATCGAGAGTACCCTTCCCAATGCGACAGGACCCTACTCCCACCCCGGATCCAATCCCGCCGGAAAACGCGATTTAGCAAAGATACCATGCCAGACCATCACGCGCACATCCCTCTTGACGACCACCCTTCCCGGACCCATCGCCACCACTGTCACGACCGTCTCCGGTCTGGGCATCGGCTTCCCCGAGGTGAGCACCACCTACGACTTGGTCGGCTTCTCAAACTTCGCCCAGACCTTCACCAACGACGGCGGATCCTACATCACCGTCCCCACGCCCCGCGCCATCACCACCTATCTCGCCACCACCGAGACCACCGTTGTCCTTCCGACGCAGTACGACGCCGGCCGGAACATTTCCATCTATGCCGCGTGCCAGACCGTCAACTTCGCCGGCCGAGTGGTGTACGACTCCGGACCCTTCGACTCCTACCTCCTGAAAGACACAGCACAGGAGCGCGTGGGGGGAGCCTTCCAACGCGCGTACGACTGCTGCGCCGCAGCGTTCGAGCTCGGCGGCGTGGGTTTCTGGCAGTGGAGTCCCCAGTCGAATAGTTGCTTCGTACATCGCGTGGCGACTAGCAATGATGCGTGCGTGCAGAGCGCACAGAATTTCGATGTCAGTCATGCCGGTCCGGTCAGTCCGGCGGATGAGCAGCAATATGGCGGTCGTGTCACTGGGAATGGTGTTTGTGGACGGGTCACGCGTGCGGTGCCGTATCCGGAGGCTGGACCAGGGTCGGGAATCGCATAAGTCTCGTGCAAGGAACATATTGCTATATTCTGTGATTATTTGAGATATAAACTATCAAGAAAATGAGTCTTTACCTCGATGATTTGAGGTGTTTGATTCAGGCGATGCATCCATGATCACAACTCAATCTCCCAGATCTAAAGATCTCTGGGCAGATCTCTAGGGTCCCCTGCCTCGCGGCGACGCTTCCTTATTTTCGCGCCTCGTTCAGCGTATGCCGCCGACCGAGAGCCTACAAATGCGGGATCAGGCGAAAACTTCTGCGTTAAGGAAAGGTCCAGGCTTCCGCCGTTAGTGTAGAGTTCTTCTAGGACCTGGCTAAGCAGATATTTCATGCTCTCGTCATTCGCCCGCTCGCCCGTAACGATCACTACGTCAATAGCTGAAATGTTCTTATGTCTGGTTCCTTGGCTGCTGTTCTGCAGCAAACTGCGAAGCTCGGACTTGAAGAGGTCGTCGCAACGGGCTTGGGCGGAAGGGTTACTAGGATTTTCGTTGAGGCATGCCTCCCGGGCGTCAGAGCCAGGTCCACTCGCGAAGGGTCCGGGTTTGAGCCGTGACACGTATCCGCACTCTTCCTCCCACAGGGAAGCTGTAAGAGATTGCCGCGTATATTCGACACCCAAGATGATCTTGGCCGGGTCCTGAATGTATCCCGGTTCTTCGGGCAGAACGTAAACAGAGCAGCGTCCTCCCAAGCCGAGCGCCCGATCTTGCTCCGGCATTATGCAGCCGAGATGGTTCCAACTGTGCACTTGAATACTGTTCATGGCCGATTGAACATCGGCCCGAGCTCGAGCCCAGCGGTTAAGTTCAATTGCATGAATGGAGACGAGTGCCGACTCGACGGGCCGCTCAAGGTGTGCCCTAGCGGCAGCCACGAGGACGTGGAGGATTGGAGCGACAGGATTCGGAGGTTGCGCAGTAATAGGCCAGAATCGCTGGCAGAGTTGTTCTGAGAATGGACAATACGGAAATTGAGTGAAATCTTGCTGCTGTGATTCGCCTAGCATGTACGCTTTGTATTTCTCACCACCTTCGATTTTGGCGATGTCGATGTATGTGTCGTTCTCAGTAAAGGCGCTTACGGTACTAGCCATGGAGAGTTAGTTTTGCGTACCAAAGCATGTATACGGAGTGATTACTTACGCATAGCTATCGTAGAGGGTGATGCCAATACCGGGATCTTTATCCTCGGTAGCGAGTCCGACATTAAGCCAAATAGAGATGGCGATCAGGATGAAATACGACCTCATCTTAAGGGGATGTTTCGACCTTAGAGCAAGGAAAGACGCGGGCGACGTGCCCTTCAGTAGATGTTCGAAGTCTAGCCCGCTGTGACGGGCAGTCAGGCAGACAGTTTGCGGCGCAGGTTGTGTCCACGGCAGGCGCACGAGACGCTAGAGTGAAACAACAATCGCATCGAAGGGATTGCTGATTGGCCCATATGGATGCGCCTTGCAGAATGGTGAACAACACAAGGCTGACTGCAGGTAGGTCCCGGAGGAACAAGCTGGTCTGACCCGTAGATGCACTGGCATCGTATGCGCATGTTATCAGAATAGGAAATGACAACGTATGGCACAGTCGCGAGAGAGAGACGATGTGGCGTTATGGTAGTACACTGTTATTGCAGTCAGACAACTTGCAGGAATGTCGCCGTCAGTTGTCGCCCGAGGATTCCAAGCCGGCGCGGTGACCCAGGCTGTGGGCCGACCCGGCGGCTGGCTGGGTCGACCTCACCTCCTCCGTGTGCGCGTGTCGAATTGGGAGACTGTATCCGACGTGCACAATCCTTGCATGTGTCTGTGGATGCCCATAGAGAACGGTCATCTCTTCGTTGACAACTGCAATTATGAGCATATTGTCGCAAGGAGCTCATTCCCACTGCGATGTGACCATTCTCACGGCACGTCCTGTCAAGACGCGTGCAGTACAGTATTCCAAAATCGTGGACGACTGCGAAGGCGGACGCCGGCATGGACGAATATAAGTTGTTTCATCATGCGCAGAGGACACCAAGGCCTTTCAACCTGCGTTATTTCCTCATTCAACCTCCGAATGTCTAGTATCATCAAGTATACACATTGCAATGTTCCAGAGGCAGGCCCGGCATGTGCGCGCTTGTTCATACAGGCCCATCACGGTTGGCACACGCGTGGTCATATCTACGCTGCTGTATAGTAAACTGCGCCGTACCTCTCGAGACTTGCACTGACGGCAAACGTACTTACTTTCGAGTCGCCGTAACACGACTCGTCTCGTGAAACACCAATATGAACGCGTCACAGCTGATATCAATGACAATTTAGGACATATTCTCCACCACTGCCGCCCAAGGAGCGACGTCGCTGCTGGGCCCGATGTTTGCTCGTCACCTCAGACGGTGCGGCCATGCTGACAACCGCCATGATGTTTGAAAACTGTCTGGCATTTTCTTGTGTGGCCCAATAGAGCTCGAATTTCATATAAGGATAGCGTCCCGCATGTATCGTATTTCTTTTCGCCATCAAGATCGAATCTCCCATTCGGTCTGACCATCATTCATTTCAATCTTACTATCCCAAGGACCATCACGGTCACGAGGGCATCTCTTTCATCATGCGTGCAACAAGGCAGGTCCTTGTGAGCGTGCTGCTCTTCAGCCCGGCTGCTCTCGGTGTCGCCGTCGAGGCATATGATCCTAGCAAAGATGTTGTTGCGAATGCTCGTAAGCAGAACGACGACCCAAATCGGAAGTGGTGCCATATGAAAGAAGTTCCGAACACAAAGGGTGGTGGCTGGACGCAAGACAAAGGCGATCGGGACGAGTCGGTCAAGGCATGTATTGCTCAGTGCCCGCATTACAACGACGGCGATAAAATTCACAGCGCGCTTTGCGGCTATGCGGGAGGTTCGCCGGTTCCCTGGGAATACAAGAAAGGTATGTGGCACAAGTATCCATTGCTGCTTGATATGGAGCTGGCGAGAACTGAATGCTGACCGTTATCGTAGACGACAAGGGAAACCCCATTGAGCGTACGAGGACGTTGCCTTGTACTTGTGACTCTGCGATCCTCAACGCAATCGTCAAAGAATTTGTCGACGCCCTACCCGCAATTGGCGATGTGAGTTTGCGTTCTCGATGAGATGTGATGGACTCGCTGCTGACCCTGCTCCAGGTTACATGTACGGTCTTTACCTCTGCACTCACGGGTCTAGTCGACTTCGCCGGAAACAAGGTCATCGATAGTGTAGAGACTGCCATGAATCAGGCTAAGAAAGTCGGCAATTTCGACCCGACGCAGCAAAAGGTCATCAAGGGCGCCGTCATGTTCAATCAGGCCACCGTCGACCTCGAGAAGGGACGCAACGCTTTCGGCAAATGGCTGGCTGGCAAAGCCTGTGGCAACCACATCTCTGAGGAGCAACAAAATCAAATCTTCAACGCCGCCTACCAAACTTACGACATCATGGCCACCGCTGCGACTCTTCCATCGGGAGCATCCGCTGCTCTAGGAGCCTTCCGCTTGGGACAGATCCCGTGGAAGGGTATCAGTGATCTCGGCAATCAGCTCAACAACTTGGCCGGGAAAGTCAACCCTCAGCCCACCGCCAACCAAAACCATGCCCGAGACGTTGAGGCTCGTGATCCGAAGGGAGTCAAAATCCCCAAACCTCCGAAGGACAGCCCCCCAAAGCAGACCCAGGCTGCTCCGCCCGCAAAGCCAGCTACGACTGCTGCCGCCCCTCCTCCGGCGAAGCCAACCACAACTGCTGCCGCCCCTCCGCCGGCGAAGCCAACTACGACTGCTGCCGCCCCTCCGCCGGCGAAGCCAACCACTACCGCTGCTGCTGTTCCCCCGACGAGCGTGGTCACTGTGTCGCCCGTGAAGCCCACAAGCGTTGCTTCCCCCACTAGCATTGCCCCGACTACGACGGCCCACACGACCAGCGTCGCTCCGACCACATCGAGCAAGCCAACCAGCGTTATCCCGACCACATCGAGCAAGCCAACTAGCATTGCTCCGACTACTTCGGTTCTGCCGACCACTTCGAGTAAGGTGACAAGCATTTTGCCAACCACCTCGAGCAAACCAACTAGTCTTCCCACTACCTCATCAGTCTGGAACACTGCAGTTACAACCTCATCGAAGCTGACTAGCAGCCACCTGACGTCTTCTGTACTCACTTCCTCGCATGTGAGCACTGCTTTGACCAGCTCGGGATTGACCAGCAGCCGCACGACTTCTTCCGTCCCAACCTCTTCTCGCTTGAGCACTGGTCTGACAAGTTCCGGATTGACTAGTAGCCACGCGACATCTTCCGTCCCCACCTCTTCTCACTTGAGCACTGCTCTGACAAGCGCTGGCCTTACTAGCAGCCGCGCAACTTCCTCTGTACCTACTTCCTCGCATCTCGGTACTGCTGTGACAAGCTCGGGACTTACGAGCAGCCGCGCAACCTCATCTGTTCCAACCTCGTCTCACTTTGGTACCGCTTTGACAAGCTCAGGCATGACAAGCTCTGGATTTACTAGCAGCCGCGCAACATCGTCTGTGCCAACCTCGTCCCACTTTGGTACCGCCTTGACAAGCTCAGGCATGACAAGCTCAGGCCTTACTAGTAGCCGGGTGACTTCATCGATGCCAACTTCTAGTGGTTTCACAACCGAAGACGACGGAGAGTTCACAGCCGCAACACGTATGCCACACAGCTCGGGTCTGACTAGCAGCCGTGCGACTTCGTCTGGCCATACTTCCTCGCATTTCGGAACTGCTTTGACTAGCTCAGGCCTCACCAGCAGCCGCGCGACTTCTTCGATGCCTACTTCGACCGGTGTCACAACCGATGAGGATGGTGAGCTCACGACCGCCACACGCATGCCACACAGCTCAGGCCTCTCATCTCAAAGAACTTCCTCGGTTCCGTCAGCTACCTCATCCGGCCGCACCGGCCTGAATGGAACCACGCCTGGCCACTCTACGAGAACGAGCAGTGGAATGACCATGGAAGCTACTACTACGGCGCTGAACAGCACTGGAAGACACACCGTTTTGACCGATACGCTCACCTCATCGGGAAGGTTCCCTACCTCGACCGGTGCGCACAATGGAACAGGCAGATTCCCCACCACGACTGCTGCAGTTAATGGTACCGGAAGAATCACCGCGCTGCCAACCGCTGCTACCATCACGTCGCTTGGAAACAGTACTAGACTTCACCCCACCGGCTCTGCGATGAATGGCACCCTAACTGCCCATGGAACTATGGCTGCCAATGGAACACGTCCCACAGGCACCGGACAGACCTCGGCAACGTCATCAGACCTGTTCCCAGAGGAGACTGGTGCGCTTGATCCTGACACCACACCTGACACCACACCTGACACCGCACCTGGCACTACTGACCCTCTCGCGACTGATGTGCCCGACGCTACCGACCCTGAAGCTGCTGGATCCCCGGACACTGCGGAGCCTGTTGAGGCCACAGGCGTGCCTGGCTCGACTCATCCCGCGGCGACTGGCATGCCTGTTTCCAGCGATCCTCTTACCACTGACGTTCCTGATACTACCGACCCCGAGGCTACTAGCTTCCCGGATACTACCGAGCCTGTTGAGGCTACCGGCGTACCTGGCTCGACCCACCCCGTTGCCACCGGCGTACCTGCTACCACCGCTGACCCTGTCGATACTCCTGGCTCACCTGATTTTACCGACCCTTCCACCGACTCGCCCGACCTCACCGAGCCTACTACTGGTACACCGGATCTTTCTGAACCGAATGATACTGCCTTGCCAAAGACTACTAAGCCTGCCGCAACCGGCTCCCCTGATGTCACCGTCCCTGACAGCACTAGCGATCCTGCTGACATAAGCGACCCCGAGACTGCTGAGCCTGGAGATACTGCCGACCCTGTTGTCACCGGTGGTGCCGCTGGTACCGCGGCTCCTCTCCCTACCGGTGCTCCCCGACCCAAGCCATCCGCCACCATCGCATCTGATGCCGTCGACCCCCTGGCTACTAGCTCGTCTGATCCTGATGATCAAGCCGAACCGATGCCTTCGACTGGTAGCTCGGCAGGAAATGGACCGGTCTCAAACGCCGGTCCAGAGGACGATACTGGCGTTAATGATCCATTGCCCACTGGTCCTAAGCCTACCGTAGCTGCAGGTTCATCTACTCCAGGTGTTCAATCAGCGCAGCATCCGCCCGCGACTGGTGGAACCGGCGATTCTTCTGTATCTGAGACACCAGACGGCGAGGGTGATGATACTGCTCCTATTCCTGACTCGGAAGAAGTCGGTAGTTCTGGTTTTGGCAACTCGGGATCGCCCTCCTCCAGTTCCACTCCTAAACCGGATGCCGCACCTGCCTCTTCGCCATCAGGACCTTCCTCCACGACGTCTAGCGGCGAGACGGACAATGAAGTGTCCGGTCCTAGTGACGTCGTCGATGATGAACCGTCAACACCTGCTAGTGGCTCTAACGTGCCAGCGGTCAAGCCTTCTAGTTCTTCTTCGGCCGGTTCGGGGGATTCCAGCCTCGCAGGTGGAGATGATCTCCCTGCAGGTTCGGCTACTGAAGATGCTGAGGACACTCTTCCCGTGAACGACCCATCGGAATCTTCAACCTCGGTCCCATCTGGTCCATCATCAAGCTCCTCGGGATCAAGCTCAGGTGGTGCTACTTCGCCACCAGTTGATGACATGCCTGTCGCATCCAACCCCTCGACAGCTGCCAGCGGGTCTAGCGACCCGGCTAATGGCAATACTGATATCGATACTGCAAGCGGTACTTCTCCTGCTGGCGGATCCTCGGACATTAGCGATCCCCAAATTGATGATGGCTCGTCCAGCAGCGAGGCTGTCCCTACCGGAGACAATGTCCCTGTTCCTATCGATACAACCCCCGTCAACCCTCCTGTGGAAGATGTTCCTATCGATACTGCTCCCAGCACCAGCTCTCCCAGCAGCTCTACCCCCGCCGAAGATACCGCAGACGAAGGTGTTCCTGTCGAAGAAGGTTCCAGCGATAGCACCCCTTCTGCAGGAGCCGCTCCAAGCGAAGATGCTCCCATCGAAGATGCACCTGCTGAAAGCTCTTCCAGCAGCTCTGCTCCCACCGAAGACGTCTCAGATACTCCCGGCGCCGAAGCCCCTGTCGACGAAGATCCGAGTGGGGGTGATACCGTCAACGACACTGCTGGTGTAGAGCCTTCAGCCGAGGATAGTCCCAGCGAAAGTGCCCCTGGTGAAGATGGCTCTAGCGAACAAACTCCCACAGAAGACCCTTCGACCGAGGATATTCCGGATGAAGAAACCACTGTCGACAACGGAGGCGAACAAGACTCTTCCGAGGGCACCGACGGATTCTACGAGGGATTGCTGGACAGCCTGGACGGAGCGCCCGAAGACTCTGGTGAGCATGACGAGTCGACGTCTGCTCAAGATGGAGAGACAGCCGGCGATCAGCAATCTGGCGATGAGGAGGCATCAAACGATGGCGAGGAAGCGGCTCATGGTGACGAGGCATCTTCAGATGAGCAAGACTCGCAGCAGGGTACTGAGGACTCCGATGCCAAACCGACAACTCGTCACCAGTCCATGCGACCTACCACTCTTGTTACCCGAGTCTCGACAGCACCTGCTACCACTGGATCACCAACTACGACTGACGCAATTGCTACAACTCCGACTTCACACCGCTTGCCGGATGTGCTGAGGACTTTCATGTTCAGGGGACACCCTACTACGATAGGCCTACCCGCTGGCGAGGCTACCAAAACGACGTCAACCGTCATGACCACGAGTAAACCGACCACCGCCATCGACGGATCCATCATGGACGTATCTTCTATGACTGAAGATGACGGGACCGTGCGCACCTTCACGATGATTAGTTAATCGCATCCACAGCATCGGGATGGACGGGTTGTCATCAGCCCACAGATTGCACACCATACACACACTCACTCACTAATGACTATAACGAAAAACTGACCTCCAGTCACTCGTTTACAACAACACATCCCTCATCCAGAGGAAAAAGGACCCGCTTGTACTCGACCGGATTGAGTACTTTCCATTCGTTTGCCCTTCGTTTCAGGGACGGACGATGCAGTCATCCCTCTTTTTTTTTGACAGAGATTCTTTTTGTCTTCTCCACACTGGCATAATCTTTTGCCGCTTTACACTCTTTGACTGAGATGGGATTCGTACGTTTAGGAACAGCCTAGCTTAATTTTTGCATGACAGAATGGTTAATTCACAATTTCTTCGTCTGATCTTCTCCGTATGTGATTTCCCGAAGGGGTTTCGATCCGAATCAAATTTTGATCTTGGGAATATACATCTCCTGAGATGAAGTGAAAGCCCAACTTGGGACATCAAAGCAGATGGGTTACCTACTCTATAGACGCTGGAATTGGTCAAGTGCTGTACTCATTGCTGTTCATATTTCGCCGGCTGTAACAATTCTCTAGAAATGATGTCATCACGGTGCGTCTTCCACAACGCGGGCAACACCACCACCGACGACGACCACACATATTGCTCTACACAACAACCCGACGACACTTCACCTACACACCAATCCTCAAGAAACACCACCTCCCATTTCCGGTCCAAATTTATAATCAGAAAACATCTCCAATCCCAATCAAGGCCATGGGCTCTCGCCTCTCCCAACCCCGCGGCGTCGCCAGCACAACCGAAGCCTCGCGTCCAACAGCCGCCCTCCCTCCACCGAGTCCCAGCAACCCGCTCCCAGGCTCCAATCGGCGACCATTCAACACGAGGCTCCTCATCGCGCCCGCCGCCGCCGCGACGATGGCTTTGCTCCTCTTCGTCTACACGCGCACGAGCATCCGCGCGGCCAAAGCCAATGCGCAACGACACCGGGATGCGGACGGCGGCGGCGGCGGTGGCGGACTGAGTTTATTGAACGAGCATCGCAGAAGACATGGGTTGAAGGAGAAAGTTGGAGGCACGCAGGGTGGGACGGTTGTTGAGCTTGGGAGGGAGATTTTTGGGGGCGCTGGGAAGGAGAGATGGAAGGACGAGGGGGCGGGCGAAGATGGGGATAAGGGCAGGTCGGCGGAGGAGGAGAGGTTGAGGGGTTTGATGGGGAAGAAGAGTTGAAAAATCGACGACGGAGAGATGAACCACGTTCTCTGATTTCGAACACCCTTCCCCCTGCTATGTCCCGGTCGTCATCGCCAGCCACCAACAAGTTCAGATCAATCTCCAAAGACGAAACACCCCTGATGGGGAACAGAGCTGTAACGCCAACAATGCCGCTTCCTCCCACCCACATCATCATCATCATCATCATCATCATCATGATGGTAAGGAACGTGTGAAAAGTTCATGCGAAAGAGTCCTCGTTTTCTCCCACGATCGAGACAGCTCAAGTCCCCAACAAGAAAGGAACACAATCCACTGCTCCCTCCAACAGGGCCAGAAGAAGAAAAAACACAGCCTCAAACTCCGGGACGGAACGGGACCGATCGTCAGACCGTAAAGGAGGAAAGCCGACGAGAAGCAGAAAGAAACGAGAGAATCAAGCGCTCGAACGGAAAAGCGAATAGTAAGTAGCATTCTCACGAAGAGGAAGAAAAAGAAAGGCGACGAAAATGTCATCATCCAGTGGCTATCTCTTCGCTCCGAAAAAGAAAGAAAAGCCGATTGATCCCCTGAATTCTGGTCTCGGGGAAAAAGGACGCACGCCGGCAGACAGGAAAAACGATAACGCCAGAAAGCGGTTTCCACGACTGCGACCGACTGGAAGGAAGCGAGGGGCTATTCAGGAGACGGCCAATTCTGTCTTTCTTTCCTGAAGAGGAATGGGGGTGAGAAATGGAATAAGTTTGGTTCGGTCGTGGAACGCAAACGCATTTCCGATTTTTTGGGGGAGGGAGTCCGGTGGTGATTTGCAACAAGAGATGTGATCCCTGATGGAAATTATACATACATATACAAGATAATCTGTAAATGATTTTTTTTTTGAACTTCATATGGCCCTTTCTCGCAAAGAGATAGGGAGGAGGAGAGGTAGGGTATCCGTAGTAGTAATAAGAAATAAGTAGGCAAGTAGGGGTGGTGGTGGTAGTCAAAAGGCGCGCGCGATCGACCGGCGTTCGGTCTCCGAACTTTTTCCTTTTTCCCTCTCTGCGTGGATAATTCTCGGAGAAGTAGAAGCGGAGAGAAGTCTTAGGTTGATCAGAGGACAAGAAGAGTAGTAGTAGTAGAGGAGAAGGAGGGTGGGTTTCATTTCCTTCCTCTTCTCTTTCAGGGATCTTGGAGGGCGGCGACGTCCTGTTCGGAGAAGGATGAGTGCGTGTCTGTGGTTGAGAATCGCCATGTCCCGAGACCTTTTCCTTCTCGAATGAGGGAGGCAAGCAAGGGAAGGAGGAAAAAAAGGGGAAAAAAAGCTCGAATGTGAAAGGAAGTTTGGAGACTTACGGTGTCGGCGTACCGCCACATATACCACATGAACAAACTCCTGAGAGAGACGAGCCACGGCATCAGCATACGAAACGTAGTTGCGAGAACCTCCCTCTCTTTCTCTTCCAAAAAGTGGGAAGGGGGAAACTCACCGATAAGGTCTGAACCTCTCGCCCACCTCCCTCATCTCTTCCTCGGAGATATATTTCCACTTGCCCTTGCCCTTTCCACCGCCCTCATCGCCCCGCTTGCGCAACCTCTTGACGTCCCGGCCGACGTAGGCCGCGACGCCCCGCTGCACGCCCAGGTCGCCGAGGGAGAAGACGTCCATGCGTTTGAGCGCGAAGCACAGGAACATCTCGACCGACCATTTCCCCAGGCCGCGGACGGCGACGAGTCTCTCCACGACGGCCTCGTCGGGGGAGCTCAGGAGCATAGAGGCGGAGAGGTCGCCGTCGGCGAATTGCTGCGCGAGTCCGGCGAGGTATTCTGCTTTGCGCTGGGAGAGGCCCGCGGTGCGGAGGGTGGCGAGGGGCATGGCGGCGACGGCGGCGGGGGTGGGGAAGGAGGAGAAGGAGGGGTCCTCGTCGCTGTCGCTGGAGGAGGTGGGAGGGACGGTCAGGGCGGAGGGGGGAAAGAGCGCGATGAAGCGGGCTTGGATGCTGGCGGCGGCTTTCCCGGAGATCTGTTGCGAGATGATCCCGCTGGCTAGGCTGCGGAAGGGGTCGATGGGCCGGTGGAGTTCGGCGGCGCTGAAGATGGTGCATTTGTGGGCGGCGATGAGAGGGGCGAGGTTGGGATCTACGGAGATGAGGTGGGCGCAGGCGGTGTCGAGGAGGGTGTCGGGCGAGGAGGAGGAGGAGGAGGGTTTGGATTGGGACGGGATGTTGTCGAGGATGTGGTCTTGGGTGATGGTGGTGGGTTCGAGGATCGTTCCGTTCGGCGTGAGGAGAGGCGCGTGGGAGGGGTCCTCGTTGGCGGCTGTGACTTTGCGTTTCTTCGCGCCGGTCTTGCCCAGCATAAGACCTATAGCTGCCGGCGTAGGAGTAAACGGCAGCGGCGTGTTGTTGGCGCTTTCATCGGTGAGTTTTCGTCTTTTGTTGTTCGGGGTTACTGGAGGCAGGATGTCGTTGCTGTCGTCAATCGATGAGTTTTGCTTGCTTCCGTTGACTTTGTCGCGCTTCTTCGGTACCCGTGGGGCGCTTTTTGATGATGTCTTGCTGGTTTGTATTTTACCAATAGGCTCTGCGACAGCGGTTGTCTGAATACGCGTTGAGCGGCGCAGTGCCATTTTGAGGATTGTGGGAGTGATTAGCTTCAACTTGAACGTGGATATCTGTCGGCGCAAGCGGTTTCCCTGCGCCGAGATGATCAATGTGAGCCTTGCGATGTCTTGTGATCGAGACCCAACACACTGACTGATGGGAATCGTAAGTCTTGGGAAATACCTCGCGCTTGCGCAAATAATTGAGGGAATGAATTCCCTGATATCGAACAGGGATGACTCGCTGTATATCACCGTGCCGAGTCCGGGAAGGATCAGCAGTCAGCTTATGGCTCGGAAGGGATACGAAAAGATTTATCACGAAGTTATATTCATGTCAAGGACTTCTGAATCTTCCTCAGTGAATCAAAGTATTGTTCAATTGTCTCCAATGGAGGCTCGATGTTGAAGTTGGTATACGACTATCACCACCCGTCGAGACGAGGTGAGGTCGTCCAGACCCCAGTGGCGATAATGCTAACCACAAAATTTACGGTCATCATGAACATGCTGTACCTGCTAGGTGATATATACTCAAACTCGGTATATGAAGTGACCAGGAGCTATACTGAATAAGTCATGCATCTCAGTCTCTCAAGATGCACATGATATCAGACACCACTCGAGGATGTTTCAAGACTGTAACCTTATCATGCGGAGAGAGATTGGCCAAAAAGAGCCAACAGAGGCACAGAGGTCATGCATTGAGATCGTCGTATGGAGCAGAGGTGAAAGCTGTTGTGTTTCTCGTATGATACACGCCAAAAAGAGATCGTTTTTGTTTTTTGTTTTTTTGTTTTCCTTTTCTTTCCGGTGCATCTCCATCTATACCGACACATACATACAACGACAAAGAGAGATACGCGCGCCCAGGGTCTGTACACGTTACAAAGAGTTTCTTTCTGCATGATCCGTTCCTTCAGAACCTTTTGTTTTCCTCTCCTTCCATAACGCAGATGATTTTGTTTTTGTCGCGAGAGGTGTGGGAAACGTCATTGGCGAGTCCTAGGATGGCGGGCTCTGCATTTACTTCGACTTGGGCTTGGTGATCTGCATCGACTCCAGGTCCTCGCGCTCAGTGCGCTCGGCCTCGATCTCCTTGATGATGGGCGAGAGGTATGGGGTGTCCTGGAAGTGATCGCATCGGATTAGCATGTGTTCCGCATATCGGACGGACAGAGAATTTGCTGGATATGGATCTGTCCCGCTCACGGATCTCTCATGTCCGTCCTTGGAGAGCCAGGAATTATGGATGTGGTCTTACCTGCTCAGGCTTGGTCCACTCGCTCTTGGGGAGCAGCTGGTGTGCTAGCGAGCACTGTTTATTTGGAAATCACGAATCAGTCCTTCTGTGTCTCTCATATCCCGTTTCTGTCCTTTCCATCTCTGCTTCTACTCGCGTGGCGGATGGAAATACCTGGAATGCTCGGCGCATGCGGAAGACACGGTCGTAGGCCTCCTTGGGCGAGAGACGCTTGAGGGCGAGCTGCATCTCGGGGCTCTCCTCGGGGATCAAGTCGTCGGCACTGTCAGGAAGAGATGATCATGTCAGAAAAAAATATTGTGGCCATTGTGTTTTCCATTCCGAAATTCCCTCTGATCCCAAATGCCTCTTCTCCATCTCATGATGTTCCCACGGCCCATCTCTTTCCCAAATCGATGAATCCGAAGCGAGAAAGACCTACCGCAGACCCAGCTTGCGGTAACCGGCGTTGTCCATGTACCACTCGGAAAGCGGCTTCATCCAGCGCTGGAGCCAGGGGCGCTTGTTGATGAAAGGAGCGAGCGAAGGAGTCGACATGATTGCGCGATGGAGATGTGAGGAGGCGATGTGGTGAATCGGACACGCGCTGATCGAGAGTTGAGTGGGGTGGTTGTTGTTGATGTTGTCGTCGATGCCGTGTGAAGAATCTCAAGCAAGTATCGGCTAGCCACCGAGGAAAGTAATGAGGTCTTCGAGCACCAGCAGCCGAAAGCCCAGCTCTCTCTCTCTCTCTCCTCCTGCAAATCCGTACACGGTGATTGGCTCTTTTCTTCGGTCGACGGTTCGGGCCGGGAGCTCGCTGGGGTGTATTATGTCAGCCGGCTCTGTGCAGTGGCATTGGCAACCCTAATGAGCGATGATGAAATGATTCCGATTTCCACCGGTCAGAAAGAGTCCCCCGGGGCCGAGTTTGATGAGACGGACAAGCAGGTTGGATAAAAATGGACGGTACGACTTGCTCCTCACCGAACGTGAGAGATGCTTTGTCGACTACAGCGCAGTCCAGTCCTCTGTCTGTGATGTATTCTGCGACATCCTAGACACCAGGGTGACGATACCTGGTTCATTCTTCATGTCCTTTGGCGGTGTGGTTGATTACTATGCGGTGGTGGGATACATGCAGAATTAACCTACATGTTGGTCTAGATATACGTGCAGGACATAGAGCAGACATCACGACAGGGACCGAACGTCGATCTCTTCACAGCTACAGCTCCAGTCACAGCCACAACTACAGCTACAGCTTCGAAAGGATGAAGAGACCACTTCTGTGACTATGACACGGATGCGCAAGCTGGAGTGCATAGATATATATATTCATATACCTAGGTATATATGTATCTATCTACCGTATACTAATAAAACATAAAACCTCGTATGGAGGATGCGTCGGATCATATGGTCTCTCCCTCTCTCCCTCTCTTGCTGCTGCACACAGCGTCATTGCTTCCATCCCGCGAAACTCTATCACCACTCTCCGCCCGTGTTTTCCTCTTTTATTACTGTCTTTCCGACCTCGAGGCTCAAGCCTTCCCTTCCATGGGCTGGCTCTCACTCCTCATGGCGTCAGATCCGACATCGGCCATGTCTTATATCACTCGTGGGATCTTCTTCCAAGATGGAATTGCTCGACCGAGGAGGAGAAGGGTAGTATGGGAAGATGGCCATTTCATACATAACGTATACAACAATCATAATGATAATAATAATCATACGGGAGACAAGCAAGTGTCCTGGTGGAGAGAGATAAGCATTTCCGAGGGAAGGGAGGAAGGGTTCTAGACAAGACAATTTACGCCATGCAGAGATGAGGTTGCAGTCGCATTGCTCCTGTTATCGCATGGGATGAGGAAGCGGTAGCTGGTGTGGGATCTGATCCATCCATTATATGGTATAATATATGTCCATACCAATCCGCGTGGGGCATAGACACACATATCTCAGCCAGCCAGCCAGCCAGCCAGCCAGCCAGGTCTCTCGCTTGGTAATTCCCTTCCTGCAGCATTCGGACTAACAAATACAGGACCTCTCACTCAACCGCCGCCAACACCCACACGTGCTCGCCTACTGCTACTGGGACATTCGAGATAAACTCCGGCGAGCTCTATTCGTTCGCACCTGTCCAACAACGACACTTCCTCCTGATATCCCATTCTCTCACACACAGTGCGCGCACCTACTAGGTACGGTATTCGCAACACACCAGCTACCATACCAGTAAACGGTGACAACATTTTCCGTCGCACTTGTCCATTCTCCACACCAATCCTCGCGATCGCTGTCCTCGCGGCTGCTGTCCTCGCTGGTGATCTCCTCCTCGACGACTGATTGATCCCTCCTCCGAGTATGCTGCTGGCAAGGCAGCGCATCCACCGGTAGCCTTGCGCGCCGCCATGCAAAAAATGTCCTCGACCAATTCCGACACACACGATCATGGACCACCTACGACGACGACGAACACGACCACCACCACCACCCTCACCAACCTAGATCCCAACTCCCTCACCAACCGAGCCTCTTCTTTCCCTAGGATAGCGAAATGGAGCACCTCATGGTCCCCAGCTGCCGTCAACTCCTTCTCCGGTGCCATGGCCGGCATGGCTAGCGGCATCGTCACCTGCCCACTCGATGTCATCAAAACCAAGCTCCAAGCCCAAGGTTCCTTCCGGGCTCGAAGCGTCCTCGCAGAGGGTGTCCGACCCGCCGCCATGTATCAAGGCATGCTCGGCACGGCGCGGATAATCTACACCCAGGATGGTCTACGAGGGATGTATCGAGGTCTGGGACCGATGTTGCTCGGATACCTACCCACCTGGGCCGTCTACATGTCCGTCTACGACAGCAGCCGAGAGTACTGGTACACCCACGGCTACGGCGAACAGGACCGCGACAAATGGCTCGCCCGAGTATACGCCTCCCTCACGGCCGGCGCCTGCAGCACCCTAGCCACCAACCCTATCTGGGTGATCAAGACCCGGCTGATGTCGCAGGTCTCGCGGACCGCCTCCAAAGAAGCCCGCACGCCCTGGCACTACGCCAACACCTTCGACGCCGCGCGCAAGATGTACCGCGCCGAAGGCATCGGGGCCTTCTACTCCGGGCTCGCCCCGGCCCTGCTCGGCCTCACCCACGTCGCGATCCAATTCCCGCTCTACGAATACTTCAAGCAGCAGTTCACCGGCGTCGAGATGGGCGCGACCCCGGACAAGAAGGGCGAAGCCGGCAAGAACACCCTCGGCATCCTCGCCGCCACCTTCCTCTCCAAAGTCTGCGCCACCTCCGCCACCTACCCGCACGAAGTCGTGCGCACCCGCCTGCAGACCCAACAGCGGCACGTCGTGAACCCGCACCACCACGTCGAAGACCGCCACCCGCACAGCGGCGGCGGCGCCGGCGGCGCGACCACCACCGTCGCGCAGCAGCCCAAACGACCCTCCGGACCCGCACCAGCGTCAGTAGGAGGAGGAAGCAGCGCCGGCGGCGGCGCCGCGGCAGGCGAGTGGCGGCCGCACTACCGCGGCGTGCTGGACACGTGCCGCACGATCCTCCGCGAGGAGGGCTGGCGCGCCTTCTACAACGGCATGGGCACGAACATGATCCGCGCCGTGCCCGCGGCCATGACGACCATGCTGACGTACGAGAGCATCAAGGGCTGGATCGGACGCCTGCAGGAGGAAGGGCAGGCGCTGACCGACGCGGAGACGGACGGCGGGAGGATATGAGCTTGTGGGCGAGGAGATCTGGAGGGAGGGGGAGGAAGGAGGGCTTGATGTCGATCTCCTATGGATGGAAGGGGATGGAACGGGGATGGGATGGATGACGGCTGAATTCGGAAGTCGTGTCAGCGGGGTTTCTTTTTACTGTTGATTATCATTATGGCATTTTTGGAACGGTTCGCCCCCTGGGACCTTTTTCTTTTTCTCGTCCATTTTCTTTTCTCTCTCCCTCTCTCTCTCCGTTTGATTTATAACGTCCCGGCCCATCCCTCCGATTGCCTCGCCACACAATCCCATGCGCCGATGAACGAAAGAAAAAAATACCCCCCCCAAGAAATCCCGTTTTGCCGAGGGATGTACGAGGGGAAGAGAAATGAAAAGAAGGAGAGAGGAAGGACGATGGAAGGAAGGAAGGAAGGAAGGAAGGAAAGAGGGAGTCTAAGAGAAAAGGGAGGGAGAGGAAGACATAGAAAGGGAAAATCGGAAGAATCGACCTTGTCCTCTATTTTCTTTTTCGGGTGGCATATATGTATATGAAATATATATGTATGATAAGAAGTATATTGCCAGACAATCTCGAGTATGGGGGTGCCTGGACCTCCATCTAGGGCTGTCAATGACACAGGGGGGAGAAACGGTCCGAGACCATGCCAGAGATCCCAAGGTCCTCTCTGCACTCCTAAATGTGATTTACTGTCTTCCCTCCAGCTTCTTTCTTTCCTCTCCTTTCCTCTCCTCCGTAGATAATAAACACAACAGAGAGGGGGATTTCCCTCCGCCTTCTACCCTTTCTGGACCCCTCTCCTCCACCTCTGCAGACCCAAGTATATGCTCAGAGATGGAAATTCACAAGTTTTCAGTTCTGTTACGTTCCCCTGTGTGCCCCTTCTCAGAGAGAGAGAGGGGGGGAAAGATCTTCAATCCTTTCTTTCTTCTTTTTCCTGTGGGGGAGTAGTTTGCCGTCCCCCATCCCCTCCCTTTCCCCATCATTTTCGCCTTCGAAGGGAAGGAGGCTCTCTATCTGAAATTTGCCGCTGAGAGACAAAAGTCCGTGGAATTCCCCGTCGTTTGCAGGGGTACTGCTCAAGCGGTTGAGAGAGAAAGAAAAGGTGCGGTGCCGGAACCAGCACCATGTAGTGGAGGAGAGTAGGGTTGAACGCTTGCAGTGGGGTTCTTGTTCGGTGAATAGTTGGGGACCACTCGTGAAGCGCGACGGCCGTTCACGCCGAGCAGGAGTGCATCCCGATATCCTTCCCATGTCTGCAGCAGCCTCCGCATAATCCACCCGTCTACGAAGCAGCAGAAGGAGGCGACGGAGAACCATCACCACCATCACCCCCACCAGCAACGAATCTCTCCACCTTCCTGAAACTCCTCTCATCGCGAGTCTGATCAATTGTCTTCGGACCCACCCTGATCTCCGTCAACTCCGGCTTCTTCTCCAATCCATCTCTACCGCCAGCGCCGTCATCGATCGCCCTCTCCCATCGCCTCGCCTCCACGGGAAGCGGGCGGTGCCAATCGCTCTCGTCCCTGGCCCACCAGCGCGCCGAGCACATCTCCCAAAGACGGCTCTGGGCGCGTTTATATGCGAAGCGCTCGTCCTCGCCGGTGAAGGCGGCGGTTTTGCCGAAATCCGGGTTTCGTGATGATGGGGATGGTGCCGCGGGGGCAGCAAAGCGGGTGTCGTCGCCTGTGTCGATGGGTCGTTCGCGGCGGCGGGGCTCCATTTCGGAATCTGTCAGGCCGAAGGAGCGGCCGAAGGGATTAGCGGGCTTGGTGAGGGTGTTCTTCGAAGCCGGGACCGGAGGCGAGTCTTCGAGGGAGTCGGCTTTGAGGAGGCCGGCGAGGCGGACGTGGGTGTAGTCCGGTTCGGATTCGGGTTCGGCGTAGTTGGGGTTTTGCGAGAGGATGTTGGGACGGAAGGGTGCGGTCGCGTCCTGGTAGACTTCTGAGAGCGTCTCGGAGTAGACGGAGTCGCCGGTTTTGTCGCCATCTTTGCGTTGTTCTTCCGGGAAGAAAATATCGTCGGGCCCGGCGGCGGCGCTGACGAAGAGCTTGCATCGACATTCGTAGAGGGCGTCGAGGAGGGTGATTAGGCGTCGGGCTTCGTTCTTCATCAGCCAGGTCATGACTGGGACTTCGGTGAGGATGAGGGTGTGGTAGGTGGAAGCGAGGGAGATGTAGTCGGCGGGACCGAGATTCGTTTTGCAGAGCTCGGAGAATTTCCACATGGCGATGCCGTCAGATGCCCGTGGAATTTCAATCTGTCTTCCATAGATTGTGAGGGTCGAAGGGATCCATGTGATGGCTCCTGTTTGTGGACTTCCTAGTATCCTCCTGATGGACTCTTCTAAAGCTTCCCGGGAATCGGGGTCCGCATCAACCGCGAAGTATGTCGGAAGGACACCACTAAGACCGGTCGGCTCAGCTTCCTCAGTCTCTGCCGCGGTGTCCTTCGCAGTCTCGGGAATTGCCCACCCAGGCATACCGGCCGAATGCTGCAAATCCTCGTGTGCATCCACTCTCCATAATGCGTCGTCTTCTTCCAAGTCGTCCCGCTTAGGAGCCATCGTTCCGCTCTCCATTCTCCGATAGTCTTTTCCGCCTTCCATCTCCAAGACTTCACACCTCGCCTTCAAGACCTCCAGAAAGGATGCAAATTCGTTGTACCCGGGATTCAACTTTGCAGAATCCTTCCTCCGCGCACCAAATCCCCACCCAAATCCTGGCGTCACTGTCGGCGGTGGCGCAAATGCAATTCCTGCTGCTTTGGCCAACTCCTCAGGCATACGATTACTCGTCGCGACGAGCACACCACCAAGATGAAAGAAACTCGTCATGAGATTAGTAAGAATCTTACTCGCCACTCGATCCGGCATTTGAAATTCATCCAGGAAAATGATCGGATTAGTCTCCACCAGATCCTTCGCCAACCACAACAGCGAATAATCGTCTTCAGGTTCCAACACGCCAGGTCTTTGCGGCCCCGCTAACCGGGACCGTCGTAGGCCCTCCAACTTCGCAAACGTCTCGAGCATGAACGTATTGAAGTGCCAACGGCGCTTCTTGCGGGTGGGAAGACAATCCGCGAATAGATCGATGAGCATGGATTTCCCGGTGCCGACTTCGCCGTGCAGCATGAGGCCCTTGGGCGATTTCATCTGGAGGGCGGATTCCCGCGATGTGAGACGACGGGTGAGGGCGAGACTGTCGCGACGTTCGCGCGAGGAGAGGAATGCGCGCCATGTGCGGGAGGCGAGGGATTCGCCCTCGCGGCTTGTTTCGCGGGCGCGGATGGCGCGGGCGAGTTGGTCGAGACGGTGGCCGTATTCGACTTCGGGTTCGTAGTCTTTGAGACGGTCGTAGAGCTTGGAGAGGTAGATCGCGAGACGATGTTGACCCTGCAGTGATGTGAAGATTAGCTTCGTCTATATATGCGACAGCAGCAGTGTCGTCTGCCTGTTTGCGCTCTTTTATCATACCGGATCAGGAGAGATCGCCTTTGTCGCGACCAGCGCTCTATATTTGACCAGTGGATTGGTGATGGCGAGACCAGTCGCTATACTGGCTGCCATTGTGAATGTGATATTGACATGAGAAAGCCTCGTAATCAATACCACCCAAAATTAAACCCAGATGTTTATTGCGTGTCGAACTGGAAGTGTCGTCTGCACCATACGATATTCAATGTCGAGGACAAACATCTCGGCTTGTAGTCAGTCTAGATCGAGCCATTGCGTCATGATCGCGGCTCACGATCCGTGGGTTGAAAGTCTATTGGCTCACTCGGCGATGAAGAATGTGGAGAAGTGCACCGATTATCAGATCTTTCCATCTGGTTGTCGGACAGTACAATACTGTATTGTCATTGGGTGAGTTTCCTACATTTTGGACTCGAAGGCACACGTTCAAGTGATTCGTTTCTTTCGAGACGATACATGTTCCTGTCGTATGCAAAAACTGATAGTACAAGAAATGATCAAGCATACTCCCCCCTCTCAAATTTCTCCGCACTCCAAAACCTCGCCGTGACTTGATTGTCCGCAAACTCCATGCCATCGCAAGCCTGCAGTGCTCGCAACGCACTCAGTTGATTGACAAACTTCACGAAAACTTCATTTCCACCACCGTCTTCCTCTCTCCAGATGAACAAACGCTCCACCACGCCGTTCTGCGCCATCTCATCGCCGATTTCCTGTAGCAGATCATTGTTCTGAATTTCATGGTCGACATCTAAGTTTGTGAGCATGCCGGAGAGCTTGATGACTTCAGAAAGATCGCCGTGGCCAGCTTGTTGAACTTCGGTGTCGGCATTGTCTTCTGTACCAGTTTTGCGCTTCTTTCCGCCGACGATCTTGCCCATGTTCTTGGGAGCGGCAAACCCGCCTCCGTCGGCATCGGCAAGCTTCTTCCGCTTTTCAGCCTTTGCAACGATGGCGGTGGTGATGCCGTCATTGTGAGCGCCGAGACCTTGACCTTTCTCCCAGCCATACTTTTTGAGCATGCGCTCGGCGAATTTTCCGGCGGATTCTCGTCCATTTCCCACGCGCTGTGGTTCGTCGTCCATTTCTGTAGTTGTGATGAGGATTCGTCAGCAATTAAGTCTTAGTACTGTATTGAAGAGAGTTATTACCTGTTGGTACAGCAGCTTGCATATTCGGCTGAAAAGGCGCCGAATAATCTGCGCCGCCAGTAGGGGCAGGCGGTGGCTTCTCTGGTTCCATTTCGTGGACAGGCGGGCCGGGTATTGAAGGCGGACCACCAAAAGAAGAAGACGCCGGTTGCGCAGATCCTCCTTGCAAGGCACCGGAGCTTGCACCAGGAACGCTTTGTCCGCTGGCCTTGGCTGCCAGTTTTGCCTTGATCTGCGCCACAATGTCTGCTGCATGCGCCTTCTTCTCTTCCGCACTTTTATCGTCTGGTCCAGACTGTGTCCGCGCCAGTGGAGCAGGAGTCCAATTGGCTGGAGGTGCTGCAAGCACAGAAGCCGTAGGTATTGCAGGTGGTATCGCTGACGGTGGAGGCGGTGGAGGCGGCGGCGGCGGCGGAGGTGCTGCATGATTGGCTGTGGCATATACGAGTGGCATCCGGACTGGTGGAGGTGGAGGTGGTGGCGGAGGCGGAGGAGGCGGTACTGGGGGCCGTGAAATTGTATCATTCATGACAGTGTCGAACGAAGGCGGAGGTGGGAAGTGTCCGCCTGGCCTTGCGAGAGATGGCCGTGCTAAAAGGTCGTCAGTATGCTCGGAAGAAATAATTTTGTTCGAGTAAGGCTCACGAGGACTTGAAGGTTGTGAGCGAGCTGGTGAGAGAGGCAGGCGCATATTTTGTTGCGCGAGCATTTTCCTCTTTCGCTTCCTCCCATGCCGCCGAATGTAGTCCATCCAAGCAGCAGCACTATCTTCGAGCTCCGTGATGTCCTGCATCTCCAGATCAGCGTCTGTCTCCAATTGATTTTCCAAATTAACCAATGCGCTTCGACATACCGCTGGGACATACTGCGTCACATCGAACTGTTTGATCGGGCCAGCGTGCTCCGCCTCATACTCCTTCTTCGCACGTCCCTTTCCTCCACGCGGTGGCCGCGGCCGATTGTCAAAAGCATATGTTACACCATACTCTTTCTCGGCGTGAATCTGCGCTTCAATCTCCGCAGAGAAATCAAGATCCGTGCGGGCCTTTTTCGCAGCGGCCTGCTCCGAGACAGCTGAATTCGCACCTCTCACATCGTCTGACGAGGGAGCATTCGCAGTTGTGGATAGTTGTTTGCGCTTGAGCGGCGTCGGCGCAGCAGCAGCAGCTGGTGCTACAGGGACCGGTTTCTTCGGGGCCGTGACACTTTGCGGGACGAACGGCAGAGCGACTGTGCGGGAGAAAAGAGGTGGTTTAGATGATGGTCGTTTCGATCTCAAATCATACACGTTTGATCGGATGGGGACAAACTCTTCTTGGCGGCTTTCTCTTCGGCCTTGCGTGCCTTTTCTTCTTCTGCGGCGTCGGCGGCGAGCTCTTCGGGGGTTGGGTCGTGGAGGTAGAGTCGCTTTCGGAAAGCGGGCGCGGCCGCGGGATTGGACGCCATATTGCTTCGTGATAAATTAGGGGAGTGGCTCTGATCTTGATGTCATCGGTTACGGTGATTGGGTCGCATTGTTATGGCAATACAATGTAAGAATCGTGAGTGTAAGAAATGTGGATTGCTCTCAGCTGAGCCGCAAAGTACAGTAGATGTGGCTCGGCTTGAATGAGCCCTGAATTTGAACTCGGATGACGCGCCGTCTCGCGTGCGTAAAGTACATGCGGAGTAGCATTGGCTTGAAGTACATGTACCTCACGATGACACTTATGTAAGAATTCGTTTTCGTTTCCATCATATGAAAGACATTGTGCAAACAATTCTGAAAAGTGTGAGAACATGCTTTGAACTACAATTTCGCCTTTGGTCCCTTGAGCATAGCCTCGGCTACCATCCGCCTCTGCACTTTGCCAGTAGCAGTCCTGAGATGAGATCAGCATAAAATCCTTCGCAAAGCCGCAAAATTGATAGAGAAACTCACTTGGGCATGGTCTGGGTAAAGAAGATGCTCTTTGGCACCTTGAACTTGGCGACCTTCTCTTTCATGTAGGCTTTCAATTCCTCTTCAGTAGCCTGCTGTCCTTCTTTCAGTACCACTGCGACGCCAACCTCCTGGCCGTAATGTGCGTCCTCGATCGCAAACGAGACAGCTTCGGCGACAGCGGGGTGCTGTGCAAGCGTGTTGTCCAACTCGATGGGGCTGATTTTCTCACCACCCTTGTTGATGAGCTCCTTGATACGTCCAGTGATAATGACATACCCGTCCTCATCGAGCTTGCCTTGGTCGCCAGTGCGGAAGAAGCCCCCTGAGGTGTACGACTCGGCATTGGCTTTGTCGTTGTTGATGTATCCTCGAGTCACGTTGGGTCCGCGAATACAAATCTCGGCCTCCTTACCTTGTGCAACTTCCTTTCCACTTTGGTCGAGGATTTTTACTTCGACGCCCTGGCCAAGTCCTACAGAGCCAGGCTTTCTCCTCGCAGGTGGAAGCGGGTTTGAAGTCATCTGGTGAGCAGCTTCGGTCATCGCGTAGGCCTCGAGAACGGGCGCATCAAAGGCAGCTTCCAGCTCGTGGAAGACTTTCGGTGACAAAGGTGAACTACATGATCGAATGAATCGAATGTTCGGCTTAGGGTTGGGCCAAAGATCCGGCCGTTTGAGCAGAATCTGGTGAATTGTAGGCACAGCCGTATACCAATTGGCTTTGTGCTCGACAAAATGCGGCCAGAATGTGCTCGCGCTGAAACCGCCAGGCACGATGACCGAGCCGGCCGAAGCGAGAGGCGCAAGGAACCCCGCTAACAGGCCGTGGACATGGAAGAGTGGCATAACAAGCATTGTTCGATCATCCTGAGACAATTGATATGTCCGTTGAATGTTCGACATTGTCCGCGTCAGGTTACGATGTGACAAGGGAACAGCCTTCGGCCGGCCTGTTGTTCCCGATGTATGCAGGACAAGCGCGACATCTTCCGGTTGTGCCTTTTCCACGGGTTTGTTTCCTTTGCCTTGCAGCTTGCCTGCACTCTTCACATCCAAAATGACCTCATGGGTACGTGGATCAAGGTAGCATTCTGCAACCGCAGCATTGTGTGTCTTCGCGGCCTGCACGGCGGGTCCATCGGCTTGTCCCTGCGGCACCAAGACCAATGCCGAGGAGAGATCGGAAATGTAGAACTCGAATTCGCTCTGCTTGTATGCCGGGTTCAGTGGAGCGGCGATCGCTCGCTGCCACGAGGCGGCTAGAAAGGCGACGATGAATGGGTAGCTGTTGGGAAGCGCAATCGACACTGCAGCGCCAAGGGAAATGCCCAACTCCGCAAGCCTCTTCTGGAAAGCCAAGACATCCGCATGCAGTTGCCGGTAGCTTATGCGCAATGTGGGTGGTCCAGGGACGATGATCGCCGTGGTTTCGGAGAGCGAAGAAAATGAGTCTGCTAGGGTCGTCATGATGGGTGTTGTGTGTGGTCGTGTGAGGTATGCATTGGAGATATGCAGTCGCTCAACGAGGGTGATGCCCACCTGCGCACGAAGGATGCCATGAATCTCGGCTCGTGCGGATACCACATTTGGTCATGTCATCGACTATTGCGTTATCGCCTCGGATTCTATCAAACTTTGCTTTTCATCGCGGCAGCGCTTGTGCAGGCACGCGAAGATCTGATTGACTCACAAATCCTATTATTACCGTCTTCAACTGCGCGACGAACCTGCGACGATAAGTATCAACATCAAGGAGAGGAAAGGAGATTGTATAGCCGCACGCCGCACTTCCTAAGAGCTGCACCCTTGCGACGTCATTCATCATGAATACTTTCGCCAATGTTTTTATACAGCGCAACATGAGTCTAACAACAGTGGAGCTCGTTGACCTCGGCACTGCCGCGCCACACGCTCAATGTTGTTCCTCAGCATCTGAAGATCGGTCAATCATGTATTCCGCTGGACCTGACTGCTTCGAGTGTCTTCCTGGACGGAGATAATGTCGCGCGTCGAATCATTTTGGTGTTCTGGACAAGAGATCCTTTCAATCAAGTGCTTGATGCCCACCTCCCAGGTGGACACCTGATTTGTAGCATCATTGCACGGATCACTCGCGTGCTGGGCTGAAAGCTCAGAAGTCAAGCCCGCAAAACGCAAGTTCCTTTTCGTTTCGTTTGATCAGCGCCATCCGAACTCGCTTTTCACGCTGCAAAATGGCGGCCAAAGAGCTCCAACATATTGCTTCCAGTATTCTCAGCACAGTCTAAGCAGAAGTCCGGGGCTGCAGCAAGAATCGAGATGCTTGAACACGTATCCATCGTGCCAGCGTCATGAAACGCGGCTTCGAAGTCTCGTCTTTGGAATGTATACCTTTCCTCAAGGCGCTGAGCTTGTGAGAATCTTGCCCGAGGCATGAGATATCTGACCGCATGAAGCTTGTACGTGATGACTCTGCGTGTGACCTCAGCATGCGTGATGATGGCAATCCTGTCCAACGCGGCGGCACCTGTATTGGTGCAGATGGTAACTGGTGAAGGGCTCGGCAGAGAGGCGGGCTCTTTTATGGTTATCGAGAAACACTTCTTGGAGGCTGATACTGACTTTGGAGCCTCTTCTACTCAAGGTGGGTCACAAATGGCGTGGAAAACCTGATGCAATGTACACTTTTGTTGAGAACCTTGATCCTGAACAAATCTGTGGCTCTGTTGAAAGTGTTGGCAAGTTCCGAGGACATGTAATTGGGTACCCAGTAACGACGGACGAGAATCATCGGGCTGGAGTTCGATCGCAAATAACACCTCCAGGCCATTAAACGTCCCCGGGCCATCCTGTGTTGTGACAGCCCGAGCCCTGCCCGTATGTAGGCAGCAACAGGTAAGAACGACCTACAGGGCTCGGAAGCAACCTTGGAAGTCACATGTGCTCTTCACTGGAGTCTCCAACTATCCAGCAACAACATAATGTTGCATACCTAGGAGGTAGGCACACTCAACCTCACTCATATATTAAGACTACGTCGAGCCAATGACGATCTTGCAAATAACCCTTAATCGCTCATTTGCACCGCAGCATCGCTTCTTCACATTTTTCAGCGCACGACAACTGCAATCTCAGACTTGTCACAAATCTCAAGACGTCTTCCGCTCCTTGATCCCATCGTTCTTATCTATCAAACCACCACCTGCCTTCTGAGGACATGGCCGTCATCGAGAGCATACCCGGCGTCGAGGTTCATGTGATCACTAACGATCAACCTCTCATTGAATATACCGACCCAGATGTCGGACAGCTTTCCAATACGGCTTCCTGCTTCGTCGAAGCCAAAAGTGACCAAAACTTCGAAATCCAGTGCATGTTGCGACACGACACGAAGTTTGAAGGCGATGGCATCAACTTCCACGTGTGTATCGACGGAGCATGGGTGGAAAGCTTAGTTGTGCCCTCAGACTGTTGCGTTGCGAGCGATTACAAGCTGTTGTTCAGAGGCGCCCGCGTGAAAGACAGCGCATACTCGCCTTTCTACTTCTCTGATCTCAAATTTTGTATGTCAAAGATGAGCACGTATTTGACGGATACTCTAACATTATGTATCTAGCCACCGACGATAAGTTTCGTGCAGATCAAATGACCAAGTATAAACAGATGGGCGTGATCGAGGTTCAACTCCACCACATAAAGTACATCAGGTCCTCAAAAGCGCAGGTTCCGTTTACTGGCAAACCACGCAACGGCAGTCAAATAATTCCCGAGAAGGCGACGAAAGGCCGTGCTGTATCACACAGTGTGAGGTGAGTGGCCGACAGATCGAGATTGCTCGATGTTGGTCGAGAGGCACTGATCGATATTCCTAGCTTTGGTCCAGCTGTTGCTGGCCCCAAACTTCATACTCCTACGATTAAAAACGTGGACCCCAACAATATACCACAAGGAAGGTTTTACTTCCAATACAGATCGCTCGGTGAGCATGTTCAAACAAGCTCGACTTGACTCTACTAACAAGTCAGCTGCCTTCAAATCAATGCTCATAATTCCACGAACCCCGCCACCGGAGCCCCTCGAGCTTCGCGACCCAAAAACGTTCAGCGTCGAAGACATTGCAGAATTACAGCGTCGTATCAATTCACGGAGCGTTTCTGCCACGGCAGCTATAAAAGAGGAGGGACAGGGCGATCGATCGACCTCCCGCAAGAGGCCACGTCAAAACTCATATTTACATTCCTCATCACAACGTGATGACGATGTCCGGGAAACGCCGGCAGAGGAGATTCCTCGTAAGAGAAGAGAGGTGACGGTGATCGATCTGACTTGAACAATCCCCGAGCCAGTGAAAGGCGGAAACTTTGCCTCGAGAGGAACAGCCTAAACATGGGGCAAGCGAATGCTGTAGGCCGAAGCGAACTTGGAATTATGCTATTCTTGTAATATTGATTCAGTGAAATTCTGGATTGAGGCTGGAGTGGAGTCAATCGCTTGTCGTAACATTATCTCATCCAAAAGCCGCGCGCGCTCAAGATTCAAGCATTCCAAATACACCTGGGCATAATGACCACCTGCAAACTTGGCAAGCACGCATCATTCAAAGCATTCCGGTACTTTCCAGATTTGAAAATGAATTGATAGACAATGTAAGCTGGAGCACAAAGGTGAAAGTCACTTCCGCGCCCAACTCTTGATGCAAGCCCGCCCGACGGGCTCTTTGATCACTCTTCACCTTCACACTCCATCAAAACCTTTCATCATGATCCCACGACTGCCACAAAGCCCGATAGACTATCACTCCGACCTACCATCTTGCAACGTCACATAATACGACGCCACCTTGGCGGTCAGACGACATGGCGATTATCACAAAGATTCCTGGCTTTCGCGTCACGATACGTTGCCCTGACAAAAAAGCTCAGGACTCAAAAGAGTACAGCGATCCTGATGCTGAGGTCCCACCGTGCACCGTTGCTCGCTACATCGAAGCCAAGAACAATCAGGCCTTCGCCATACGTTGTACGGTCACGAGAAGAAGTTTCAAGTCCGACGGTGTCAGCTTCAACGTCTACGTCAATGGACAATTTGTGGAAGAGAGAATCGTCTCGAGGGACGAATGCGGGCCGAAGAAAAAGACTGTATTCATTGAAGGTGCACCCACTGGTCCTCGCTCCTTTCGACCTTTTGTATTTGCCGGTCTCAACATCAGTATGTGCACAGAACATGAATGTTTTGTTTCACAGTACTGATGGAAGAAACAGCCACAGAAAGCAACGCAGACAATGACATCGTCCTCGATCCGAATTCCCTAGGCCACGTACAGGTTGAAGTCATTCATGTAACCATTGGTCCCTCATTCACACCAGTCGAACAAGCGCCTCAACTCCAAGATGGAGATATCACGATATCTGAAAAGGCCATAAAAGGCAGCTCGGTATCGTATAGCGTGAAGTTAGTCACTTGCTACCTCGCGTCTGACTCTTTTCTGACACTCTCGATATCAGATTCGCGCCTCAAGAGTCTCTGACTGGACCCAACTACTATTTTCAAACAACCAACATTGATCCCGAGCATAGGCCAGCTGCCATTTTCAACTTTTACTGTCGCTCGCTCGGTACTGTACTGCCATGCTCGTTCCCTTCTTCGACTTTGCGCTGACAAGTCAAGATGCCCTCAAAGCCATGTTGATCATCCCACCAACGCCGCCTGCCGTGGGAAAAAGACTACGAGTACCAGACCCATCGATCTTGAGGCCACAAAGCGATCAGCCAATCAAAAACGAGTCCGGATATGACAGCCTGTCCGTAAGAAAGCACGAATCGATCCCGGCTGAGATCAAAGAGGAGGTAGAGATCGACGAGGCGCCCCCAGCAGCGAAAAGACCACGACTGCAGGAGCCCTTGCTGAAGTTTGAGGCTGTCGACGATGAAGATCTCCGCGAGCTCACTGCTGAGGAAATTCCCGTCAAGGAGAAAATTGTCATTGTCATCGATTGAAAAGCCGCGAGTGACGCCAACGTTGGCTCGCAGATGTGGTGTCTGTTGCTCTTTGGATTTGAACAATCACATGCTGGGTAATTGTGTGTAGTTTCCACCGAAGAACGGTAGGGTATGCACTCCCTTGGAAACATCGGCAGGTTCCAAGAATCGTGTTCGACGCCTCATGTAATTTTCTTGCAAGAATAGATCGTTTGTATTGGCGAAAGGTTTCAACGTGCCAAGTCACTTGCCCTCACGTCTCGCCATTTCACGCGCCACTGCCTCCTGTACACAAGCACCGCTGCTGCTTGCTCACCCGGGCATGAAATGTGATCACGTTATCAGAAGCAAATACCTTGTCACTCCAATTGTAATTTTGCACTTCGACACTATCTTTCATCTTTACAATCTTCTCGCTTTCTTTCATCAATCGCCCTTGAAACAACATCTTCGCTCTCACTCACGTTAAGATCTTCGCTTATTACCGCAAAGCAATCGTTGAAGCACTCATTATCGTCCTCCATTATTCCCCGACCACACCCGACCTGCGGATACGATGGCTGTTCTCGAAGATGTGGACGGCATCGAAGTACAAGTGCTGTGTGACGGAGAGCCACTACAGGAGTACACTGATCCGGATGAAGAGGAGACTCCCGATACGACCACACGGTACATCGTGGCCGAAACGGGCAAAGCTTTTGTTGTACGCTGCAAGCTCAAGGATGGAACATGCTTTCGTGGCGATGTCATCTGTTGTCATGTCTATATAGACGGCAAATGGGTCTACGCGAAAAATTGTGGCAAGAAATCCTTCAAGAACGGAAAGCGGATTATCTCAATCGACTCGGCAATAATTACACGCACCTCGGTGAGACCTTTCTTCTTCTCGTCCCTGGTAACTAGTGAGTTTGCGCAAGTATCAGAAAGGATATCCAGTCACTAAACTTGTTCTAGCAAGCGATTCTAAGAAGGGATCTGTCAAATCTAAAGTACACGCGAAACTCGGGAGCATCGAGGTCAAGTTGAGCCACAATCGCTGGGACAATGAAGGTAGCAGGGGAAAGATAGACTACACGGCTTGTTGGGAGTCTACCACACCGGTCACTGAAAAGAGTGTGAAAGGTCGCAGCTTGTCACACAGCTTGAAGGAGGTAAACTCACTCTTGCGTCATTCCATCTGCTAACAGACCAATTCTAGATTGGGAGATCTGATTTCCGCCCCAATGAAGTGGACACACTCGGTTCCTATCAAGAAAAATTCCAAGATCGGGAAGTTCGTCTTTCGATATCGGTCACTTGGTAAGTAAGCATCGAACCAGAATGCACGCCGTGGCGCTGAATACAATGTAGAATCTCTTAAAGCGTTGCTTATTGTGCCGCGGACGCCTTCTCCGCCTCCTATCGAAGCAAAAGATCCTGACGATCTCAGCCGCGAAGAGATTGCAGAACTACAGCGCAGAATATTATCGAAGGACACGGAGCTGATAAAAGTCAAGAGAGAGCGCACCGAGGAAAACACACCACGAAAGAAGGCGCGCATCACCCCAAGCTCGCAAGTACTTGAGCTTGATGATGATGAAGGCGTGCGTGAAGTCGAGAAAAGCTCGCTTTTTATCCAAGAGCCGGAGGTGATCGTGATCGATGACTGAAAGCCGATCATTCATTGACGCAACAGAGGCTATAACGGTCTAATGATGTCAGCACATATCTGGGAGACATCAATTTGACGTACCGAGAGGTTGGTGTGGCCAAGGAAAGGAGCGAATCAGGGACGAGGGCAATTCCTGCCGTTCCGCATGAGGCTGGCTGGAGACGTGGAAGATCCGACACTATTCAATCTGGATTTCCTTTTTAATAGTGTTTGACATTATTGCTGTTCCTCGCCGAGTCCGAACATCTTGATGGAATTGTTCCAAGCCCTGTATTATTGATTAGCAAACCCAGAACAACGCAAATATTGCAGAATATGAGACTTGCGCTTCACAGACTTCTTCCACCGGGATTCCCTTGACCGCAGCAACCGCATACGCAACCTGGGTAATAGCACAAGGCTCATTCCTCCCCTTGACCATCGCCTCAGCATTCCACTTCTCTTTTTTGACCGCCTTCGGCAACGGCGGCGCCTCCTTCAAAAACTTTGCACTAGCATGACTCGGCCTCATCTCACACCACGGCCCATCCGTCTCAATCTGCAAGCGTTCCAAGGGGACCTCCTTGACAACCTCCAAATTCTCCTCCGTCTTCATACTACACCCATTAATCCCAATATCAAAACCCATCTCCACCAACCTCCTCATCTCCTCCATCGTGCCCGTAAACGAATGCACAAGTCCCCTCCTCGGCAATTTGTCAAGTCGCTCCCTCAGAAGCCCCTCGAAATCCTCCGCCGCGGCCCTCGAGTGCAAGAACAGCGGCAAGCCAACTTCAATCGCCACATCAAGCTGTTTGGCGAAAAATTCCAATTGCGTCTCGCGACTCGCATGCTGCAACCGGTCATAATCCAATCCGATCTCACCAAACGCCGTCGCAGTCCCCTCGTCTCTCCCTTCGGTCGCAAGATTCTTCAAATCCTGCAACAACGCATCCGCTCCCTGAGGGTACTTCAGAAACGTCTCCGCGGAGCAAGGATGGACGCCGACGGTGGCATAGCATAGTCCGGGGTTCTCTCGCGCTAGGGTCATCGCGGCCCGGCTCTCGTCCAGGTCGCTGCCGGTGACCATCATTTTCTGGACGCCGGCGGTGCGGGCGCGGGTGATGATGTGGAGGAGGTCATCTTCGTGCGCGGCCCTGCCGTGGTAGGTCCCCCGGAAAATGGGGTCGGTAAGGTTGATCCCGATCTGGGTTGTGGATCATTAGGAAGGGGGACTTTTGTTGATTTGCTTTCAGGGGTTAATGGTGGGGATTTTGGTTTACTGACATCGGCGAAACGGAGCGAGGGGAAGGCTTTTTGTTCTGGTTGGGACGAGGCAGCGTTCGTTGCTGGAGCTGGTTGAGATGCGGTGGTGGCCATTGTTCGCGGGATCAACTTTGAGACGCCGTTTTGTACTTGGACTCGGGCAATGTTGCAAGCTTTGGGTATCGTTGTCGACAAGCAGATCGATCTTGAAAATTGTAATGAACGAAGCATTTGCTGTTTGTCGTAGCTGGAATCTGGCTGTATTATGTATTCTTCATTTCTTGTGAGTCATCTTATGTGCACTTTCTTTTTCATCAGAATTCTTATCGTCGAATCATCTCTCCCGCATCAACATCATCCTCATCATCAATGACATCGAACATCACCACTCATCTCCAGGGCTGGGCAACATCCAACCCAACCCTAATGAAAGCCCGGGGGCACATTTCCGCTGAATCATCAGTCTCCACCTCCGCACGGCCCGTGCCTTCCTCGCTCGCTCCTCCCACCGCACACAAATGCTCTCCACCTCTTCTCTCCCTCTTCTTCCTTCTTTCTTTTCCTTCTTCAAAGTTGATGGCCTCCTATATACCCTTGTATGATCAATTGCGCACCAGCAATCACAGTACCCATTGATCTTAACACATTCCCGCGAGAGCCGATATCAGTCAAGCCTTTCAATAATCCTACCCTGCTGAATTTTTTCAAGTGCGGCGGTCAGATTCGCTTTAGGCGTACAAATCTCCTTCCCGTCTTCTTCCTTTGTTGATCGCGTCGTGCCGGGCGACGTATGTCGCGCGGTGGATGGATGGGACTGCTCTGGGAGGAGAGAAGAAGGGAAGAAAGATAATGAGATGGAGAGGAATCGCGTGGGAATCGCGCGCGAGTAGGGAATGAGTCAATTGAGACGACGACGAGGGAGGTGTAAGAGCAGCGCTGCGTGTGGGAGAATGACATCGCGGGATTATGCTGTGGGTTGTTGATTCGCGACACGCATTGGCAACACGATAGTCTGTCCGATAGAAAAAACTGATAATCCGTAAGTTGAGAGTTGCGTGAAGTCCGCACCTCATCGCACCTGAAGAGTTTCAGCTACTACAAGATGATTCGAATTCCGTTTCAACCGTGATACAAGAACGACTTGTTTCCTCCTCTTAATTGTAAACGCCGACGCTTCATCTCAATCGCCAAGGACTCCGCCATTGCATGCTCTGCTCCGACAATATGATGATGAGAGAAAGGAAACTGCGATGCCAACAATGCCTCCCTCCCCAAAGCCATCCCGTCCCATCCGTCAACCCAATCAGACCCAATCGACCCCCCACCCAGCATTCAACGCCTCCAGCACACTCCTCTGACAGCTCAACACGCCCTCGACCGTCCTCCAGGGCTGTCCCCGCAAACACATGGCCATGTCGAACATGGCATGGACGATCCTCACCTCGGCGTTTTGTAAATGCGCGGGATACGTGAGCCTCGCGGGGATGGCGCCGATGTGCCATTTGTGCAGCCAGCGGAGAAGGTTCGGCCAGTGGGCGGTTTGGCGGATGTGCGGGTTCATTGAGATGCGGCGTTGGGAGATGAGCGGTTGATGCGGCGGCGGTGGTGATGCTCGTTGCTTTTGGGGAGATATCGTTACTAATGGTGATATTACGGCATTGCTGCTGCTGTGGTCGATGATGCGATTCGCTCGATGCTCCTCCTCCTCCTCCTCCTTCTCCCCTCCTCCTCCCTTCCCCAACGCCCCCAACATCCTACACCAGCGCTCCAACGTCGTCGGATCAAGGTCCAGAGCCAGGATATCGAAGCTGTTCTCATAGTAGAAAATCTCCAGACACTCGGCGCGGATTTCTCGATTTGTCCGGAGCAGGCCTGAGCGGGGATAGCCTTTGGGTCCGACTTCGATCGACGTTGGGGAGAGGAGGGAGAGGCGATAGATTTTATTGCGGAGTTCGCCGGGGAGGGAGAGGAGTGGGCTGCTATTGGTGTTGCTGTGAGAGAGGGGAGGAGGAGACAGGTGTGTACGGGATGTCGGAGGTGGAGAAGGTTGTCGTCGTTGCTGTGGAATTGTCGCGTGTGGTTGTGCCGATCGCGAGGACATCCTTGTGGATCTTGTAGTACGTCCCTCGATCTTGACTCGCGGTCTTGCTGCTTGTCGTTGTTTTCGGTGGAAAGCTTCTCTGTCTGGACTGTTTTGACACTGGACGTCCATGTTGCAAGAGCACGCGAGTTTCTTCGATATCGGAATTCAGCCGAATGATTGAAGAATTGTTGATTGAGATATGTCGATGGGATGTGTTGCTGATCCTGCACTCGGCAGATATTCGATACTCCGACAAGGATGTCGTACCGAAATCGGGACAATAATAATTGGCTGCCTCAAAGGCCTTGTTTGCAGATGTCCTTGGGGGGAAATAGCAACCGGGAATACTGTTGGATCCGCAACCTTGTCAAGCGGAGGATGAGGTGCAGGAATGGTGGAAAGTTAGCTTTTGGAAATCAGGAATCCTTCCGAGGTGGATCTTGCTATAAAAAGAAGAATGAGATCGGAAGTGGTTGCTATTGTGGAATGATAATTGTGTATTAATCATCAATCATGTGTAGCATATGCAGATGATTTCCTTCGGAGTTGAAATATGAGTGATGGTGGGATATTATTTTTCTTTCATTTTCCCATGGCGAAGAACGTCAACAGAGGAGAATGAAACAGGAAGTCACTTCCGAGTATTACAGGAATGTCCACCAATGGATGATCTTCCAGCTGGGTGGGTGTATATGTAATGTACGTGCATCGTTCCTGCTACGTCTCTATCATGCGAACGCCGACAGAGCCAATGGAGGAAGATACGGCCAAGAATGAAGGGTTTGGGTCTCATTACCGTAGCCAGCGGATGATCTCAACGGGACGACCGGAGACTACCTAGTAGAATGACATTCCTCCCTCGCTGTACGAGAGATAGTCAGAGCTGATGGTGGAGCGGTTACCGATATCGTAGGCGGCGGAACAGAGAGTGCTATACAAGTGCACGATAGCCTTTGACCACTCAGGAACCGCCGATATCATCCATGTCAGCCTCGCGAGAATTAGCTGCAGTACTTCGTGCTGAAGGAACGAGACGCCAGACCGGTGCTGAGTAGCGGAATGACGAAGTGGAGGAGAAGTCGTCAGGTTCAGTAGATCTCGCGTCGATGGCGGACCGAGAGATCCGGCTCCCGGGAAAGGGCCTCGTGGCGTCTGTCTAACGAAGGAAAGCGGCGGTGGCTTGTGCTATAGTTTGCCTTCGATGACCGAACAAAAGCGCCATCTGGTCGTCGAACTGTCACGTATTGGGAGGTGGATTTACGATGAAATATTACCAAGGCTCGTCAGGGTCGTTTGGCCATGTTTGAGTGTTCGCCCATGATATCCCGTAGCCTACCTGCTGTACCAGGAACATAATCGTCGCCAGTCACTCTCCCTTGTCTCCGATGCAAGGTCAGGGTCGTCGATGCGACAACCCCGAGCGGCGGATGGTAACGCGAGGCGATCCTTCTCCTCATCCTCCTCCTCATCATTATGCATATAGGGTGCAAAGTAGGGCCATGGCAAATGCTTGTTCAAGGTCATCAGCTGAAAAATGATCGTATACCAGTATAATAAAGTTTGGCGGACCCCGGAGTGCAGTGGTATAGAGATGATGGTGACATCGCCTTTCCTCTGGAGGCAAGCCCGGAGATAACGAGCCTTTTGGGGGCCGAGTCCGTCCTCTCCGACATCGTTCGTGGCTCTGGACAATGATGTACTGTAGATCAAATCGCGCCAAATAATCACACGAACCAATCTCATCGCGCGGATCGGATCCAGCGGATCTTCGAATGCGGCTGAGGGACGGTGTAGGAAAAAGAAAAGGAGTGGTGTCAACAACCGCGCCACAGCGATCGACCGACCGCCCGGACTCAGGAAAACAAGCAATTTCGGGCGTGGGAGCTAAATGTGAATCTTCGGCGAGCGAACATTGCCGCTTTCGCCTTTGACCGAAGAGAGGGTCGCGGAGGGTCTCGCTCTCGCTACAGGGCCTATATTTCCCCGGCAAGACTTGTGGTTCAGGCTCTCCCGGACGTGCATTCGTCGATCATTCCTGAAGGATTTCCTGCACGGCTCCGATGGTAGCGATGGGAGGGGGGATAGAAGTCGATCATCGTCGTCACCACCAACCTTGCGTGTATGTCACTCGTGCATGCGTGAACACCAGTCACGCGGGCGGCCTCGCAATTCACGCTCTCCGAAACACGGCAGTCGGGTTTGGAAAACAGCGGGAGTGTGACTGACTGACTGACGGGGATTGCTCGGTGGTGGTTGGGTTGGAGATGATAAGAAAAGGCACGGTATTTCTATTCCAATCCATGCCTGAAGTTGGAGGAAATCAGTCTTTCGCCTCCGTGGAAGAATGATCCTGGGAGAACTTGTTGATCCCATCGGGCGCATGCACCAAGGCGAGGCGAGGATCCAGGGTCTGCTACATAGAATAACGAAAATGTCACGATGCCAATTCCTCTCAGGCGGCAATCTCTTGCAGAAGGAAACTATGCACAAGGAAAGCATCTTTGCCATCGTTTCACCCTGTGGAAGATGAAAAATGTCTCGAAATGTGATCTCTATAAATGTACAATATTCGTTAAGTTTATACTACACCTGGATCCCCCGTCAGGCTCCAGACAATTAGAGAAGAGGAAGAAGTAGGTCATGTTTGAAAGAGGAAAAAAAGGAGAATCCCGTCATGCCCATCTATGATCTCAATGAATCCACCGTCTCCTGTACTTCCAATCGTTGATCCATCGTCATGCCTTGCCACAGCTGCGATTGGATCTCCTGCCAGACTTGCAGCATACGTCTTCGACCTGCACAGCGATGAAACGCCCTGAGCGCGACACACGTGAGAGCCACCGTGAAGTACGGCGCTCGGGATTCTTCGGAGAGTTTGTTATCGGGGACGAGGTGGAGATGGTCGTGGTCGCTGCTGGTAAGATCGGAACTAGCATCCTTGAGGATCTCTGTGGGAACCACGGTCCGCGAGGGGCGTGCGGGATCGGTGTCGAGGTCTGCGGTGGTCGTTGGAACACAAGAGGATGAAGCAGCAGCAGCAGCAGCGATGAAATCCGCCCAAAGTTCTTCAAGCGCCATATGGCACCAGGACGATCTCCAGCGGTGAATCCCTCCGTGGGCAATGAACCCTTTCAAACAGAGGAAATAGGCGCTGCCGTGAATCGCCAGGCCCCGATCCGACATTTCCGCCATCAAGTCGCGGATCCGATCCAAGTCTCCCGAGGTCTCTGCGTGGTAGGCGATGAGAATGCGATAGGTTCTCGCATTCGGCGCGAGTGGGGTGGCGTTTTGAATCGCTTCCTTGCGGTCTTCGTTCGAAAAGGCGGTGCCGAAGAAGGAGTTCTGCATCGTGTTGCGCTCCTCCCGCAACGCGCGCGCCGTGTGGTCGAGGAAGCGGCCGAGTCGCTTCTGCGCTTGCCATGACTGGGGACCGGCGATGCCGAATTTCTCCTCGTGGAGGGCCTTCATTTTGCCAAAGACGTTTTCGGCGGCGGCACCCTCGCCAGCACGGATGAGCGACAGCATGACGCAATTCATGACTGCAGTGTCGACGATTTCGCCACTGCTGACTAGATCGCGGAAAGCACTCCTGACGTTGTCACCGTTCTTCTGCAATCCCGCGTAGAAGATGACACTGGTGCGGAAGAAACGATTCAGTGGCATCTTTCGCGTGACCAGCTCCTGGAAGATGGTATCTGCAAGTCCATACCGTCCCGCGCGGATGGCAACATCGAACAGAATGTTGAACGTAACATTGGTAGGTTCAAACCCTGCTTCCTCCATCCTCATCCAGGTCTCCACAGCGGCTTTGAATTCCGCCGTACTCGTCCGTCGGATCCATCTCGCCGAAAAGGATATTGCAGTATTCCAGATGTCGGCATTCAATTCCAGGCCCTCTTCACTACAATGATTGAGAAAAGCCAGATAACGTTGCATGGCGTTTGTCGTAGTACGAAACTCAACCCAAGCCAGATGTCGAAACATGCGCTGAATGCTCGCATCGTTCAGATAGCGAGGCCGGTGCTCTGGCAGATTCTCATACGCCTGCCACAATTCCTCTTGTGATACACCACCGAGTGGCCTTGCTAAAAGCCTCCGGAGGAATTTGAGACGTTGTCTGGTTTCTGCATCTCTTGGCTGTAGAAGATGGTTTCGTCCGTGAAGTGCATATGCATCCTCTTGCTCTGGCGTCATGAAAAGTCGTGGCGCCAACGGGAAGTACGCCTTGTTTTTCGAGGCGCGCTCATTGTTTCGTACTTTGCCTCCGAAGCCAGCATATGTATTTACCAGCTCTTTATATTCCTCCGGGGTGATCCGCGGTATTGCCCTCCGTGCTTTCTCGATCTCATCGGGTTCAGAGGCGAGCTGTATGACGGTTTTTTTTCTGGGACCAGATGAAAAACCTCGACGTTGAAGGGTTGAAAGCTCCTTTTGATCCGAGCGATTCGAAGTTGGCCGTTTCAAGCTGCCACGTTGAACATTGCTGGTGTTCTGGTGGAGAGAGCACGAGCTTGCTGCGACCAATGAATTGATGAATATCCTTTCTAGATCCTCGCTTGTCACCGCAGGCGTTTTGATGAATTTAGACTGTTGTACAAATGAATTTGTCGACTGATGAGCATTTCTGCGGCGGATAGCTCGACTATGTCGCGGGCTGAATCCGATTGAGCGTACCACTGTGGTGGAGATCGTATTCCCGTGGAGTGGGCTGACCAAAGAGCCGAGGATTGACATGAAGCGTGCAGCATTGTGCCTGGGGTTGGATTCACACAGATGCAATCATTGCGCTGCGAGGAAATGTAGTTGATGGGCAAATACTTGACGATGCACTGAAATGCTACGCGCAGGGAGTCGCGTGCCAAGATTTCGCCGCGGGAATGCCGGTCTGCGTGAGCGATGCTAACCATTGAATCTCTCGGAGTATCACCGCGCAAATCATCAACTTCAGCATTCGCAACGAACAACCTGGAAGAGAAAGAAAGCGAAGCACGCATCAACACAGAAATGAGGTGAAATTTCGAGGGGATCATCACGCACCACGAACACACTCTTTCCTCCTAGCCATGGGTCGTTACAGCTTCGCCGCCCAGAATGTCCACAAAACCGCATCATTATTGATCGCAGCGAAGCAGACAAAAGCACCTCCACCATGGTTCGACATCATCGGTAGTCAACCGCCGGCCAAGCGACTCGTGCGTATGCCAATGCAGCGACCACAAAAAGCCGGCAAGAAGAGTAGTAAATTATTCACACCCATCAACATTTCATACGAGGAGGATCGGTTAAGGTGGGAATATTTCAACGATCACCCATGGGAGTTGGCCAGACCGAGGACGGTTCTCGAAGAAGATGGCAAGGACTCACAAAAATGGGACTGGGGTCTTCCCTTGGATGCTTCCCTCAACAGTATGAAAGAATGGTCTTCAGATAGCTTTCCACTAGAGTACAGTGCGTATGAAAAGGCACAAATGGCACATCAGCAAGCAGCTCGACCGATCAATGGTGAATCGTAGGTGTCATCCAATGATCTTTACATACTTTCAAGCTTTTACTAATACTCTACACAGAGTCGTTCAACGACAACGCTGGCTCATGCGCCATGGAGATCTCTCCGAAACAGCAGCGTACGACAAAGCGCGCAAAGAATATTATCGATACCGACACGCCATGGAAGTGGAAGCCCGTGTTGCTCGAGAGGAGGCGCTGGCGATGGGTGCATTCTTTGGAGCAGGACCCATGGAGGTTGGTATGAAATTGGAAGATGTGCAGTATGAGAACTGGAAATCATGGGCTGTCAACGAGACCCAGGCACTCAAGCAGCTCAGCCAATCTGCCTACACTGGAATCGAGGAGGAAGAGGATGATCTCTCGAATCCATCGTCGGCGGATCTGCAGGAGATCAGCCCTGGCGTTCCGGGCAGCAAGGATGGCCTGTTGGCGAAGGGTGGAGCGGCAGTACGTCCTGCTAATTGAAGAGGGTGATGATTTTGTACGATACCATCAACATTTCTTGTATTACAGAGCGGATTATATTCTTCCCACTAGAAAGACGAACCTTATTAAGGATAAACATCATAAAATGGTGCTTGATCATAATTGAAAACATATGATTCTGACTGCGAAATAACGCCTGCGCAAGTGTCGTGAACCATTATGACATTTCCATTCAAGCAAGTTGACGCTGCTGGAACCTTGGAATTGCGCTTTTCAACCTCAGCCGATTGGTACTGTAGTAACCTTGGAAAGTAACAACAACCTCAACAACATGTCAACGGCACTCTCAGGCCTTTCAGCAAGAAGCCTCGTACGCGACATTCGAGATTTGATTATTGGGTGATAACAGAGCATTGTTTTCCTCGTGAGAGAATGATTCTTATCCGCCGCTCGAGATTTACGCATTCTCTGTCCAGCACAGTCTGCAAAGAGGGACAGATTGATCCTTCATAAACTCGCCGTCCGCGATGCCCGGGCCTTCTAGAAAGAGGTCCGGTAGTAAAGTCCGACCTGATCTCGATTTCACCCTCCGCAAGATTTTCGGCAAAGATAGCTTCAGGTAATGAAAGAAAATCAAACGCAACATCACTTCACCTGCTGACCAACACTACCGCAGACCAGTCCAACGTGAAGTCATCGAAGCTGCCCTCGCCGGTCACGATGTCTACCTTCAAGCAGCTACAAGTTTCGGCAAAAGTCTCTGCTTCCAACTCCCCGCCGTTGTGGATTTTGGAATCACAATCGTCATCTCGCCCTTATTAGCACTGATGAGCAATCAAATGGCCGGGCTCCGCGCAGCCAACATCCGAGTCGAAACGCTCAACAGCAGCACGCCAATGGAAAAAAAGGACCTCATCATGGATGACCTCAAAAGTGGCCATCCGATGACCCGCTTGCTGTATGTCACGCCGGAGTATTGTCTCGGAGAACGATTCCGGGACACGATGAAGATTGTCAATGGGCAGCAGGAGCTGGCGAGGATCGCAATCGACGAAGCTCATTGTATCAGGTGAGAACACCCTGCGATTGCGTTGATGTTATAGATGACTGATTACACGCCATGATAGTGAATGGGGTGAGTTCAACGTCTCTCTGACTCTCTGAATCAATCTCATAACCAACCTGCTGACCTGTTCTCTATCCTATCTAGGCCACGACTTCCGTACCGCCTTCAAAGAACTTAAATGGTTCAAGAAAGAATTCCCCAACGTTCCCATGATCTGCTGCACCGCGACCGCCACCGCCCGGGTCCGCGAAGACATAATCACCACCCTGAATCTCAACCACACGACCCTGAAATCCTTCACCATGACCACCGCGCGTCCTAACCTACACTACGAAGTCCGCTACACCTCCTACTCCGAAGACCGCTACACCAGCGATTTCCTCCCCTGGCTCCGCGCAATCCACACCCGTCGCCAGACCCACCCGGCGCGCTCCGCCGAACTCCTCGCGGCCTCCGAACGCCCCACCAACGTCTCCGGCATAATCTACACCCTGACCCGCGCCGAGACGGAACACCTCGCCGCACGCCTGACCGCTGACGGAATCGGCGCCAAACCCTACCACGCGGGTCTCCACTCCGACCTCAAAGCCGCGCATCTCGCAGGCTGGGTGGCGAACAAGCCGGGCCACGACATCATGGTCGCGACGACGGCGTTCGGGATGGGCATCGACAAAGCCAACGTGCGATTCGTCGTGCATTGGAGTCTTCCCAAGAGCTTCGAGGGGTATTACCAGGAGGCCGGGCGGGCGGGGCGGGATGGCAAAGCGAGCGTGTGTCGGTTGTATTATAGTCGCGAAGACCGCGACCGGGGCGTTGCGCTTTTCACGAGGGAGCAGCAGCGGAATTCGCATGCTGCGAAGAATTCTTCTGGTGGTGGGATGACGGCGTCGGGCCGGCAGAGCGTGGAGATGAGGGGGCGGAGTTTACAGGCGCTGATTGCCTATTGCGAGAACGTCGGCGCGTGCAGGCATAAGTTGATTGCGAAGTATTTCGGGGAAGAAGAAGGGGATGGTAGTGGTACGGCGGTAAAGTGCGAATGGGCGTGCGATTGGCATAAGGACCCGGGACTACTCAAACGAAGGAAGGAGCTTGGTCTGGCGGACGAGGAGTGGTGTGCGACGCAGCGCGAGACGGGGGCTTATGGGGAGTACGACGATTATGACTAGACTTGCGCGAGATGGACGACGAAGCATTCAAGCTCTAAATTATATGGCCTCGGAATCTCTGGATTCAAAGCGAAAGTGCGGGTTTCATAAGCTTTTCAAAGCCTTTAGGATTGGATTGGCATTCATCGTCAGGAAGAAATGTCATCGCACATGTGGCAACATCCGATTGAGCCAGTCGGCTAGCTCCTTCCTTGCCGAAGGATCGGAGGCGGGCAATGAAGATGCAGGAAGGAGCACATCAGTCCAATCCTGCACCTCATTGATCTTATAGCCCACCAGAATCTCGCTCAAGTGAGAAGCCAATGAGGAAGGGTCTGAAGGAGGAGAAGGGCGCTCGTCCGAAGTTTCAGATGAGAGCTCCGAAGTATCTGCAACTCCGGTGATCTCACCATAGCGCGCGGTGATCTCGACGTTATGGAGCGATTCGCTCAGAGCACCCCTCGTGTTCAAGGTGAATTGCGGAGTCTGGAGGAATTTCCATTCGGGAGACTAGAAGTTTTGGAAATTAGTCGTGTGGGTGATTGCTTCAGATGAGACATCTGAAGAGCAAAAAGGCAATTATTCCAGGACGAGACTCACCACAAGCTCATCATAGCCCTTACGTATTTCCTCATGTCCGAAAAGATCGTCTCCAACTTCCACGGGTGGTGTGTCATGTAGAGCGTGATACATTTTTGCAAATGCGGCCTGGACCGCTGCGATGAATGTAGCGTTTGAAAGGTTGATGTTCGTCACCGGCGAGCTCACGCTGTCTACACCTCGTGCGGAGAGATACGGCCGCGCTGGCGAGTGGAGATATTCAGGGATCGCGCTGAGAAAGGGACTCGAGAGGAGACAGGTTCCGTGGTGCAAGGCGCGTCGGCGTGTCAATTTGTACGCGGAGCCCGAGACTTTCAAGGGTCGTGTGTAGGCGCTATCGGTCTCGGACAATTGATAGGGCGTGGCGTGGGTATCTTCGGAGTCGGGGGTGTCTGATCTCCGCTCGCCCTGATCAAGGACGATGTCGTGTCGAGTGTTGACTCGGGCTCGATCGATTCCACAACCTCGTAAAGCGCGGACGACCATTTCGGCGTGCTTGTCGCGGGTAAATTCTGCGGAAGGGCAGATGACCGACCAATTTACGTTCCCTTCATCGTGGAATACAGTACCGCCGCCACTGCGTCGTCGGACCAGATCAACATTATGTGGCCGCGGTTTGGCGGAGGAGGCATCGTCAGGTGTGTTTAGCAGGGCAAGATTGACCTCCAGCCATGGATTTTGATTTCGGCCGAGGATGATGCTGGGACGGTTGACGTATAGAAAGAGAATCGTTGACTCGGGGTCGGCCTTTTGGAGGATATGATGCTCGATGGATAGATTGAGATATGGATCACGCGTGGTTGAAATGTAGGACTGTACGGGCTTGGAGAGGAGCTTGTCCAGTGGATGCGTCGATAGACATCGTGTTTTGTTCAATGGAAGCGAGTAGCGCACTCCGAGGAGAGAAGTTGAGCGCCAACAACGGGAAATCATCTGTCCATCTCGATAAGTATACTGATATATATGGAAGTCGCGTCGACGAGGACCAAGTTGCGATTAGGCATGTCCGTCAAAGGGTTGTTTTATAAACAGTTCGTAACAACCATGGCTCTACCGTAGTAGACAGGGCACGAGTCAAGAGTTCATCGGATGCAATCCCGAGCCAATGCGCCAGTCTCCCGTCGTCCCGTCTCCGAGAAACCTTATCTCGCTTGACGTCCCGTGCTCTCCTGCTGATGATTGCTCTCGGCAACTGCGTGTTGCGAGGTAAATTGTCCCGTACAGTCAAACAAAGAAATAAGTCACCCCTTCCCAATGGATTGCGGCTGAGTCTCGACTCTCGCTCCTGTCGCAATGGCAGGCGGCGTCTATTTGTAGCCCAAACGCCGAATCGCGCCGTGTGTCACAATATTCCTCGCGCCGCTGTCATCTCCCGCATTCCTCCTAGCTTGCGCGACAGGCCATTATTGTTGTTGTTGTTTGTAATCATCACCCATCAGTCTAGCTCGTAGTCGCGCTCGAGAACTTCCCTGTTCCCAATCTCTCTCCTTCGCAATCATCTTCTCGTAGACATTTGCGCACCATCCCAAGCGCAACATATATACACGCTCGTAAAAAAAATGCCCGTCGAACTCCGTAAACGCCCAGCACCAGCTGCTGTTGCGCCGCCGCCCGCCAAAAAGGCCGCGCCCGCGAAATCGAAACCCGCAGCAAAGGAAGCGCCTGCTCCCAAGGCCGCCGCTGCGAAGAGCGCCGCGCCCAAGGTTGCTGCTGCTGCTCCCAAGCCTGCCGCCGAATCGACCAAATCCAAGGCTCCCAGCGTCGGCGACAGCATTACGCTCGAGGGCTTTGGTGGAGAAATCAGCACACAGGACGGCGAGACGACGACACTCGCCAAGCTGGTCGCGGACAGCAAAGCAGGCGTCGTCCTCTTTACGTATCCTGCGGCAAACACACCCGGATGTAAGTCGGTCAAAGAATTGCTTCATATTCAACGCGTCACGATTCGGCGCGCGTCGCATCGCGCGTGAAATTCATCAATTTCTAATCCGAAGTCCTGCTAACGCTCAACCAGGTACGAAACAAGCCTGTCTCTTCCGCGACTTCTATGAGCCTCTCACAGCCAAGGGTCTCAGCATCTACGGTTTGAGCAAGGATTCCCCTAAATCCAACACGACTTTCAAGACCAAGCAGAAGCTTCCCTACCCGCTGCTGTGCGACCCCGAACTCTCCCTCATCAAGGCCATTGGTTTACTCAAGGCACCGAAGAGCACTACCCGGGGTGTCTTTGTGGTTTCTAAGGATGGCAAGGTCCTTGCTGCGGAGCCCGGTGGTCCTGAGCCGACTGTCAATGTGGTGAAGAAACTTGTCGCGAGCATGGATGGCGCCGAAGAGGCAAAGTCCGCCGACGATAAGGAACCGGCTGAAGATGCCAAGGAGGCGGATGAGGCTGAGAAAGCCGAGGCATGAGCGTGTGTGATGAACTTTTCTCGGCGAGCTGAGGCAACATCCATTTCATAGGGTGACTGAATGTACGAGTGTTGGACATGAAATGGTCGTGATTTCTCTCTCCCGTCGTTTTCCAAGCTCGTCCTCATCCTGAAACAGATTTCAAGAACGAAACCATGTCATCCACACCCCGTGGCTCATTGACCCAATGACCGCCATCAGGATATTCCTGCCATCGCACCTTCATGCCGATCGCAATCAATAAGTCCCGAAGTTCTCCTCCAAACCGCACGTTGACCACATCGTCATCTTGCGCATGACACAGCAAACCAGGTGTCTTCTTCGCCTCTTCGGTAGACATAGTAGTGATTTCATCGCGCCTCGGCATCCAGCCGCACAAGCCGATGAATCCACCCAGGCGTAGGTGAGCACGGAGCAATGCGTGGATTGCCACAGCGCAGCCTTGACTGATGCCGCCGAGGACGACATTCCCAGCGCCAACGATCTCTGCTTCCAAAGCGATGATCTCTTGTATTTGCTCCATCGCCGGAATCAAGTCTTGCTCGTACTCACGATCATGCGGATCCTCGGTGCTATGCATGTCGAACCATTGGGACATTTCACAGCCGAAACGTGATGAGGTGATCATGAGCGCTGTGGGGAACAACCACTTTGTGTCCGTGAAGATTTCCGGTAGGGTAAGATCGTTTGAGGCTTGACTTTCGAGGAATTCCTCGCTGAACTCTAAAGCATTGCTGTCGCGACCATGGAGAAATATCACGGTCCGCCGGTGTTGTGATGTGGGTTGCAGTTCTGCCATGGTGATCGTGCTCCGAACCCCTTTGTATGCGATACGAGGAGTTACCACATCAAACAGTCTATCACGCTGTGATGGGGTATCGTCTTGTATTCGGCATGGCACAATGTCGGGCGGAATCTGCCATATTCAAATATAGCATTGTAGATGAGTTCGGTCTCGATATGTGCTGACTACAAGTATTATTTCAGCACGCCCATTTGGAATGAAACACAGACAAGAACGAACTAAACGTCAAGTCAAAAATGTGAGATCATAACGACAATCTGTTCCAATTATCATCATATCATATTCGAGCTGCCGTGACGGTCTGACGATGAAGTTTGGAGGGGCTCCTCTGAATGATTTCATTACAGGCGGCTTGATACGTCATCGTCGTTGCGGGCACGCGCCAAAAAATGTCTCGAGAGATGACTGCTCAGATTCTCTCTCATATTTTTCATTTGTGACTTCTTCCTCTTCTCTTCTCCGAAATACCCTACAGAGTTCCTTTGGATGCGACGAGAATAGGCGCTGAGTTGTAATCATGTCATCGCGAGCTCTGCGAAAGGTGCAGCAAGAGAAAGAAGCACAACTACGACTGCAGCAACTCGAGAAAGAGGCGCAAGACCTAGAAGAAGACGATGATATAGATGATATACGACCGACACAGACCAAGACGAGTGCATTCGCATTGCTTGGAGAGGACAATGATGAAAACGAGGATGAAGACGAGGATGAGTCAATAGAAGACTCTGCGCAGACGAAGGACACACCTACACAACCGACACCAGCATCACAGAGCAGCAAGAAGAAAAAGAAGAAAAAGAAAAAGGCAAAGACGGGAGGAAATGCCACAGAGGGAACAGCGCAGGATGAGGACATAGATGAGATTGATGCTGCGTTGAAAGAGCTGGCCACGGACAATAATGGAAACGCAGTCGCAGCGACAACTAGTGCAGGGGTCGACCCTGTCGTCGAGGAAGCGAATCGGTTATTGGCTGTCGACACGGTGCACCTCCATGCCCAGAACGAGATGAAACGTCTGTTCGGACGCGCAGCTTTGGAGCAGGACGAGGATGAGCAACCGGTACCAGCTGCAGCCGGTGGAAATCGTCGTCAACAACGCATGGCTCAGCAGATGGGGCTCGCGCAGGCTCTCCGTGGCGGAAGACAAGGCGGTGGTCGCGCAGGCGGGTTTTCGGCAGTGTCACTCCGTCGAAATATTTTCATCCAAGGAAAGGAGGAGTGGCCCATGGCCACCGGTGGAGGCTTGGGGATGGAAGTCGAGGAGAAACGAGCCGACGGGACAGTGTTGTACAGATATGTGCACAACACGTCCTATCAAAATGTGCAATCGCAGTTCAACAGCTGCGTGGCAACCATGGACCCGAACAGCTTAGTCGCACTCCTCCGCGAGAACCCCTATCACATCTCAACACTTTTACAAGTTTCTGAAATCGCCAAACATGAAAGCGACCATGCGACCTCGGGCGATCTCCTGGAACGAGCACTTTTCTCCTTCGGACGGGCCGCTCACAGCACTTTCGCAAAGAATCTCGCGGAAGGTAAAGCCAGATTTGACTTCCGACGAGCCGAGAATCGCGAGTTTTGGTTGGCGAGTTGGAGGTATATGCAGAACCTGACCATGCGAGCTACATGGCGGACTGTGTTCGAATGGGGCAAACTTCTCATATCCCTCTCTCCCGAGGAAGATCCGTATGGGTTATGGCTTGTCTTAGATCAATATGCGCTCCGCTCACGGCAGGACCTCGACTACATCAACATCAGCCGCAACACGAAACTCGGTCAGGTACACGGCAATCTCCCCAACGTCCAATTCAGCCAAGCGCTCGCCGAGTACCGTTCCGGCGACAAACGTAAAGGTCGACAAGCCCTCTACACGACGATCGGGAAATTCCCCTGGGTCGTAGCAAGACTCCTGCAAGAAATCAACCAAGACGCCCCGCCCGGCGTCTGGGGTTCCGAGCCACGGACCGACCACGAACGACTCCACAGCGAACTCTACGCGACCCGTGCCAAGGACCTGTGGAACACCCCGGAGACCTCCAGCCTACTGGTGGAGATCTCCAGCGCCCTCTCCGACGCCGTCTCATCCAGCCCGCCCGACGAGACGGAAATCACCCTGCGCGAGGCCCGCCACGTCCTGCTCACCGACAACCCCCACCTCATCGCCCTGATCCCCCGCGCCCTCACCGAACAGATGACCAGCGCCTCCGACGTCCTGCCTCCGCCCGACGGAATCGAATCCCACCTCACCAGCGACCCCGCGGCTGCGGCCGGCCCGCGCGGCGGCGCCCACAACCGCGCGGAGGTCGCGCGCAGCATGCAGCAGATCTTCCAGGACCTCATGGCCGCGCCCGCGCCCGCCGCCGACGACGACGACGCCAACGCCGCCGCCGCCGTCGTGCCGGAGGACTTCCGGCGGGAATTCGAGGCGCTCCAGCGATCGGGCGGCGTTGCTGGGGACGAGGGAAATGCCGAGGCCATGTACGGCCTGTTCGAGCGGTTGATGAATACCCTGCGGGGAGGTTTCGGCGGGGGGCCGACGGGTGCGAGAGCGGGAGGTGTTGCGGCAGGAGAGGGAGAGGGAGAAGGGGAGGGAGAGGAGTGGGACGATCTTGGGCTGGAGGGAGATGCTGGGAGGAATCCGAGACGTGCTCGGGTCGAGGACGCTGACGATGATGATGATGATGGTGATGAGGTAGATGTTGACGATGGGAATGGGAATGGGAGAAGACGGCCGTGATTATGGAGAGGGTTTGTTCGTCTGTTTGATCTGTTGTATAAAAATCCTCACATATAGATGATCACGAACCCTCCAACAGGGACGACTTTCCACCCAGTACGAAAACAGGCCCGATGACGACGAGAAACACGACTCCCTCTGCGCGATCATTCTTCTTCTTCTTCTTCCTCGATCTATCAACATGGTCATTTCACAGCACTCGACCTCCGTGTCCACCTGCCACAGAACAAAAGTCCCAGATCTCGCCGCAGAAACAGGATAAAACAGGCAGAGGGACAGACAGGACCACCGAGAAGGAGAAATCCCCGTATCGTACTCCTCCACCAATACCACATCACCGTATTGCATATATATCTGTATATGATATATACTCGCACGATGGATGACGTTCGCCACAGATCGAGCATATCGTCCCTGGACGTGCCGTGCCGTCTCCTCGCACCGCCACAGGATGCGTCGTGCCATGGATATATGTACTGTGTCATCGTGATGATGATACATGGAAGAAATATCACGACGAGGCGCAGCGGCCAACAGCCAGCAGCAGCCAACAGCAGGAACGCTATGAGGTGAGGCACGCTCCTCCCGGCGTGAGTGAGCATCCGGCCGCGTGGACAGGTGGGATAGAGAGATAGATGTGAGTGGGGCCATACACCCTGGCTGGGCTGGGCTGACTCCTGGGCAGCTTAAGCGGGCGCGACGAGATTGCTGGATGTTGGAAGAAAAGTCGTCTCAATGCAATACAATGCAAATCACATCAATTCAAATCAAATAATGAATGGACTGAACGATGTTATTGCGACTGCATCGCATTGCACTGGACTGTACTCTAGGCCGAGCCTTTGGTCACAACCACAACCACACACTGTAATATCGAAAGGGACTCCTCGCGATGGCCTAGAGGTGTCCTGCCCTATAGTTGTAGTATGAGTAGTAGCAGTAGTAGTAATCGTCGCCGTGCCTGACATATTTGCCGCCCTGTCATGGTGAGAAGTACTATACGTAAGTAGCAGTGTGTTTGTCCGGCGGTACCTGGCAGGGGAGATACCCATTGCGCCAATGGGTGCGGGTGAGGGGATCGCATCGGCGGTGGGGCAGCAGTGGAAGGGAGATGATCAACAGGGAGAGAATTGCATGGGACGCGACGACACGAGGAGGCCATCTCTCTCTCTCTCTCTCTCTCTCTCTCTTTCTCTCTCTTCCCGCCTTGCCAATGCGGCGCAGGAGAGAGAGACGAGATGGGACGAGAACGAGATCGGTAGCGTCTTTCTTCCTCTCCAACGAGAGAAAAAGAGTGATATGAGAGAGAGAGTGAGAGAAAGAGGTCCGATTGGGGGCGAATCTTCCGACAGATCTACACCAAACCCCATGTAACTAGGCAGGGTAGGGCAGTGCGGCGGGCAGGCAGACTGGATTGGCGGATTGAATGGGCGGCGGCGGCGCACATCCGATGCGAGATCCAGTTCCAGTTCCAGTTCCAGTTCCATCCCATCAAACCCCCAGCCGTGCCCCCATCGCCATCGCCATTATCGCCGCCATCGCCATTACTGTCGCCGCCGCCGCCGCCTGCCGCCACGCACGCGTTTCGGGGGAGGGATCTGGCTCTGGCTTGGCTTCTCTCCGTCCATTCATCCACGCCCATCCCTTCCTTTTTTTATTTTATTTTATTTTTGGGGATGGTTTTACCCATTGTTAAACAACGCGGCGTACCCTTGGGAGGAGTGCTCTGTTCAGTTATTCACCATACAGTGGACTTGTCCCATTCATTTTTCGATCTTCATCACGGACACGTCGCGTCCGTCGAGGGGAGCGATGGGACACCGCTGCGGTATCCATCATTCCCTGATGGGAAAGCTTCGTCGTCTGTCCATGGGCTCGAGTCGGGAATCTTTTTCCATCGATTTACCCAGAGGGAATTAGGCGGCATATGGGACACATGCGGGTGACGCGCCACACCTGCTTTTTCCTCCAAATGCGGGATGCAGGTGGGAGCGAACCCTGCCGAAACGTCTCTTTTTGGGCCGAAAGTCTAAAATAAAAGTTGGGCCTGCAACCCTGAATTTCGTTCCAGTCGGGGGAGCTTTGTTGGGGGCGAGGCACAGGGAAAAGAGGGAGAGGGCGAGACCCCGGTTCATTTTCCCATTCTCGTGCGTGTATGTATGTGTGTGTGTGTGTGTGTGTG